ATCCATAACTAACACGCACACAAGTTCGTGCACAATAAAATTTAGGTATTTATGAATGACTACCGCATTGTCAACACGTTCTGTTTTTTAGGGAATAGACAGGCATTTTTTTTTTTTGAAAAAAAAAAAAAAACTTTCTTTTTATTCCAATAAACGATTACACCACCGAGTCTGAACCTCCTGTGTAAATTTGGGCACTTCTCAAAAAATCTCCCCGTATAGATTTTTTTTAATATGACTAGTATAGTAATTTACGTTAGTTTCATTGGTATGATTATTCAATGATTCTTCTCTTTTTACTTTGTAATCAACTAGCGACCCGCCCCGGCTTCGCGCGGGTGCAATGTATTTATTATACGTGTAAAACTTCCTCTTGAATCACACTATCTATTAAAAAAAAAACGCAGTGATGCACATACTTAACTTCTTTGGACCACCCAAAGTGTGACCGGTACGTAATGCTAAAGGTATTGACATTACAATAAATCCATAGTCAATACGTAGACTTCACTCTCGTTCGTCACCTCCTGTCGGAGGGGCTGTAATTTTAATACCAGCTTGTAGTGTACAAAACTGCGATTGACCGTGTTCATTTTACCATCGTATTTGAGTAAATAAAAAAAAAAACCGGCGGGAGTTGGACTCACATAAAATCATGTCTGTTTTATGAGAGCCCCCTTAAATATTTTTTATTTTATTCTGTTTGAATAATACATATTTTAGATCTGACCAACCTTTTCTAAGTTATTAATAAATAATATTATATTTCTAATATTAAGGCATTTATCACATCGATACTTCAGTATAAAACATGAATAATTATAATTGTATAGAATAATAATAATAATAATTTCGTAACACCCTAATTCGTCCCTGCTTCGCACCCCGCCCCGTTCTCTCACCCCTCACCCCGCGCCCCCGTTTCGTGTTATTGGGAATTTATGTCGGTAAGGCACTACGCACACTCGCAACGTTTCCAAGCATTTGTACATTGACTTGTCTCTTTTCTTTTGCAGATTTATTCCTTGGTTGTTATTACGATGTTTGAATCACTACATAGTATAAAACAAATTCTTCCCGCTGTCTGTCTGTCCCTATGAATGTTTAGATCTTTAAAACTACGCAACGGATCTTGATGCAGTTTTTTTTAATAGATAGAGTGATTCGAGAGGAAGGTTTATATGTATAATGCATTGCTAGTTTATTATATTCCCTTTTTGTTTGTATGATTAGCATTTGTAACTATCCATTCGTTGTTAATAGATGACGCATGTCCATAATGCGCGGCGTTTGAAAATTGTTCCGCTTAACATTACGTGACGTACATAAATGAACATGACACAAGATATAGAACGTATGATACGGAAAGAGACAGCAGTCTATAGAATTGCAGTTTAATTACACCAATCGGCGTAATTTTAGTGCATCAGTTTCGGTGCGGTAGTGTCAAATCAACTACGTATTTGTATATAATATCATTGTTTGTTAATGATAGGTTTGTTTTAATTATAATTTTAGTTCTCAATATTATGGTCTCCTTCAATTTTGTGTCTGTAAGTATAATTTTTTATCCGACTTCGAAAGGACGAGATTCTAAAGTCTGTTCTATTTTTAAACGGTTTTATTTAGCTCGACCCGTACGGAATTTGTTTGTTTGGGTCAAAATTAGAAATTGAAATTTAAGCACCTTGCCGTTGTCAGATTGATCTGAAATTTGGTACACACATTTAATTTAGATGACAATACAATATTAAAAAAAAAAAAATAATTAACAAAAAAAAAAAACATAAAATAAAACCGTTTAACTTAAAAGTTTTTAAACGGTTTTATTTATCTTCGTTATAGAACGGTTCGGTCGGTTTAGCTCCCATGAGATCCCGTTTTAATTGTTGTTAAATCTTGTAAATTGTTTCTTGTATATACGCGATTACACATTACCAAATTGAACTATATTCACAGATTTATAGCCTTTATTATATATATATTTTTTTAATTTTATATCTCGACGTTTCGAACCCTCATCGGCCACGGGACCCTTTAAATATATATAGTTTCATTCAGTGAGCGAATTTATATTTTTTTTAATTGAATATTTTCGCGGCTACTGTGCGCGCCGCCTTAAACCGGGGGCGTTGCACCGGCCAGATCCGACGCGCTCTATCAAGTCGTAGATGCGCGCGTGTTTGCGTAAAGCGACGCTATACGGCGTGTCCCACAAATCGCCGCGTAGAACGCGCCTTAGGCTCAGGTCGAGCATTTTAATAAAACTATTAAACTATTTTTATGTGAGAACGTGGTGGCAATATAATTATGTTAAGTGATAAACTTCGCCCGTGGACATTTGCAACACCCGTAGGGTTGCCAACTGTTATCTCGCTAATCAAACGAAACGCAGGAGTACTTTTACCTCGCTAACCAAACGAAACGCAGTATAACACTTCTGCTTAAGTCTGCCCAGCCCGTGATCATGAATGCTATAAAAGAATTGACGTCGGCCGTTTTGAAATAAATACAAACCGCGATAAAATACGTAATTTGGTTTGTCTCAATTCAAGTTACTATTGTCGAGTATTTTTGTCAAAACTTATCATCAATTTAGCAGTGTTTCGGATTCAAAGTTTTTGTAATTTACGTGATTACTGTAATATTGTTAAATTGTGGGTTTCCTCGGTCTGATAACATATTTTAGCCATCAACGTTTCGAACACCTAACTATATCCGGTCACACCTGCCGCAGCATAGACTAACTTAAAAACTAAAACTCATCTGTATAGATTAAAAGCCCATAGAAATAAAAGATAATATGACTAAAATTAAACACGATTAAAGCTGCCAATATTATTTAATTAATGCATCATTCCTTTTATGCGCAGAAACGTAGATCTTTCCTCTTCCGCCATTTTCGTTTTCGAAAACGGCCTTTATTCATTCAGTTTCTAGCGATTATAGGCGAAAGCCTAATTTTTATATATTTCAAAGCGAAATTTCATTCGAAGTTCTATAAATGAAAGTGATAGATAATTTTAAATTTCGCAACATCCTGTACGCACGTCGCCTTGTCCGCAACACGTGCGAGTCGCGAACGTACACGCGTGCGTGTTTGCGTGCATGTGTGCGTGCGTGTGTGCGTGCGCTGTTTAAACGTTTTTATGCAGAAACAATATCTTCATTCTTTTGTATTTGCACTTTGCGAACTGTGTTGAAGAAAAAATATGTTATGTGTTTTCCGTCTGTCCCAGAAATGAAGCAAAGGTTTCTTAATATGTATTGTTATAAAATTCGTAAAACAGTAAGTTAAACAAGTAGTTGCGTAAAATTTGATATAGCAAAAAAAATTAATTGCCTTTAAATGTGTAGAAAGAGCTAAGGCGGATAGTTATAGAGGATGTTTATTAATTTTTTCGGCGCAGTTACAAAATACCAATTATAACGTTAACTAAATTTTGTCAGTCCAATACATATTAGTAAACTTGTATTTCAATAAAATCCGAGCACAACAATCAATATGAATAACATGTAATTTAAATAATTACATTTTTTCGAATGGAACGTTTCCCTTTTGCATAAACTCGACCAGTCGGTTACGACCATAGATTTCAGTTTCCGCTAATGTGGTTATTGAGTGATTAAACAATTAGCTAATATAAGCCAAATGCTGTTTGTATGTCTGTGCGTGCGTGTATGATAATGGAGAAACGTTTCAAAATAATTGGTGTGTTTTTGTCTCGTTCAAAAATCTGTATATATATTATTCTTCTGTACGTGTGTATGTCACTGAACTCGTCCTAAAGGGCTGGACCGATTTTTATGAAATTTTTTAACCGACTTCAAAAAGGAGGAGGTTTCTCAACTCGAGTGCAGTGCGTTACTAGTTTACTAGTTACTAGTTTAGTTTCGTTATTGAGCCGTGATAGCTCAGTGTCCGGGCGCTCGCCTTTAATTCAAAATACTCGAGCAACCTGAGTTCGATCCCTGGTGCCGGCACCAATGAAGTTTTTAACTTTAAGTGCTGACTTATCACGTGCTCCGCGGTGAAGGAAAACATCGTGAGACCTGCATATTTTCGAAATAATAACAAAAAAAAAAAAATATTTCGAAGATATGTGAAGTCCGCCAATCCGCAGTGGGGCCGCGTGGTGGACTATGCCCTGATACCCTCTGTATAGAGGAGGCTCTTTGCCCAACAGTGGGACATGTATAGGCTGTTACTTTACTAGTAAGGATTTTCAATGTTTAACCGACTTCAAAAGGAGGAGGTTATCCAAACACACTACTCTCTCTGGTTACATAGTCGGTACGTCTGCGTAGAATAGGCTGAAGGTGTAACATTCAGACAGATATACATACAAATATGTATATAAATAATAGCCAATTTGTTATTCTGATGTATAAGCTATATAATTGTAAACTTTCCTTATAATCCATTCAGTAGTATTTGCGTGAAAGAGTAACAAACATCTATCCATACATACAAACTTTCGCCTTTATAATAGTAGTAAGGAAGTGAGGATACTACTAGTATGATATAATAAAATTTGATGACTCCGTGGCTCAGTTGCCAAGTTGGCTTCGGCGCCGGGCGTTGTGTTCTATTCCGACACGAGACAACTACCTGTTCGTGTGATCTGGGTGTTTGTCCACGTGAAATTTATGTATGCAAAACTTTCTCGCAACACGGAATAACGTTATCCTACTGTAGGGCGGCCAAGCCCTTCCAGACAAAATACAAATGCAAAATAAATACTCTCAACATAGTTTTAACGTAACTTTAGCGGCAAATTCACGGAATGCTCTTCGCCGACTGCGTTTTAAATGCGCCGACTTGTTTGTTTGTTCGTTTGTATATTCTTTATCGTACTAAAAGTTTGCTACTTAATGCTAAATAGCATTTTCTTTCTAGTTGGCTCTCGTTGAGGCAATGATCAATCGGTATTCCTGTATCAAACAATTTACCATCACAAGGTGAGGGCAATGTTTTTCGACTGTTGTCAATGTTTCAGGACGAGGTGCTGGCGATAAACGACAAGGTGGTCGTGAGGGCCGAGGACCTTCTCAGCTGGGTGTGTGAGGGTGCGGGTTGGCGGTGGGGGCTGCGCGCCGTGTGGAGGGGGGCGTGCGCGCCCCCCGCCGAGCCGCACCCCACCTCGCCCCTCCACCACACGAGGCTCGACTTCAGCGACGTGGAGCGCGAGAAGAACGCCATATGTGAGCCCCGGACTACTTCCCCTCATGTATGGTCGACTAATGGGCTACACTGCCCCCTTGTCGACCATACAATGCCTATATAATGAGCATGTAATCAAGTAACTGAAATGTTTCTTTTAAATTTCCAACTGTCTATTCAACTACCACGGTTCCCGAGAAACATGCTGGCTGACAGACAGATAGCAGAGTCTGAGTAATAGGGTCCCGTTTTACCCTTTGGTTACGGAACCCTAAAAGTGGGTCGCGGTAACCTCACCTTTTACGGCACGGACGCGTTTCATCTCGAAACCGAGGATTCGCAACGTGTCCTTCGCACTGGGCCGTAGGGGTTAAACTGCGACCGGTTATCGGTGTACTGGATTAAATAGGTGAAATATGATCATCGCTGTTCCACGAATGGGCAGGTGCTGCCGTGGAAGTAACACAACCTCACAGAAGACCGGCCTGAAGTGCAAGTATTATACTTAGTCTATAGTCTTCTATATTATATACTTCTTCATCGAATGCAGAGCTCGGTCTAGCTCTCATTAGCTATCCAGAACCGGAATTACTGATATAACCTTTGTAAATCATACTAAACTGTACCACGAGTTGCAAGTGCGGTAGGGCCACGCGATTGCGTTCGCTGTTGCACGAATGGGCAGGTCCGTCCGGGTAAGTACCACGACCTCACAGGAGACCGGCGTAAAGTAGAAATGTTATACTTCCGCGTTTCGTCTGGTGAGTGAGGTAGCCGGGGCCCACTTTATTAAAAGGTGGCAACGCATCTGCAATCCAATGGAGTAGCAAATGTCCATGGGCGGCGGTATTCACTTAACATCAGGTTAATCGCCGGCTCGTTTAAATTTTTTATAATGCTAATCTCTACATTTAAGATTTAAACATTAAAGTACGAAAAGATTGTCGTCGCTGTGGCAATGGGACCCACGTCTTCGGCATTCGCGGCCTGACGCTTTAGCCACTAAGCTGATTGCCAGCTGATTGCCAGCTCGTTTGCCACTTTCTCACATACAAAAAAAAAGTACGGACCAAGAGGGTTCCATCCCTCTCCGGGTCTTTAAAGAGTCGTAGTCAGCACAGTGTTGCCCCCGCAGCGGTGGACGCGGTCAGCCCTGGGGTCATGGTGTTCTCCTACCCTCGCTACTGCCGCTACCGCGCGCTGGTTGCAAGGCTGGAGGGCATCCAAGCAGACTGGCTCCGGGACTCTCTGGTCGCCGCCCTGGGCGGGTATGCCGCCCCCACCAGGAACACGAGGATACTATACTGCAAGGTGGGTGGAGCGCCTCTGGTTGAGAGGATGCCGTGGTGGGTAAGAGACCACTACGAAAAACAAGTGTGAGTAGAACTCGCGCACGATGGGTAAAGTACCATTATCGTAACTGTGGTAGGGCCACGGAGCATGCAGATGTCCAGGTGAACCACCTGCTTGCTTGTCAACTTTCCACATAAAAAAAATCTATAAAAACGGCAGAAAACCATGTCTGTTGAGGATTCCCACTTGAATATTTTTTATTGTGTTTTGTTGTTTTGTGGTGTCCTGGCCTGCCTGCCCTTCCACCTATTCGCAGCAGGATCTGATGGACGCCACGAACTGTGCAGTCAAAGTGGCCAAGTTCTGGGCCGGAAAAATCCAATTTGTCATCGACACGCAAAGAAGAAGATTGTGTTTTTTAGTATTTGTTATAGCGGCAACAGAAATACATCATCTGTCAAAATTTCAACTCTCTAATTGTCACGTTTCATGAGATATTGCCTGGTGACAGACGGACAAATAGACAGACAGACAGCGGAGTCTTAGGAATAGGGTTCCGGTTTACCCTTTGGGTACGGAAACCTAACAACGGTGTTGATTGCTAAATACCACGTTTGGGACTCGTGGTTGAAGGGAAACGTTTGGAGGTGGTGACCAGGAGAAGTGGTGGTATCCATTGTTAATAGTGACGTTAATGAGACTGTGGGCAGGGGGAAATTGTTACATGGCTCGGGCAATGTTGGACACGTAAAGTTGATACTTAGACCTGGATAAGATCCCTTGGACCATCAGTGTAGTGATGTAAATGGGATGCGATTTCCACCGGCCATATACGCCTAAGACTGGGCCTTAGTGTGGATTTCTTAAGTTCGGGCCATCCATCTTCAACACACAGGAGGAGACGCAAAAGTATTAATACTTGCAGTTAACACCGCTTCCTGAAGATTTTGTACCACTACGTAGGTCAAGTGACTATAGCAACCTTTGACAATTGCCACGCCTATGCGGGGAGTCCGTTGAAAAGTCGAACTGTTTTCCCTACGGCCCTACGTTCTTTTCCCGATCTTCGACACCCTCGATCTCATGAAAGCTGCTAAGGCAGTACCGGTAGACCTGAGCACTGAAGTTTCTCGATAAATGACCCTTGACTCGACTACATGACAGCCGCACCGCTGCTTACTTGTCCCGATGGAAATAAACACATCTTCGCGAGACCCTTGACCCAAACCGGTAGTTTCCCGGGGGATTTGGGCGCTGAGGCCTCACGATGAATTACCCTTGGCTACTTGATAGCCAAACCCTGCGGCACTTGTCCCGGTGGAACCACCTCGACCTTGGACTACTTGACAGACCCTTGACTACTTGACCCCATTCCAGGACACGTTCGAGTACCCGGAGCTGGAGGGGCACGAGTTCGTGTGCAACCACCTGGCGCCGCGGCTGAAGGGCAGGCCGAGAGGCAGGCGGAGGCGCGCGAGGTCCCGCTCCGCCACGCCCTCCGACGAGGAGGACCACCGCGCCTACGAGCCCAGCGTAAGCACACACACGGACACAAATTTCTTCCGTCCTTATCCCACCTAGGTTGTGTGTGTGTGCAGAGGCGACTCTCGTCGAGGAGTCCGTGATGGTTCGCCCTCCGACGAGGAGGTCCACCGCGCCTACGAGCCCACCGTGAGCACGCACACAGACACACACCCACACACAGAGACGCACACTCTCTCGCCCTTACACCTAGGTGGGGGTAGGCAACTCTTGCACGCGTCGAGGAGTCGGTGATGGTTCGCCCTCCGACGAGGAGGTCCGCCGCTCCTACAAGTCCACCGTGAGCACCCACAGAGACACGCACACGAACAAACAGACGCACGGCCACGCATACGCACACTCTCTCGTCATAAACCCACCTTGGTAGGGTAGAAAACAAAGAGTTGGTGATTTGGTGATGATGCTTATTGGCAGTCGAATCTACGCTGGAATCGCAAGTCGCCACAGCCACTAAGCCATCGTTGCTATGGTATACTTGATGCACGGGTAGACCAATTCTCCTCGTCTTTATCTTGCCTTGTTGATAATGGTATTGAATAGGTTTTTTACCACCGGTCACCTGCATCGACGCCGGATTAATCTCTAAGGGTGTTCTCTGAAAATTTCATCGGAATCAGCCCAGCCGTTTTCAAATCATCCGGGGCATACACACGCGGCCTCAACTAAATTTCAACGTGCCGTTAAACCTACGTACCGTCCCACACCGATTCTTGTTTAGCGCCCCCAATGCTATTTAAACTTTTAACGCCCCCTCGGATAGCCTCACCGCCCACTGGGGTGCTCCAGTTTGAGAACCACTGTCTTACACGAGGCGTTGTTCCGCAGACGCCGCGCCGCCTCTCGCTGCGCAACGGCGGCGGCGGCGCGGAGAAGCAGAGCGAGGAGGACGAGGAAGAGGAGAAGAAGCCCGAAGTGGAGACGGAGGAGGAGAGGGAGTTCCTGCAGCAGCTGAGGCAGTTCTACCGCGGGAGGCACGAGAGCTTCAAGATGGCGCCCACGCTGAAGCACCGTGAGTGGATCGATGACCCTTTTGGCGGTAGGGAGCCTGCCTCTCGCTTGGTGTGGGTTCGATCCCCACTGATGAGATTATTCTGTGATGAGCACAGTCTTTTTCCAGTGTCTGGACGTTATGTCTACTAGCGGGCCCAACAGGCTTTGTCCTGAACACGCGACTTAAATACTAATAAAAAAAAACTAATTGTGAATCTAAACTATTCACGAATCGACATGAAGACACACAAAAAATTTCATTAAAATCGGTCCAGCCGTTTAGGAGGAATTCAGTGACGTACAGTAGAATTGTATATATATAAAGATTATGTATTTATTTATAAAAGTATGTTCAAGTATGTCTATTAGTTTTATAGTAACCCAATAGTACAAGTGCTAAGTTTCGGATTAGAGAACGCCGTATGAAAATGTATCCGGTAACATTCATTTATTAATTCATTTATTATTTATCTTGGACCAGAGTTCAATTTATCATCATCATCATCAGCCGCAAGACGTCCACCGTTGAACATAGCCCTCTCCCTAAGAACGCCACAACGAACGACTCTTCGCCATTTGCAGCCACCGGTTGCCCGTGACTCTTACGATGACTTTTATTCCACAATGCCAAGTATTTTATTCGACAGGATAACGTTGTCACAGTAAGAGCGGTGTTAAACGAAAAATTAACAAAAAAAGGAAAGGTTAACATCACGTTAACACCTAACCAAACGTTTTCGCCCGTTGCAGTGTCGCTGCGCAGCCTCTATGTGGGCGTGGCGTCGTTTGGCGGCTACGAGGCGGTGTGCCGCTCGCGCCAGTGGACCTCGCTGGCGCCCGACCAGCCGGCCCGCGCGCGCCGCCACTACGAGAGGTGCGGCCCCGCGAGCGGACGGTTGACGACCCCTGGCCTCGAATCTAAGAGGATAAGACCCACCGACCCTCGTCCGGGGAAGCCTTACGACCCGTGGCCTCGAACCTAAGAACCTAAGAACCACCGTCTCTTGTTCGGGGACGCCTGACGACCCCTGGCCTCGAATCTAAGAGCCTAAGACCCACCGACCCTTGTTCGGGGACGCCTAACGACCCCTGGCCTCGAACCGAAGAGCCTAAGATCAACCGACCCTCGTTTGGGGACGCTTGACGACCCCTGGCCTCGAACCTAAGAGCCCAAGACCCACGCTTGACGACCCCTGGACTCGTAAGGCCTCGAACCCAAGAGTCTGGACCCGCGCAGATTCCCTCGCCTACACCTGAAACCTACTCCCGCAACTGGAAACAGGACTTATTCCCATCTCAAATGAGCGATTCCCTTACCTAGCCAAAAACAAACGAAAGTTACAACGAAATTCCCGCTTGAACGCGAAAGTTGATGCAAATTAAATAATAATAGTAGACACCAGATTGAATACATTGATATTGAACCTTGAATTCAGGAGATCAAGTAACCCCACGAAATCAATTAGAAAACGTATAGTGAGTTACTAACAGACATAGCAGACGGTTTTATTTTGATAAAAAAATATTCCCTCGGACTATTGCCAGAAATGACTTATAGATTCTCGGTCTCGGTGACAGTTTTCTAATGTCTTTCCATGCTGGTATCACCAGCTTCATGGGAAATTCACTGTCCAGGTTCCTGCTGCCCTTCGAGAACCACGAGCGGCGCAGGGGCTCCAAGCTGTTCCGGCCGCGGCGGCAGAACGGCCGCGTGGCCAGCCCCGAGCCCGCCCTGCCCACCATCGAGGTGCACGAGTCGCCGCCGCCACCCGCCTCGCCCACGCTCACGCCCACGCCCACTCCCACGCCCCCCGATCGCCCCGCCACCCCACGGGAGCAGGTGACGGACAGCGAGAAGGTGGAGCCCCTGGACGGGACGGACTCCGTGGAGCCGAAGATAAGCGTCAGACCAGTGGAGAGGCTGAACGAGGCGCCCGAGCGGGCTGGGTGCGTGGCGGAGGGGAGCGGAGGAGGGGATGCCCCCGCGCAGAACCTAACAGGTCGGTGCGGGTCGAAGCGGACCTCCAAAGGTCTTTAGGTCCACGGAACCCATATTTATATGTCTTTTGTTTACAAAGCAGGGGTCAACGATATTTCTTTGAACAATACAGGCTTGTTTAAAGCTGTTATAATTTTTTAATTAATCTTAATAATAAACGGCAGAGAGCAAATATTGCTGCTACTCGCCGCTAGATGGCGTTGTTTGAAGCTTAACGCGCCACCTAGATTGTCGCAGCGCTTTTAATTAGACCACTGTTATATTATAATACGATTGCTTGGTTAAATTTATCACCGGCAGTACATATGATTGTTGCAAAACTGTCTGTCCGTTATCAACAAATAACTAAGTGTAAACAATTTAAAACATTTTGTATACATATAATCTACCTTAATGGAAAGGGCATATTGTAATGTCGAAGAATACGTCCAGCACAAGGATGTGTGTGGAAATGACTCTTGCTCTGCACTTGTAGCCGTGATAGCTCACTGACCGGGCGCTCGCCTTCAATTCAATATACTCGAGCAACCTGAGTTCGATCCCCGGTGCCGGCACCAATGAAATAGTTAATTTTAAGTGCCGATTTATCACGTGCTCAACGGCGTGGGAAAACATCGATATTTTCGAAATATTTAAAAAAAAAGGAAAGTATTTCGAATATATGTGAAGTTCGCCAATCCCGCAGTGAGGTCCTCTGTACAGAGGAGGCCTTTGCCCGGCAGTGGGATATATATAAGCTGCTACTCTACTGTGCTCGCAAGTCTTCATGCTACTGCTGATTTTACACCTAACTGACTGTTTTGATTCCCAGCTGGTCCGGATATGCTGCCACAGCCGGATGAGCACCGAGCCCCACCCAACGGCCAGCCATCGCTGACCGCAATGGACCAGGTACGAACCTGGACTTTCCCACAGTGGTATGCGCCCAGCGGTGGGATGTTTATTGAGGGTAGACTAAGGTGTGTTAGTATCTTTGACTATACGCTCAGTACACGTAAGTCTAAACACTTAAGCTGAAGAATGCATCACTATGAAGGACTGAGTATTTCTCTGACGCTAACTTTAGGTCAGTGCTAGAAATACTGGTACAGACATTTTTGTTCGAAAGTGTTCATTATTAATTATGTAATGCCTTCAGTCAATGTTGTCACAACACTCACGGCCGGTTTTATGAAACACTAATCATCTTAGAAATTAACGAATCAGCTGTCAAATGGCTTGCCAAATCTGTACCTCAGAGGTAAATAGCATCACAAATTTTACAGGAGAGTAAAATTGAGATTAATTTTTTTTTATGTGAAAAGTTGCCTAACAAGCAGGCGGTTCACCCGATGTTAAGTAAATACCACCGCCCATGGACATCCGCTACACCCGAGGGTTTGCAGATGCGTTGACAAGCTTTTTAAAATTGGGCTCCGGCCACCTCACTCACCAGACGAAACGCGAAAGTATTATACTTCCACTTTACGCCGGTCTTCTGTGAGGTCGTGGTACTCACCCGGACGAGCCTGCCCATTCGTGCAACAGCCGAGGCTGCCGCGTGGCCCTACCACCGTTAGACTCGACCACTCGAGTCCTTGTCCACTATTGATTTGACATACGATTGGATGTTTTATTAACGGGGGCGCGTTCTGTTTCAGAGGGGCGCTCGGCCCGCGGGGCGGAGCTCCCTCCGCGCCGTCAGGGTCAAGGCCACGAGGCCGGCCGCAGCAGCGGTCGTAACGAGTGAGTGTTTCAGACAAGGAGTACATTATTAATACTGAAAATTGAGTTATGTGTCCTCGTCAGACAGCGCCATCTATTGATACTTTACCGAACTACAAGTTCAGATGTTTATAGCTTACACTTAACCATTTTCAGTTTTTATATTTGAGAGCTGTATTCGATTACCGTGTTCTATATAGTATATATAGTGTATATGAAATTTGTTTAATTTATATTTGATAACATTGTATAGAGAACTGTAATTGGATACAAACTTGCTGGATGTTATTTTTGGATAGCAAAGTATCAGCCTACACATGGCAAAGGCCTCCTCTGTACAGACACAGAGGGTATCAGGGCATAGTCCACCACGCGGCCCCACTGCGGATTGGCAAACTTCACATTGCTACGAAATATTTTTTTTTATTATTATTTCGAAAATATGCTATATACGATGTTTTCCCTCATCGCTGAGCACGCGATGAGTCAGCACTTGTAATTAAAAATTCCGTTGCTCCCGGCACCGGGGATCGAACTCAGGTTGGTGGAGTATATTGAATTGAAAGCGAGCGCCCGGAAAATTAGCTATATAGCACGGTTCACGGATATAACTTCTCTAAGATATAAAACTCTCGTGTCACGGTGTTTGTAATTGAAATCGGCCAGGGTGGAGAATCGGACAGCATCTATTTTCCATCCCCCTAAACGTTAAGCGTGGTCCACCCGAAACATTTTTTTCTACCTACAAATAATTTATATGGCAAACCGTTTGGGTCAGCTAGTATTAATATACAATTAAATGTTTGCAGCCAACGCGGTGCCGCCGCCGTCGTCGATAAACAATTTCGGCATCCACCACCCGCCGACGCCCGCTCAGCCCGTCCGGCAGCCGCGGACGCCGCACAGCGACGACGAGATCGTCGAGGTAAGGAGTGGATTAAGGCTGGATCGAGGGTGCATGTCGACTGGAGAAATGGTTGTCGAGGGTGGATGTCGACTGGAGAAATGGTTGTCGAGGGTGGATGTCGACTGGAGAAATGGTTGTCGAGGGTGGATGTCGACTGGAGAAATGGTTGTCGAGGGTGGATGTCGACTGGAGAAATGGTTGTCGAGGGTGGCTGTCGACTGGAGAAATGGTTGTTGAGGGTGGATGTCGACTGGAGAAATGGTTGTCGAGGGTGGATGTCGACTGGAGAAATGGTTGTCGAGGGTGGATGTCGACTGGAGAAATGGTTGTCGAGGGTGGCTGTCGACTGGAGAAATGGTTGTTGAGGGTGGATGTCGACTGGAGAAATGGTTGTCGAGGGTGGATGTCGACTGGAGAAATGGTTGTCGAGGGTGGATGTCGACTGGAGAAATGGTTGTCGAGGGTGGATGTCGACTGGAGAAATGGTTGTCGAGGGTGGATGTCGACTGGAGAAATGGTTGTCGAGGGTGGATGTCGACTGGAGAAATGGTTGTCGAGGGTGGATGTCGACTGGAGAAATGGTTGTCGAGGGTGGATGTCGACTGGAGAAATGGTTGTCGAGGGTGGATGTCGACTGGAGAAATGGTTGTCGAGGGTGGATGTCGACTGGAGAAATGGTTGTCGAGGGTGGATGTCGACTGGAGAAATGGTTGTCGAGGGTGGATGTCGACTGGAGAAATGGTTGTCGAGGGTGGATGTCGACTGGAGAAATGGTTGTCGAGGGTGGATGTCGACTGGAGAAATGGTTGTCGAGGGTGGATGTCGACTGGAGAAATGGTTGTCGTGGGTGGATGTTTACTGGATGAATGGTGTTTGAGTGTCAATGCCTACTGGGGAAATGGTGATCGAGTGGCAATGTCTACTGGAGAAATGGTGGTCGAGGGTGAATGTCGGCTGGAGATACGGTGGAGGGTGGTTGGCGACTGGAGATATGGTTGTCGAGGGTGGATGTCTACTGGAGATATGTTGGTTGAGTGTCAATGTCTACTGGAGAAATGGTTGTCAAAATTGGATGTCGTCTGGACACATGTTGGTCGATCATGGATGTCAGCTGCAAATGTGGTGGTTGAAGTGGATGTCCGCTTGAGACATAACCGTTGGAGTTATCCGTTGATAATTTGGTGACCATGCAACAGGGGGTTTATGAATGGAAAGTTTTTAATGAAAGGTGGATGACGAATGGAAATATAGTTGTCGTGGATAGATGTCGAGTGGAGAGCCATTATAATAACGGGGATTAATAGAGAATATGGTCATCTTAGCTGTGTACAGTTAAATTTTGAATGTGAAGGGGTTGTGATTGTTGGTCGGCAGGACATGTGGTCTTTGTTGGTGTATATCAAGCGGGAAGGATTGGTGGTTGCAGATGTGTGTGACTTTAAGAAATATATAGTGAAATGTTTTGATTTGTAATTTTAAAGTGGACGTGATGGCTCCATTTGCCAACGTAAGCGGGTCTTGAATGGATGTGGTCGCCTAGTCTTGGCGTCGATTGTAAGGTCTCTAGTTGGAGTAAATAGTTTGGTCATGGCAACCGTGGTGGTGGACGCGAATGGAGGAAACATAGTTCTCGTTTGCGGAAATCTACACGAAGTGTCGCAATTTGTTGTGGCTGCGTGTGGATGTCGAGTCGAAATACGTGGATTGTGACGCGTATTTGTATGGATGTCTATTTGAAAGATTGATTGTTGACGTTGGATTGAAATGGTTAAGCCTAATTTGTGGGTGATGGTTAAAATATCTGGACCGTGGTAGCCGTACGGATGTCGAATCAAATATCAATAATAATTACTTGCTACATGATATTTCAGTAGCACTGACTGAACCAGTGCTATAAATCTTAAAGTTTTTTATAGTGCTAATCTCTGCACTTAAGATTGAACATTAAAACATGTAGAAAAAGTACGAAAAGATTGTCGCCGCTGTGGGAATCGAACCCACGTCTTCGGCATTCGCGGCCTGACGCTCTAGCCACTGAGCTAAACGGCTGATAGCCACTGCGACGAAAATCTTAACGCGTTCTTTCTACATTGTTATTTAACATTTGAAGCAATGCTTGGCGCATCTATTGTTATATCCTTTCCAGCATAGAGAGCGTCAGGCCGCGAATGCCGAAGACGTGGGTTCGATTCCCACAGCGGCGACAATCTTTTCGTACTTTTTCTACATGTTTTAATGAACCAATGCTAATTTATTTGTGTATATGCGTTTTCAAGCTCACTTTTAAATTTTCCAATGAAGCTTTGAATTTCAAACGGATTTGCTTTCGACGACCCCCTCGGAGACGACCGCCATTTCGACACAACCCTCGCCCCGCAGGTGCCGTACAGGCCTAAAACTCCGGAGATCATCGACCTGGACGAGTACCCAGAGAGTCCGCAGTCCGTCAAGCGCAAGAAGCTCGAGATCCTGCGCGAGCGCGGCCTCGAGGTGACCGCGGTGCCGCCCTGGCCCGCGCGCCCCCTCCTCGCCCCGGCGCCCCTGCTCGCCCCCGCGCCCCTCCTGCTCGCGCCCGCCGTGCAGCACCAGCTGTTCACGCACGCGCAGCTGCTGCAGATGTACGGCGCGCCGCCCGCCCCGCCCCCCGACGGCGCCCCCCCGCCGCGCGTCATCCAGGCGACGAGCGCGTTCGGCACGCAGGGCCCCGAGAAGACGGTCTACGGCAACCCGAAGGACCCCTTCATGCCGCCCCCGCACATCGTGCACGGCGCCCCCTGCGTGAGGGCGCAGCGCGCCGTCCACCCTCCGCCCCCGCAGCGGCCGCACGACGCGCTCGACCTGAGCCGCCGCCCCGCCCCCGCGCGCCCGCCCCGCGTCGAGATAGTGCGCGTGCCCCCCTCGCCGCCCCTCGCTCCTCACGCCCCGCCCGCCCCTCCCGCCCCTCCCGCCCCGCCCGCCACCCCGCCCAGCCTCGAGATCACGCTCGTCGGGCCGAAGGCGCGCACGCCCCCGAAGCGCCCCCCGCAGAAGCGCTCCTCGAACGGCAAGTTCGCCTCGGCCAAGACGCCCTCCCCGTCGCCGGCGAAAGCGCCCCCCTCCGCCCCCTCGCCGGCGCCCCCCTCCGAAGCGCCGAAGCCGCTCGTCGACCCGGTGTACATGAGCGCGCTGTACAGCAGCCTCGGCCAGATGGACCAGCGGCAGCTCGCCATGTACCGGGACTTCGTAGCGAGCCAGTTCAGGGGCTACAGCGGCCTGCTCAACATCGGCACGCCCACTACGAAGAACTAGGCCGGACCGGGCTCGGCGAATCCCCCGCCCCTTCTCGAGACGCGAGAAGTTTCCAGGGCCGGGACTGCGTTAAATAGAATTTTAGTGTCCATGTGCGGGTAGTTTTAACTACCCACAGACTTTTGTTGAGTTAGCCTAATGTGTGAACGAAATATAAATCAAAGAGAGGGACTTAAACATGAAGACTTATACCTCGCGACATCCGAGATCTTACGTCGCATCCTAATAGACGTTTTGATCTCAAGCCGGCTGTTGGATCGATTTTCGCTTAAGAAGTAACACTTCTCCGCCGCGATCTCACTTATACAATGTAAGAAGTGTCACTTCTCAGGCGGGACGTAACGTACACAACTCCGCGAGCTCGTCGGGCATCAACACTTCTGGCCGTTTCTAAAGAAGTTACGCTTCCGAAGTGATGCTTCTTCGATCGACTTAGGGAACAAGTTGACCCCTCAAAGCGTCCTGTAAATATTAGATTAATAGCCGAATCGTGAAACGCGCGCTGTAAATAGGGTTGTGAGGTCGGCCGCGGCCGTCCCGCTCTCGCGCGCTCCGCCAGAGAGGGACGGCACGAGCCGGCCGTACGGGAATAAACGTTTTCGACGGCGCAATTCTACGGATTCGTTTCATTTCTCCCCATGTCCCGTTGGCAGGTGTCACATTTATTATTTTTATATAATTAATGTTTAATTTATTTATCATAATTAATGTTTGAAATTTAAGAAGATAAATCCCGAATAAAATGCCTTAACACGCGGTTGAAGTAAAACTAAAAAAAAAATCTTCAAGAATAATTTATGGTAATTTAATTTATTTTTCAAAATTAAACTTTGTTGTGGGAAATTATTCGAAATTTAGGAAATAGAAAGATCGACGTGGTGAATGGATATAATATGAAAGCGCAATAATCCATACTAATGTATGTCGGTAGATAAAAAATCATAGCATTTATTAACCTTACATAAATTTATTTATTTAACTTTTACATGCCAATGTTTACCTAATAATGTATCTAATAAACCTAGACCACGCGGAGAATAGTTATGACTAACCTTCGAGCGAGAAAAGAACCCTGTCACCAAAGGCAGCGTTAAGCCTAGGATATAAATCTTTCAAAAATTTCAATGTACACGGACCCAAAGTTTCAATAGCCAATGGCAGAAATACATAACCAAAGTGATTCATATTTGTCTGCCCACTTCAGCAGCCTCCGATGCCGTGCCGGCCCTGACCGAAGTACCACTTAGATGAGAGGCAGCCGAAGTATCTCTTAAGGGATCTAATTCCAGACGTCGGGTCTCTTACCATCAACCGCGGGTTTTTTTTTTATGTGAAAAGTTGCCAACCGAGCAGACGATTCACCTGATGTTAAGTGAATACCGCCGCCTATGGACATTTGCTACACCCGAGGGTTGCAGATGTGTCGACAACCTTGAAAATTGGGCTCCGGCTACCTCACCCACCAGGCGAAACGCGAAAGTATTATACTTCCACTTTACGCCGGTCTTCTGTGAGGTCGCGATACTTACCCGGCCGAGGCTGCTGCAGGGCTCTAAAATAGAATGAACGTTGATGGAAACAAGTGTTGGGGCTAACTCCTTAGATTAGATGACACACCATAGTTAAACGCACGCATGAGCACATGCGCGACCCAAGTGCGTCCGATGAAGCTTTAATAGTCTCGGGACTGAAAGGGGCTAACTCCTAACACCGATTGTGGTGATGTAATAAAATATAATTTCTTAGAATACTTTAAAAACTGATATACCTAGTTAAAGTGATACTGATGATATGATAATTAGGTATGACATTTTGAGAACGCGTGGTTAGCTTGATGACCGTACGTGAACGGATTGTTTGTCGCGATATATTTTAATTCTACCAACGTATTGAATGGACTTCAGGTAAAAAGTGCAAATATAACTGTTTGGTTAAATAATGAACCGAAAAACAAGAGCAGTACGGTTGATGTCGCCAGCGCTTTTTCGATAAGAAATTCCGTGGAGGCTACTTTTAACTTTGATAGGGCCACGCAACAGTGTTCACTTTTGCACGAACGGGCAGGGCAGTCCGGGTTAGTACCACGACCCCACAGAAGACCGGCGTGAAGTAGAAGTGTTACACTTTTTTGTTTCGTCTGTTGAGTGAGGTGGCCGAGGCCCACTTTATTTAAAGGTGCAAATGCATTGCCATTTGCCACCTTACGGGTGTTGCAAAAGTTCATGGGCGAACCGCCAGCGCGTTTGCCGCTTTATTACATAAAAAAGGTGCAAATTTATCTACATTGACACCATTAGGGGTTTGGTGTGGTAGACAAATCGAATGAGACAGATTTCTACAGCAATGCGTAAGCTTTCGTCAAGTAATGTGCCTTAGTTTAATAAATTAACAATTGTGCGAATGCGCGTAAACTTGCTAATAAATAGCGACAGGCGTTAACATGCTACCCGAGGACGTTGGAAGCACCTATTTCAGACGCAGAGTAATGGACAAAGTTCGCTGAACGCCCGTCGAATTAATCCAGCAGAAGTTTTAATATCCGCCACGTGAATGATATTATCGAATCCGTGTTAAGTTTTGTCCTATTAGAAAATCATCATATGCGTCTATCGTAGTCCGTATACTATACGAGACATCTAAATTTTGTCACAAAGAAAAAGTTAGGAATAAATACGGTTAGCACAAAAACGGGGTTGGTAAGGGTTAAATTAATATATTTGTGTGACATCTGTTGGCGAAAAGAACGTTTACACTTTCTACCAATGGATGGCGTTAAGTTTCATTTTACCAAAGCCCCAGTTTTTTTGTACTTTTGGATTTTATTTTCACATGCATTTAGTTGTTAGTTAGTCCACGTTGTTTTTTTTGTCAATACTTAAAAATAAATTAAATTAATAATAGCAATTAAAATTCGATATAATAAATCAACCAGTATCTTGTATTAACTGATGTTTTTGCTTTCAGTCCCGAGACTATTAAAGCTTCATCTGACGCAGAACCGGTGGGCTAGCCAGAACCCACAGGTTTGGGCCCTCCGCTGTGGGTAGGGCCGCGCATGTTCTCATGCGTGCGTTTAACTACGACATGTCATCTAAGGGCCATCGAAGTTGCGGTGCGGACCGAGACCCCGATGGTCGACTGTGATTTTAGCTAATCGGTGGCTGGGGGCGGTGAGAACCGCCCTGGAACGCGGGTGTACCTTGTGTACGCGTTGTGTTGGTCTCGTCGTGCTCGGAGGCGAGGGCGAACTAGTGTGTTTGTTGTTGCACTAACTGTGGGTGTAGTGTTGTCCGGCGGGACCCCCGGCGTTGGGTCCGGCGTATCTAAGTCCCCTTCATCGACCGGGTCGATGAGGACGTTTCGCGGGCGACGCTTGTTGACGTTCGCGTTTGTGTCGGGTTGGTAATTTGCTGCGCTTACCACCAAAGGGTTGGGATGATGTTCGGCTCTATCGAAGAACCGTTTTGTCAAATCTTTAAAATATTCGCGAATCGTCGGGAGTCTGCAATCGCTGTGCAGATCGACGTTGCGTTGGTACCACTGCGCACCGGTTGCACAGCGAATGAACTTATTTTGTACTATTTGCAGCTTGTACAATCGAGTAGGGTGCGTGTGGGCGAAGATCATGCATGCGTAGGACATAATAGGTCGTACGCAGGTCTTATATAATAATAATTTGTGCCTTAAGGGCATTTTACTTTTAGCGTTAGTTAAATTGTGTAGCCGGCCGGAGACGAACGCGGCTCTATTACGAACGTTATTAACGTGCGTAGTAAATGACATACGCGAGTCGAATGTGACTCCTAAGTATTTGACCTTTTTCTCCCAAGGGAGCGGTTGGCCATAAAGGGATATTTGCCCCAACTTTCTGCATTGGCGAGGGCCATTATAAAGATGTGACGGGTAAGTACTTCGTGTGAATCAACCAGTTAAATTATTGTCTCTACTGTGACTTTTATTCCTTGAGTCTTTCTGGAATGTTAGTATTATTTTTATACCATTTCGCAACACTGCATAAAATAATGCCACACAAAATAAAATAATGCCATCTTATTTTATTTTTATTATTTCACGTAACCTACATCAACGTCGCATTCCAACTGCTGCAATTCTTCATGTTTTTGGATGTCCATATCACAACCTGCAGACTCTGCAGTCGTTTGCTAGATTCTCCTGCAACTCTACAGCGTACTTAGAACAAGCAAACTGTCCAAACTGTATACGTTTTCAAACCCTTTCGCGCCGCTATACAATGGCCATACATCAATATAAAATGGCGACGACAGGATCGTAAATTTTATCGCGATTTCAAATCGTAAATCGAAATCGTTGACAATGGAACATTTCCAAGATGGCCGCCTATGTTTAACTCACGATATTATAAAGAAGTCTCACAACTTTTGAGTTTCAAAGAGTCGCTTGAATCGATGGATAAACGGTGCGACAAAGATGGCGATAGTCGGGCGACTATAATTCATTCGAGATTAATTATTCACAACTCACAAATAACCAGATACACGTGATTTTAAAACGTAGCTTGTTTATCCTTTAAGAGTGGAGTCATTATCTACTATTGGAATTCTGGTAAATTGCTAAACCTCTGTAAGACCGTGGTATACACGCATATGATGTGGATACCCAAAACTAAGACGCTACAATAGTTTACATTACAAACAAAATTAACGAAATAAAATATTATATAACTTATTTACTATAACTAAATGTTGTAATATATTTTCACTGTGTTAGTCCTTACATTTATGATATTCGCTGTTTAAATGGAAAAAGTAAAACGAAAAAAAAATTCCTCTAATTTAGCGACCGTCTATCGTGAAATGTATATCAGCAGTATGTTAGAGCAATTAACCACTCTCAGATTAGGTTGTTGAATATGGTCATGGTGGAAATATTTAATTTTAATTTTTATGTATAAAATAAATATTTTCATCACGGTCATGGAAAAGCTCGCTACGGAAATGTTGCACGAATGGGTTGGTCCGTCCGGGTAAGTGCCGCGACCTCACAGAGGACCGGAGTGTAGTAGAAGTGTTACGCGTTAGCGTATCTGGTGAGTGAGGTAGCCGGTGCCGACTTGATTAAAATGTTGCAACACATCAGCCACCTTTTAACATAAGAAAAATGATAATACAGATCTGCTGTAATCATCTGGCCAGATCTTATGAATCTGTTTTGTATGATACCGGTACTGGTCCACCCAACACTCATTAATACCTCTTTCTAAGGCAACTTTCGCTTGGGACAGGGTTTAGCCAGATTTAGAATGAATGAAAAAATAACTGCATATAATGAATGTCACCTTACATGTTGTTTTGATAAGAAATATAATATGATAATAATATAATACGTTCATGCTCTTTACCTCGTTCGCATGTTTTCGGTTTTAATAATATGTAAAACTTCGTTGGACTGAAGAAAAATTAAAATATAAACATTATACAACGCTTATGTGTTAGTATTTGATTACATACCTGTCACAAGTATTATTAATCAAAGGTGTTTGTTGTGTGCTGACAGCATTATCCAGGGGTCGTTACATCCGCTTCTCGGGCTGCCCAAATTTTGCCTTTATACATTCTGAATATTTGCACGTGATTTTAACCTCATTAAAATTATAGAATCGAGAAAAATTAAAAAAAAAAAAAAACCAAATTGAAAAAAAAAAAAAACGCCAATTCGCTCGCCACCTTCACACATGAAAAAAAGTGTTAGTTAACATAGTTTAGCATAATAAATTTTAGCTAACATTGTTTAACATAGCTAACGGAGTTTGGGATTATTCTCAGTCAATCAGTGCCTAATATTTCGATAAGCAAATGATGTATTTATTTACGGAGCAGTCAACAGAGGGCAAAAAACAACTTATTTCTCTTGTGAACTTGAGATATTTTCATAAACATTTATTGTTCTCTAACAATGAAGTCCAAATAATGCACAGCTATTTTAATAACGATAGTAATTATTCCACGGCGAAATGTTGAAGTTGTAGGTTTTGTGCCAATTTGTAGCTTTTATTTGTTTCTTTTTCAAACGAAACGAAGTAATGTTTGGCATTTTCACGTAAACGTAATTCACTTACAGATAATTTTAATCGATAGAGAACAAACTACGTAATTAATTAATAAGTTCTTAAGTTTTTATTAATTTATTCTTTATTGGAATCAATTTAAAAAAAACTACGAAAGGGCGGACTTTACGCCTGAGTATCTACTGTCAACATGATAAATCTACTTTCATTATTTTTTACTTTAAACTGATTGTTTGGGTTCACTAGGAGCACTTTTTTTATAAACCAAGGAGTTTTTATATACCGACCAAATCACGCTAAAAGTCCCTGGCCTTGTGGACCAAGGTTAAGACTCCACAACCAAAAAAAAGTTTATATTTATCGTTAAATAATGAGACTCAAACCAGTGCGAATAATTTATTTGTGTAGAGGGTAGTATAGTAATCTTAAATCTACGGATACCTTAAAGACTTTTTTTAGGTGGCAAACGTTTCACCTGATGTTAAGTTAAACCGCCGCCCATTAATTCGTTTTCTTCGAGAAGGTAGCAAGCGAAGTGGCGGTACAGCAGATGTTAAGTCATAACCGCCGCCCATGGACAACTTGCGATTGCAATTTACCTCATTCCCCAGACGAAACGCAGAAGTATAACTCTTCCAGTTCACGTTCTTCTGCGAGGTCGTGGTACCCGGCTGGGCCAAATTAATACACTTTTTAAGAAGGCAACTTAATATACTTTTTAACCGTGCGGAAAGTATCGACATTTTCAACGATTCCCCTGATGTTTACAAAAAGAAAGTACTGGAGTCATTTCATTAATATATATTATACAACAGTATCCTTTAAAGTGAATTTATTTTTTAATTTATTTTTGATTCTTTTTTGTTAGTCTACCTAATCATATTATAAACTGTGAATCAGCTTTTGCGCATTTGTGTTTTTTTTTTTGGGCTGGATGAGCCACTGTTGGCCTTAGGGGCCTTTACAGTTCCGACGGGCTTGAGGTGGCCTGGCGCACGGGGCGCCTAGCCTGACCCTCGACGTATTATTATTACGCGTTGTAGGACTATTTATTATAGTTGTAATATAACCGTCAACGATGCGCGAATAAGTCGCCCGTCTTGATTATTTTTGAGAGCTTCCTTAAGATACTAGAAAACGACAAACACCTAAATGTCCCATTGAGATATATTAAAAAACTAACAGCAACGATTTATTTCTTTAAAACTACTTATGGAAACTAATAAACTATTCGCAGATTTGACGATATGATGTTGATAAATGAATACGACTGTATGTATTGACTGTATGACTGTATGTATTATACGACTGTATGGTTGATCATTATCATCATTAAATATGTACTTTTATGTTGTTGATAGTTGATCATGTATTTTTATGTTGTTGATAGTTGATCCTCAAGTCAATCAGCGTACAAATTATTATTATTATTAAAAGGTGGTAACGCAGGTGCGTTGGTTGCAGATGCAACTATACGGCTGTTGCATTGTCAATGGGCGGCGGTTATCATTTAACATCAGGTTAACCACCAGCTCGTTTGCCACCTTCTCGCATAAAAAAAAATGTATTATTGTACCTCACTATACTTATCACATATTTTATAATTGACATTAAACAAATTCTCTATGGCTTTTGCCGCCAAGAAAAAAAAAACATTCGGGAATGGCGGGAAAATAAATGCTTACATGAATTAATAAAGAAAAAATGGCGGTACAATTAATAACGTAAACTAGAACAGTCTGTTTGGAGAAATCACCTAAACTATGATAATTATAAATTTTAAAGTTTTTTTTAATCTTTGCATTTAAGATTGAACATTAAAATAATTGAATTAATTAAGATATATAAATGAATTAATAAACTTTATATGCAATCGAAATACGGTAGTAGTATTCCGCTGCGTGTAATCTCCGAAACATAAAAATCATTTTTTTCCAACGCACCAAGGCCATATTATTCCACACTACAACTATGTGTCATACATAGACGAACGGTTACGTAGTGTGCAGTAACAGTTAAGGTACAGTTCCACTGTCACATTTTTGTTAGGTTCGGACAATTAAAAAAATAAAATGTGTGCATGTACTAGCGTACACTCGTAAGAAGTGAAACTTTTTTATGACGTTATTTTTCAAAAAATAATGTACTATATGCAACTTTATAGAAATTGGTTAAATAAAGTTAAATAAGATAAAGTTTAATAAAAGGCTTTTATTATCATACACATAAATACAAATTCTACAATTATTTCATTAGCTTTGGCGTTGGCGTTAGGTGGCGTTAGTAGTAAATTAAAACACACTATGGTTTGACCGTTGTAATTAGTATGAGGGTCCGCAAAATTGTTGATTAAAAAACTTGCAACGTGAACCTTGTTTATTTCCATTAACCTCACGGACCCAAAATACAACCGCTTTGAATTTGTACATGGTCCTTCGTTGCCGAATAGTCAGCCAGTGAGTAGAAGGCAGACATTCGACTCGCGCGCGAGTGTTGTGAGTGAAGTTTTTTTGGAAAACCGAACTTGCGGACGTTGGATCGACGTCGCAACCGCAAGCAAGTTCCAGGAGCCGATCGAGGCTTCGAAGAGCATCATCGGTCAGCTTCAGATTGTGTCTTCGGTGGAAGGCGCAGTCAGGTCACGGTGGGCGGTGCCTGCCTTTGGAGAAGAGGAAGTCTCTACAGTGTCGTGCTCTGAAGTATTAGAGCTAGCACTGTCATTACTACAAATATTATTATTGAATTTCATTAATTGTAATAGAATTATTACTATCATTGATTGTTGTTATTATATATTTGTGTTATTAATGGCTTATGGTAACTGAAATACGAAATATATTGTTTACATTTTAGAATTACAATTAAAATAAACCCTTTGATTTTGCTGATCACTTTAATATAACATATATATAGATTGTTATGAACACACAAAGGAACTAACGCCATCTAGCGTCAACTATTAAAACCACTAAAGAATAAAGACGACATAAAACCCCTTATTCAACCCCGATAAAGAAGTTTCACTTCAAAAAATCGAAACAGCAATTACATAGATAATCGATAAAGTAAAACTGATTGCGTGCTATATTGGTACGTTGGGTAATTCTGCATGGGAATAAGCCATACGTTCGCGTCACCGACATGCTAATGTAAAAATTATATCGTCACGCAAACACCAGTTGTCGTCAGTTCACCGAAGTTAAGTAACAAATAAAGTAAAAAATTTGTACCCTTTTTACGAAAAATGTGCGGTTGGAAGAGTATGAAATTTCCAACACTTACGGTTTATATAGAAAAGGAGTCCAGAATGCTAATGTTTTTTTTTTTTCATGAGATACAGCTTGGTGACAAACGGACGGACAGACAGACAGCGGAATCTTAGCATAGGGTCACGTTTGCTTTATAGGAAACACAGGAGATGACGTCAAACATTACTTTAAACGTAACAAAAAGCAAAGTATATATATAAAATATGTTGAGATTTTCATCGGTGTAAAGACGAGCCGTTAAGCTCAGTGGCTAACCGTCGTTCGCGTATCCTGGAGGTTCAAATCCCTGCAGCGCAGAAAGCCTTTTCGATATTTTTTCTACATAATTTTTAAATGAACGACGCGTTCGTGACAGCGAAACTCACCCTTAAGCCGCGACCGCGCGAATAAATATAGGACGGTCGGACGCGCAAAGCTCAGTCCGCCACAAAAATCAGTCTACTTCGCACATCAAACCCGAAACAGTTTTAAATATAACCGATTACAAGATGAGTGCAGTACCCTTGGTCGTATTCAACAATGGCCATACCTGCCCCGTCATCGGCCTGGGCACGTGGAAGGTGAGACAAATAATACATTACCCTACTTCAGTCAAAGATCATTCTAACTGAGCCTACTCGATATCGTGATTTTCAATCGACCTAGAAAGTCGTGAATTGCATCGTTTCAATTAGGTACTACGCTTAGGATTATATTGTTACATTTCATTTTTGTATCTTATTCAAGTAAATTTTTGGGGGTAGGTGCGGAAAATGCTTAAGTAAATTTTGAGGGTAGTTGCGGAAAAATGCTTGAATGCTTATTTGTTTTTCACTTCATTTAACGAGATATTTATTCGACGTTTCATTGTCCTAACCTTATCAAGTTGATCTCAAAGTACTTAGTTATTGGCAAAATCACTGACGTATCAGTGGAGCCATAGTAGGGAAAAACTATAATTTTTGAGAGAACCTTTAGATTGGAAGTATTTGAAGAAACTATGAAACGTTACATATTTAACGATGGTAAGTATACAGTTAATGTTCCAGTATGTCTATTTTAAAAGATTTCAAAATTACCTTAAATAATTGTATAATCGTGTTGGTGTCAGTACCGTCTTAGCCTAAGAATTTGGTTTAATTATGATCGCTTGATCATTTGTAGTTTTATGTCACTGCCATTTATTGTTCAATGTCGTATTATTTGATGAATAATGCATTGAATTTGCTTACGGAATGGTAATTTGAGAATTCTTTGCAACGTTCGAGAAATGTTCGCTGTCGGAGAGGCGGTAGATTTGAAACGCGCGCCACGTGATCGCAGTTTTCAGTTGTCCAAAAACGAATTGGTTCGTTTATTTATTGTTAATAAGATCTTATTAGCTATGCCTATAGCTATAGCCTATTAATGTAATAAATGTGACACAAATTTAGTTTTTTCTACATTCCGTAGACTCCATTTACTGCCTTCACTGTCTAATATATATATTTTTATAAATAAAGTTAAAATCAATAAAAATATAAAAAAACGTAACCAAATCGTTCTTCGATTTGAAGAACAAATAGTTTTTTTTTCGCATCTTCGACTATAGCCGTGAGTCAGTGAGTATTGTTAGGTCATTTACTGAAAAGCATTTAAAAATATAAAGCAATAAGAATTAAAAATAAAACATGGTTTTATGCGGCTGTCACGTCCCTACTTTAAAAGACTACATAAAGCAGTTTTAATGTTACCACACGCGTGTTACTGAGTTATTGGTCGAAAATTATATCTTATTTATAAAATAAGTTGTATTTAACAATATTTAATATTGGAGTAAATTTAAGAAATGATTGTCAAATTTATTTTACATGCTCACGTAATTTCATAAATAAAATTAAAACTGTCTAGACCTAATAAAACTTCCTTTTTGAACGTCACGCATTACTAATATGAATAGTCTGTATGGAGAGATCCCAAGACGTTAGTTATAGTTATGTCAAAATATGGCTTCGAACTAAAATATATCACAAGGAAACTTCCGTTAGAGGAAAAAATGCATCATGAATAATTTGTTTACAATAATTGAACGTTGGATATAATTAACTGTCATTATTCATTATATATACACATAAGTAGTTGATATTAATTAGGACTAAGTAATACGTTCGACCTCTAGTCGTGGGTTCTAATCTTGCATCGAAGTCGTATACATTGTTCATGTTTTGGCAAAATTTCCCTTCCACACCAGGTGTTTTTAGATCTAAAAAAAATTATTCGGCAAAGAAAAATCATAAATGGAATAATAAACAAGCAGAAGTCGCCGGTTGCTTATAGTTTCAGGTCGAGAAAAAAGTAGACTTAAAAATTATTATTTTCAATAAAGAAATCCGCCATTTTATTTAGAAAAGGGCCTCGCCGACAGATTTTTATCTAGTAAATATTGACAAATAATACATTTATTTTCCACGAATGTTAAGAAAGCATTCGCGACTTCGGTGGTTGCACGGATAGTATGACCTATGGCCGGCGGATAAGAGTTTATCTCTTTACTTTTATTACTGCCGCATCTCGTCCAACCTCCTTCAAGAAAGGAGGAGGCTCTCGATTCGACTGTATTTTTTTTTGTTTGTTACCTCAGGACTTTCGACGGAGTGAACGGGTTTTGATGATTCTTTTTTATTTGAAAGCTGGCACTTCCCATGTGAATATATCAAAAAATATAAATGTGAAATATCCCAATTATAAAATCAATACAGAGCGAGATAAGTCCCATATCAATTTCATTGGTATTGGACCTTGGGCTCCGGAGATACGCAGGGAACTCGTGAAAATCAATTATAAAATCAATACAGAGCGAGATAAAAGTCGGTTTTGTTTTTCGTTAATAAGAAAATGGACTTTTAAACGCCACCGATACTTAATCATTTCACTAGCGACTCGCCCCGGTTTCGCACGGGTGCAATGTATTATACAAATAAACTTTCCTCTTGAATCACCTATCTAGAAAAAAAACCCGCATCAAGATCCATTGCGTAGTTTTAAAGATCTAAGCATACATAGGGACAGACAGACAGCGGGACGACTTTGCTTTATACTGTGTAGTGATATACCTTTTATGCGCCCCTCCATACCTCACTTACCTCGTATTCAGCATTGGTGTGTACTTCCGGGCGATATGTTCGAAACGCGCTCCCATTGTTAGGCCTTCGTTAATTTCCAAAGCAAACGGAAATCGATTCGCCGTATTGTTTGAACAAATTTGCGCGGTGTAAACAATTGTGGCGAAGTTACTACATATTAGTGCAGTTACTATATATTAGTATAGTGCTTGATGACAATCCGTGCGAACCGCATTGCATGCGAATACATATTTAACCGACTTCAAAAAAGGTCTCTTCGGGTTCTCAATTCAACAATTTTTAGGGTTCCGTAACCAAAGGGTAAAAGGGGGACGCTATTTCTAAGACTCCGCTGTCCGTCTGTCTAACATTTTAGGGTTCCGTAACCAAAGGTTAATTTTAATTAAATATACTCGAGCAACCCGAGTTCGATCCCCGGTGCCGGCACCAATGAAGTTTTTAATTTTAAGTGCCGACTTATCACGAGCTCAGCGATGAAGTAAAACATCGTGAGACACGAAACCTGGATCTTTTCGAAATAATAACAAAAAAATATTTCGAAGATATGTGGAGTCTGCCAATTGGCAGTGGGGCCGCGTGGTGGACTATGCCCGGATAACCTCTGTACAGAGGAAGTCTTTGCCCAGCAGTGGGAAATATGGAGGCTGTTACTTTACTTAATAATTTCTTTTATTCACGCGATTACAAATTACTCAATGAAACTTTGTTTACGGATTTATCGCGATAATTTTTAGTTTTAATTCTTGTTTTAAACTCTTACTTTACTTTTTACATCGATTTATCTGTCTGTCACTATACAATTATACATCTTTCTATTTGATTTGAGTTCATTGATATATCTCCGGAGTCCAGGGTTTCATTTCTTGTTGAATTGAAACTGAGCTAAACAGAATTATTATTAGTTTATAGTATATAATCTAATGTATAAAATTCTTGTATCACGGTGTTTGTAATTGAACTCCTCCGAAACGGCTCGACCGACTTTCGTGAAATTTTGCGTGCATATCGGCCAGGGTAGAGAATCTGACAACATCTATTATTACCCCCTTAAATGTTAAGGATGGTCCACCCCAAACATTTTATTCTACCCTACTAATAATTTATATGGCAAAACGTTTGCCGGGTCAGCTAGTTTTATCTATAACTTTTAAAATCTCATAAATTACGTAGCTCTGGGGTAACAACGATCGGAGCTTCTCAAGTTCCCCCTTTTTTAAGTCTGCGAAAGTTCAATCAAACATGGCGGCTCAAGATGCAATCGGGACAGTCTATTATCTCCTCAACTTGCGGCGGTTATCGTGTTATTTTTTTTAATTATGTAATGTTATTTCATCTTGTGCCGAAAACAAGGTCATGTTTGTCCAAATGTTTTGACTTTGTCCTTGATATCGAACGTACTGTTTTTTATCAGTCGTGATTACACGACGGTTATCGATGTCAACTGACACTAGGGATGCGCTGTACGATTCTGTATATCGTAATATCGATAACGGCGCAGATAAATCGATGTTTAACACGATATTTAGACCGCACGATACTCAATCTTTACGTGAGAAAGTGGTTAGGGGGTGGCGGCTCACCTGAGCGAGAACCGCATTTAATGCTTCTTTTTCTATTTGTTCGTGATGTAGTTGATTGGGGGATTTTCCGTGAAGGCTTTTCTTATTATAATTATTAAACTAGCTGTGCCCGCGACTTCGTCCGCGTGGAATTATCCTTACATTACTTTTATTTCTTAAATAAAAGTAGCGTAAGTTACTCCTTTTTCTATGCGAAAAGTTACCAAACGAGCAGACGGTTCACCGGAATACCGCCGCCCATGGACATCTGATACACCCGAGGGTTTGCAGATGCGTTGAGAACCTTTTGAAAATTGGACTCCGGCCACCTTACTCACCAGACGAAACGCGAAAGTATTATACTTCCTCTTTACGCCGGTCTTCTGTGAGGTCGTGGTACGACGTGGTCGTCGCCCATTCGTGCAACAGCCGAGGCTGCTGCATGGCTCTACCACCGTAAAACTCCTTACCTATTTAACTCATTACTTACTCCTTATTTTGACATCTTTTTTTAAAATGTGCCAGTGAAAGTCCCGTCCAAAATGGTCCAGCTTTTTCAGAGACTAGCCGAAACAAACAGACAGACAGACAGACAAAAATTGTAAAAAGTTCTTATTTTGGTATAACTAGTGTACGGCTTAGTAACCTATAGAATATATTTATAGCTACTTAACATTATTTTACTATACTTTCACATGCATAAAAATACATTTTCAAAATTCATTTCATTGTTTCTTCGAAATATTGTTTAGATTTATTGTTTCATTTGAAAAGGTCCTAAGGCCCTTTTGGTGGGCGACATGTTCGGCCTAATAACCAAATATAGAATATATTTGTAGCTACCTATATTTGTAATGTAACGTCTTCAATGTCAAATAGATCGTTGAGCAAAGCATACGTGTAATTACAAATTACAACCCAAAGGAAAATCGACTTTATTACAAACTTACCTTTATACATATAAGCAGTTATTTGAATATTATAAAAAAGACACTCCCAATTTTATTTATCTGTATAAATTATTATTTTTCTATTGGCACTTTTGTGTATAATTTAATTTGTGGTAGACAATAAGTGTATTCATTCATTCATTCATTCAATATTATTATTACACTCTTGCAATGGCAGGTGCAGCCATTTTAATGAATTGACTGAGCGAGTTGACCGTATGATTTTACTGAATTAACTAAACGAATGAACTGAACGAATTGACTGACCGAATGGTTCCCCTTCCAGTCGCAGCCAGGCGAGGTGACGCAGGCCGTGAAGGACGCCATCGACGTGGGCTACCGCCACATCGACTGCGCCCACATCTACCTCAACGAGAAGGAGGTGGGGGAGGCGCTGAGGCAGAAGTTCCAAGATGGCACCGTCAAGAGGTGAGCAGCAGAACTACGTAAAATTCTTTATTTGCCATAACCAAAAAAATAAAATAAAAATGAACAGAAAAATATGAACAAAAAAAAGATATAAAATAAACTCATAATATTTCTATTTTCTAAAAATTTTTTTCTAAAAATTTCGCAGTGCTGATTTTCAGCTCATCCCTGATTAAAAACTTCTGCCTACATCATCATTTGCAAAGATCGATAGCGGTAGTTGGCATATTTTGTTCAGTTATGTGTATCTTAATATCAATACCGTACTGAACACAAAGGACAGGAAGACAAAAGATTCTATATATGTCTGCTGCCGCTATAACAACAAATACTAAAAAAACACAATAAATAAGTGGGGCTCCCCGTACAACAGACATGACTTTTTCTGCAGTTTTTATAGATGATGCACGGAACCATTCGTGCCCGAGCCCGACTCGCATTTGGGCGGTTTTTAATATCTGCATCTGCGACCTGAAACGAGTTGTAGTTTATAGGCGGCGGTAACATCAGGTAAACCGCCCGCTCTCTTGACAACTTGTGATGATACAAGTATAATTTTTAACAAAAAAAAACAGACTTCAATCAGAAAATTAAAAAACTTTTTTTCTGGGATGCCATCATCAGATCCGGGTTTCCTTATCATGGTACCACCCTGACACATAAATCACGAAGTTATCCACGAACACACAAAAAAAATATATATATATATACGGTCGAATTGAGAAACCTGCTCTTTTTTTGAAGTCGGTTAAAAAGGTCTGACGGTAGGGTATCTCTTTCAATTCAAACTAAAATCGAACATCGGTTTTTTTTTTTAATGTGATAAAGTGGCAAACGAGCTGGCGGTTCACCTGATGTTAAGTGATACCCGACGCAACATGGACATTTGCAACATCCGTAGGGTTGCAGACGCGTTGACAACCTTTTTGAAAATTGGGCTCCGGCTACGTCACTCACCGGACGAAACGCGAATGTATTATACTTCCACTTTACGCCGGTCTTCTAGCGAGTATTTATTTATTTATTTATTTATTTATTTATTTATTTATTAAGGCTTACCAACTAAATACATACAGAACATTGAAATGTAAATATGTTTAACTTAATACTAAAGTCGTAAACAATACATGTACATATTTAAATTACAGGTAAACACAACACTTACAAAACAAACTTGAAATATAGAACAGGAACCTAACTAAAAAAAAAAATCTTTTATCTCTGAGAAAAAAAAACTAAATTAGGAAAATTGGAAAAATTGGGAAATTACAGTACAAACTCTTTGTCAATTTATCTACAAAATATTGTATCATAGAGTAGGTTTAAGTTTTCTTTCTTTTTTAAAACAGTGCCCTTACTTTAGGATAACATTATCCTGTGTTGTAAGGACGTTTTACAAACACAAATTTCGCGCGGACAAACACCCAGACGCGAAACTATCGTGGGAATCGGACCCACGACCCCCGGTAACGAAGCCGATACTGGCAACTGCGCCATAGTCATCAGGAGTAAAACTAGTCATGTAAATGTAATACGATTCCGCTATGCGTAAATAAAGTCGACCTTGCGTTCAGTTTTGTTTGGGAGCGATAAAGTTGCAACATTCAATTACCATCTGTTCATTAATATGAAGACAAATCTGTATCTCTTTTGTTTTCATTTCTTGTATCATTTTAAAAAGAAGTGAAAGAAAGTGTTATAATGACGTTTTAATAAAAACCGGCCAAGTGCGAGTCGTATTCGCGCACGAAAGTTTCCTACCATTATCTATAAGAACGGGAAAAAATATCGTGTCTGTTTTATGGTGCTCCCACCACTTAAATATTTTTGTATTCAGTTTTTTTTATGTGAAAAGTGCCAAGCGAGCAGACGGTTCACCTGATGTTAAGTGAATACCGCCGCCCATGGACATCTGCTATACCCGAGGGTTCCAGATGCCTTTTGAAAATTGGGTCCGGCCACCTCACTCACCAGACGAAACGCGAAAGTATTATACTTCCACTTTAGGCCGGTCTTCTGTGAGGTCGCGGTACTTACCCGGAGAAGCCTGCCCAGTCGTGCCCTTGGCCCTACCACCGTGAAAAAGTTTCTTAGAATTTGATTTTATAGCGGCAACAGAAAAAAAATCAACTTTACGCTTCCTGAGAAATAGCCTGGTGACAGTCGAACAGACAGACAGACTGAGAAGTCTTATTAATAGGGTCCCGTTTTTACCCTTTGGTAACGGAACCCTAAAACTGACGCATGTCCATACTGCGCTGCGAAGTGAATGTGACAGATGATACAGAACGTGTGATACGGAAAGAGATAGCTGCGCTAGTTTCTTAACTACCTCATGTCTGTTTATAATATCATTGCAACACAGCAAATCTATGAAACATGTCTTTGGCTGTTGCACTAATGGGCAGGTCCGTCCGGGTGAGATGTCTCGCAGACGCTTACCGTAGATCACAGACCGTTATCTATAATAAATGTTTATAGACCTTGCGCTTTTATTTAAAAAAAAAACATCAAATGATAAAATGATAAATTACTTGTACATACAAACCGACCGATATTCAAGTGACACGCTTGCATAACAGTAATGACGTAAAGACATTTAACATACTTCTATGGTCACCTTCTGCAAACTTGAAAGTAATCTCAATAAGAACAAAACTTTAAACATAAAATAAAAAAAAACAATATACAAAGAATACGTCGAAGAACAAAAGAAAAAAATTATACTAGCGACCCGCCCCGGCTTCGCACGGGTGCAATGTATTATACATAATAAACGTTCCCCTTGAATCACTCTATCTAGTAAAAAAAAACCCATCAAGATCCGTTGCGTAGTTTTAAAGATCTAAGCATACATAGGGACAGACAGATAGCGGGACGCCTTTGTTTTATAGTATGTAGTGATAGTAGTTATAACTTTAAATCAATGATTTTTAATAATATAGATGACGCATGTCCATGTTGCATGGCGTTTAAAAATTGTTCCGCTTTGGATTATATTACATAATATGTAAGTGAATGTGACGGAGGATAAAGCCTAACTAACAAATACGCCGGCGATCCACAAGAGGGGTGGTTAGTTTATTTACACCAACACCTTCGTTCCATTTCCAAGGTGACTCTATGGAAACAGCTGGCAAACCTTTCATGTTTAATATTTAATGCTGTAATTACCATAATAACGTAAGCAATTAACCCCATTGGTATGAGTCGGGCTCGCGTACGAAGGGTTCCGTAACATTCTAACATATAAAATTCTCGTGTCACGGTGTTTGTAATTGAACTCCTCCGAAATGGCTCGAGCGATTTTCGTGAAATTTGGTGTGCATATCGGTATACGTAATTGTAGTGTAAAGTGACCACTCTGTAATTATAGGGGGGTGGGGAGACATTTGGGGTGGTGTGCATATCGGCCAGGGTAGAGAATCTATTTTTCATCCCGTTAAATGTTAAGGGTGGTCCACACCAAACATTTTTTTCTACCCTACAAATAATTTATATGGCAAAACATTTGCCGGGTCAGCTAGTTGTCTATAAAAATCTAACATTTTTAGGGTTCCGTACCCAAAGGGTAAAACGGGACCCTATTACTAAGACTCCGCTGTCAATCTGTCGTCCTATGCACTAAGCACAATGCTTTATAGATATGAAGATCTGTGATATATCCCTATAAATACTGCTGTATATGCATCTGATGATGTCTAGTTAATGGGCTGTGATCTTTCAATATGAATACGGAAGAGTATACAAGTATATAGTATATAAGAATATAGTAATATACAAATATATACATAGTATAAAACAAAGACGTTTCCGTTTGTATGCTTGGATCTATTAAACTACGCAACGGATTTTAATGCGGTTTTCAGCAATAGATAGGGATCCAAACGAAAGGTTTATGTGTAGTGTACCAACATGCATATTTTAGAAGAGAAAAGCAGGATAATCCAATATCTACATTGCAATCGTCCGGAGCCGGGGCGGGTCGCTAGTTTTCAAAAAAAAGATGAGATTCTCAATTCGACTGTATTTTTTAAAATGTTTCGTTGGTATTAGATCTCGGGCTCCGGAAATACGTAGGGAACTCCTGACAAATAGATATTTTAAGTCGGATTTGTTTGTCGTTAATAAATAAATGTCTTATAAAGTATTAATCGCGTATTCAAACATTCAAAAATCATTTATTTATTGAAATAAGAAATATACATTACTTTTTCTTCTTCTTTTTAATAATGACTTGCTTTGTGAGTTGTGACAATTTGGCTAATGTCAAGTTGATATCCATTACACAGTCGTAAATTATAAATTTAGTTAACGGGGATTACTAATTTAAGCATGTCTATAAGAGTTCTAACTTTTTTACCTTGATCCTATACGTGAATATTAACAACTATTATAACGACAAGCGGCACTAGTGGTTATATAAACGTCTGGGAACGCGGCCGAAATCCAAATTCCAAGTGACCGCTGCTACATGCGACCATGTGTCCCTTGGTTCGAGTAGATAACGTCATATCCGGTATACAGTGTTGCCAGCGCCAACATGTCTTACCTGAAAAGAAGGACGTCACATTCAGGGCAACACAAACATGGAACGGATAAAGCTGTGAAGAGAAATATACATTTCATTTATCGACAGTCATTTTTTTAAATCTACCACCGTTTCGTAATGAGGTTCCCCTAACGGAGAAGAAACAGACGAAAGAAACTCCGTAGGCATCCCCTTTTTTGTCATTTTTTTTACTCAAACAATTACATTGTTAAACAGTACACAATTTTTTTTCTTTAGAAACAGCTTAGGATCGTCTCATTCCGTTGGGTTGTTAACGTTAATGCATTCATTTATATTATAATAATCCTTTTTAAAAAGTTCTTCTTTTATAAATTTCTTAAACCTGTTAATAGATAGATACTCCGTGGCGCAGGTGCCAAGGTATTGGCTTCGGCGTCGGGGGTCGTGGATTCGATCCCCACACGGGACAACTATTTGTGTGACCCACAGATAGTTGTTTCGTATCTGGGTATTTGTCCGCATGAAATTTATGTTTGTAAAACGTCCCTACAACACACGATAATGTTATCCTAAAGGGCAACGTTTAAAAAAAAAAAAAAAGAAAAAGAAAAGAAAAAAAGAAAAAAAAAAAAAAAAGAAAAAAGATAGGCTTTGCACATTAACTTGATTGTGTTGTACAAGCGTGTACACCGTCTCATGAACGAGTTACTGACTCTATGGAGTCTAGTATTGCATTACATAGCGATGGTGTTTCCCAGGGAGGAGATTTTCATCACGTCGAAGCTCTGGTGCACCTTCCACCGGCCGGACCTGGTCGAGGGTGCCCTGAAGACCACGCTCGAGAACCTCGGCCTGGAGTACTTGGACCTGTACCTCATCCACTGGCCCCAGGCCTACAAGGTGGGGCGATCTCCCGTCATTCCTTAATCATTCGTATTATTATAGAGAACTAACTGCTGTACGCGACTACAACTGCGTAGAATAGGCATATTTTATATACATAAAATATGTATATAAAATATAAATTATAGCCTATGTGTTATTCTGATGTATAAGTTATATTATTGTAAAGTTTCATTAGAATCCATTCAGTAGTATTTGCGTGAAAGAGTAACAAACATCCATCCGTACATGCAAACTTTTATAATATTAGTGAGGATTTAGAATATCTTGAATGTCATATCTTGAAACATTTTTTTTATTATTATTTCGAATAGTTTTCCTCCGACGCTGAGGTCGTAATAAGTCGGCACTTAACATTGCAATGAACAATTTCATCAGTGACGTCACCGGGATTTGAACGCCGGTTGCTCGAGTGTATTGAATTAAGCGAGCGTAACTGAGCTATCACGGCTCTGAATAAAAAACTGCATACAAAATTTCAAATTTCTACCACAGAGGTTGTCTATGAAACCTTTAAAATTTAAAAAAAGAACGAAAACGTATTCGCCGCTGCGGTAATCGAACCAACGGTTTTCGGATTAACGAGCGGACGCTTTAACCACTAAGCTATATGGCTGATCGCTACCCCGACGAAAATCTCATGCCCAGTTTCCGAAAGGCCAATCAAAGCAGCAATCACATAACACTATGTCAAAAATGATCAGCTGTTAATCTCTTGTTAAACTGCCTTGGGTTTCTGGAAGGTTTGTAAAAGAAAAATTAGCTAATCACTGTATAACCAATGCTAATGAATGAAAATGAATGATTTACTTCAACTAACTCTTTCTATTGTATAGCTGTCCCTTTTTAAACAAAACTTAACTTAACGTTACTATCCAGTCCTGTCACCGTGTGATTGCCAACGTAAAAATCCGAGCTATAATAAAATTTAATTTATATAAATACATGTAAAATGTAAAGAAAAAACATTACAGAACGTGAAATAAATGAACTTTTATCCATAATAAACAAGTATTATAAAAAGAAAGAATCCATATTATTTATTAACTTTTGAGTTGCATTTTCTATTTTTTCTAATCGCATGATATGTTCGCATAATAATAAATAATAAATAGGTAATAGAACACATGAATTTCCTATTAGGGAATTATGTTTATGTTTAATAAAAACTAAGATTTTTGATAAAATACATGTTTAACCAACGATTGATCCTCCAAATTGACAGATTACTTAATAAAACTTTTGACAGCTCGTTGACCACCGAAAAACGCTTTCAGAAACTCGATTTTCTGTTGATTGTCCGTTAATCAGTGAATTATTTTGATTTGAATCAATGTTGTTTTCAGACGTTCTTGCAACTCAGATCATGTTAAACAACGTTTGACAAGAGATTTATCGTAAATTAAAATTGATTGCGCTTTCGGAAACTGGGTGTATGTCTTTGCCTACATTGTTTCTCCGAAATACGTGGGTTTGATTTCCGCAGCGGCGAGAAACCTTTTGTCCTTTTTTTTTCTACAAACTTTAATTTTTCATCTAAGTGTCGAGATTGGCACCATAAAAAATATTTCGTATGTAACCTTGTCGGCTACAAAGTGCTGTGAGTACTTTCCGTAGATAACGTTTAAAAACTACGATCAATCATGGTTACATGACACCCTTGTCATTGAACATATTATAAAACTAGTCGTGTGATTATCGTGATGAAGGCATAAAATCGAATAGTTTTCATCGCAAATCGTCAGCCCTTTTTTTTATCGGGGGGGGAGGGGGGGGGGGGGGGAATCTTCAAAAGATACCCTGTCATCTTACATGACAGGGTTGTGTGGGGTTTTACCCACTAAAACCACCTCGGTGGCCAACTACTGTACATTTAGATGGACTATGGGATCCTCTCCCATGGAACGCAGCGCCTCGGAGAAGGATAGACCTTCCCCGATTCCCTCGCCATCTTGCAGCAGCTTGAGACCACTTCGTGCTGCTGCCAATCCGTGTCCCCTTTTAGTCTCCTTTTACGACAGGCAGGGGATACCTTAGCCCTATACTGTGAGCCCGAGACTAAAGGGTCGCGACACCATTTGACATCATGTTGTAAGCGGTTTTGGCAATATTTTAACCCGACTTCAAAAAGGAGGAAGTTCTCAATTCGACTGTTTTTTTATGTTTATTACCTCTGAACTTTCGACTGGGCGAACGGATTTTGATAACTCTTTTTTTTTTTCGAAACTTGATGCTTCCCATCTGGTCACCTATTAATTTGGTCGGCCGTTTGGTCTCCCCTGACGAGGGCTTCCGACTGGTTGGGTACCTATTTATATATGTATTATATACTATATTTATATCTGTATGTTTATTTTTATTCATAATATTTGTTTTATATATGCAATATATACCTGTCTATATGACGAGAAAACAAATAAATATCGCCAAATAATAATAATAATATCCTCTTACCATTCCGTCATCTCATTCAGACTTTCGATCGCAACCACGTTTTTAGGTAAAATTTTTCAAACGAACGGCCGGTTCACCTGATGTTAAGTGTCTAGCATGGTCAATGGTCAGGCTCGCCAGACGAAACGCGGAAGTATTACACTTCCACTTCACACCGGTCTTCCGCGGGGTCTACTCACCCGGACGGACCTGCCCATTCGTGCAACAGCGGAGACTGCTGCGTGGGCTCACCACAGCTCTCCCCTCCAGGAGGGCGACGACCTCTTCCCGAAGGACGCCGAGGACAAGGCGGTGCCCTCTCCGGTGGACTACGTGGACACGTACAAGGCGATGGAGGCGCTGGTGGACAAGGGACTGGTGAGGAGCATAGGAGTCTCCAACTTCAACAAGCGCCAGCTGGACAGGGTCATGGAGGCGGCCAGGATCAAACCCGCTGTCAACCAGGTGAGGCCGGTTTTTTATGTGAAAAGTTTCCAAGAGAGCAGGCGGTTCGCCTGACGTTACGTGAATACCGCCGCCCATGGGGAACTGCTACACCCGAGGGTTGCAGGTGCGTTGACAACCTATAGAAAATTGGGCTCCGGCCACCTCACACACCAGACGAAACGCGTAAGAATTATACTTCCACTTTACGCCGGTCTTCTGTGAGGTCGTGGTTACAAATTAATTACCCGGACGGAAGAATCTACTACCGTAAAACCGTTTCTTTCTTTCTAGAAGTCAAAATTACCGTTTCTTTCTTTTTTAAAGTTTAAATTGCGACACTCTCGGTCGACATCTCTAGTTCGATTTAACTACAGGGAGACTTTTTAAAGTTGCCCAAATTTACACAGGATGTTCAGACTCGGTAGTATAATCGTTTATTAAAATACCTTTTTTTCAAAAGAATTACGATTCTATTCCCTAAAAAACAGAACATGTTGACAAAGCGGTAATCATTCATAAATACCTAAATTTTACTGTTCACGCACACAAACGAACTTGTGTGCGTGTTAGTTATGAATGGTCGCGCGTAAAATAAATGAGTTGCCCATAAATCACGCACTTTTTGAAATAAGTTTAATGAATGTAATTAATTACTTAAGAGTTATTTAAAATATTTATCATTTTTTATATAACATTATTTATGTCTTGGATTTAATTAAAAAAAATTTATACACTTAAAAGCCTTCCTGTATATACATGTTGATTTTTTAGACGAAATAGATACTTTGACATAATGTTAATTGACCATTCCATACTTGAGAAAAAACTGTTAATATTTTTATATTGACAAGAAATAACCAGAAAAATATCAATTCAAACATTGTTTGTTTATCCCGTTAAGAGTGGTCAATTGATAAGCGATTTAGTAATTACGCGTTCAGCGAAAAGTTTCAGCGCTCGTGAATAGGTTATTGTTTTGAGACGGTAAAGTAGGAATTTCTTAAGGTTTGAAAAATTTAAAATAATCTTTGAAAAAAAAAATAGGTCACAAGTACGTACCAGATTCAGATTTAGAATGAAATTCTGCATATGCTCTGTTAATAATGTGTTGATGAGTATTGCCAAAGTATTCGCTTCGGCGTCGTGGGTCGCGGGTTCGACTCCCACACGGGACAACTATTTGTGCGACCCACAGATAGTTGTTCCGAATCTGGGTGTTTGTCCATGTGAAATTTATTTAATTATTTAATATGTTTTCTTAGTTTCTAAAACGTCCTTACAACACAGGATAATGTTATCAAAAAGTGAGGACAATGTTAAAAAAAACAGTAGTCGACATATTTTTTTTAATAATTTAAAATCCCCCTGTATATCGAAAGGCAAGGCATGGCCAAGCATCTCTTCAAATGCTAAAAACAATGTGGATAAAGCACGTTGAGAATTTCGTCGGTGTGGCAAACGGCCGTTTAGCTTGGTGGCTAGAGCGTCGGGAGCGAATCGCGGATACGTGGGTTCGATTCCCACAGCGGCGAGAAATTTTTGTACTTTTTTCTACAAAATTTCTATTAATCTACATATTTTAAGGTTTCTTTCTTTGTTCACCTAAGAAGATGGCAAGCGAGCTCGCGGTGCACCTGATAAGTGACAACCACCCTAATAGGGTTGCAGATGCGTTGTCACCGCTATGTCCTGACACTCGATCTGTGTACTCTTGATAGCCAGAGGAACAGACTTGTTTTGTTGACTCTCACAAAGCGAGCATTATATATTATCTGTTATTTACCTTATTTAAAAAAGAAGAATAATATTCGATTCCCAGGCGAGACGACCATTCGTGTGACTCACAGATAATTTTATCGAATCTGGGTGTTTGTTCATGTGAAATTTGTGTGTGCAAAACGTCCTTACAACATAGTACATAATGTTATCCTACAGTAAGGCACACTACTAGATGATATATTGCAGTCTTCTCTTCGGAGACAGAAGAGAAGACTACAATAGACGATCTAGGGGCATTGGGACTTACTACGCACCTCTCCAACATAAAGTACAAGAAAGAAAGAAAGAAAGAAAGAGATTTATTTGACATAAAACAGACTGACGTACACAACAATCACTTAAAACAATAAAAATTAAACAAAAAAGACATGAACATAAAACTCCAATATGCATATTTTCCCTTTTCAATAAAGTACGTCGCGATTCATGCCAAAAAGGACATCACTCAGCAGAATGTTGCAGTGAAACTGCAACGCTGATTTTCAGTAATGACCAAAAATTGGGAACAAGAAGCATAAACAGTTTAGTTGTTGCGTTTTCCCCGTTGATTAATGAGGAAATCTTGCATACTGTGGTAGGGCCGCGCAGCATCTTACGATGTTGCACGAATGGGCAGGCTCGTCCTTGAAACTACCACGGCATCACAGTAGACCGGAGTGACGTGGCAGTGCTAACGCGTGCTGTTGATTGAGTTTTCCGGGGCCAACTTTTTAAACGCTGCCAACGCATACGAGCCCTTAGTTGTAGACGTCCATGGGTATTAAGTTAACATCAGGTGCAACCCCGCGTGGCTTGACAACTTTTCACGTTAAAAAAAAAGCAAGCGAAACGATAGCCTATTAACTGTGGTAGGGCCACCCAACAGTTTTCACCGTTGCTCGAATGCGTAGGTCCGTCCGGGTAATTACCACGAACTCGCAGAAGACCGGCGTATAGCACTCCTATGTTACACTTCTGCGTTTTTTATCTGGTGAGTGAGGTAGCCGCGGCCAACTTTATTTATAATAATAAATAATAAAACCATTTTGCCACTTTTCACATAAAAAACCGCATCCTTTTATGAAGTTCGTCTGAAAAGAATAAAATAATAAGTAAAATTCCGGGGGCCGATTCCAGATCGAGGTGCACCCCTACCTCAACCAGCAGAAGCTGTTCGACCACTGCAAGTCCCTGGGGGTGACGGTGACCGCTTATTCGCCGCTGGGCTCCCCCGACAGGCCCTGGGCGAAGCCGGGAGACCCCCAGCTCATGGAGGACCCCAGGCTGAAGGCGCTCGCGGAGAAGCACAAGAAGACCGTCGCCCAGATCCTCATCAGGTGAGGCTTAGGAACCCTTTAGGATGTTGCAGGTTAAAGGTCTTTCCGTGCCTACGTTTGCGTCCTCAGCCGGTGAGGCTTTCAGGTCTAGGACGCTTTGGATATTGCCAGGTTCAAGGTGGTTGCGTAGGTACGGTCTCTGGTCCTCGTAAGATGGGTTTAGGTCCAAAATGTGTTAGGATATATAGGCTAGGTCCAAGGAGCTTCGGAGTAGAACAAAAAAAAAACCGTTGCTTGAGGCCTCATCAGGTGGGATTTAGCTCCAGAACGCCATAGGATAGAACCACCAGAGACGGGAATTTTATATCGAAGTTAACCAAGTTGTAATTATTAAGCAATTTAAAAAGTAAACTAAAGTATTTACTTTCAATTATTAAAAAAACGAAATCGTATCGAAACAGTTGGACAATATACTGTTGTTTATTATTTAAATGTTTATAATACTGTTTATAAAAGCTAATTATTTGGACTCCGGTTCTATAAAATTTAGTTTCGCTGCGGGGGATATCTAGATTCATCCATCATCTATTATCTAAACTTATCTATATGGGTTTATATTGACATATTATTCTAGTTAAGTAGTTAACTGTTAGCTGTTTTTATACACCATCATTAATTTTGGCAATTTGGAAACCTTTCGGTTATATTATATAGTTTATTTTTCCCCTTCCTAAGGTTGTCTAGAAGAGATCGCTTTTTAGCGATAAGACCGCCTTATTGTACCTAGCTTTTAAGACTTATTTTATACTAATTGTATCAAATTCTTTGTGGTGTACAATAAAGTATATAATAATAATTATTATTATATGATCGACAAGTGGGTATTTTGTATTAGCAGTTCATATATATATTGAAATATGATGTATATTTATGAAAATGTATGTATATTTATAAATAGTTTGTTTTATTTTCATGTATTTGAACGTATATATGTTATGTTTTATTATTGCACATGCGTTAACATCTCACCACACCATAGGTTGAGTGGCGGCGAATGTCGACAGGCATTAAGTCCGCCTAATAAGGAATTCAAGGGAATGCAATAGACTAAATGAATACACGCCTTCTAAGGTACGCGATCGACCGCGGCATGATAGTGATCCCGAAGTCCGTGACGCGTTCGCGTATCGAGCAGAACTTCGCCGTGTTCGACTTCCAGCTGTCGGCCGAGGAGCTGGAGACGGTCGCGGCGCTCGAGTGCAACGGCCGCCTGTGCAGCATGGGCGAGTGAGTACCTGACCTGCACAGCCTATGTGTATTTGTCGCGTGGAGGGGGCCGGGCAGTGGGGCCCCAACTAACTCGGCGACATAGAAAACCCTTCTTGTGTTGTATCTTGTATTAACTGTTTCGCTTTCAGGCCCGAGACTATTAAAGCTTCGTCTGACGCAGAACCGGTGGGCTAGCCGGAGCCCACGGGTTTGGGCCCCCCGCTGCGGGTAGGGCCGCGCATGTGCTCATGCGTGCGTTTAACTAATAGAAAACCCGCGAACTCGGGTTGCTCGACTATTTGGAATTAGGGGCGAGCGCCCGGAAAATTGTTTTTCATTCTTTTTTTTAAAAAAAAAACAGCGTCCTTACTTTAGGATTACGTTAACCGGTGTCGTTAGGACGTCTAACAAATATACATTTCGCGCGGACAAACACCCAGATGAGGAACGTCTGTGTGTGGGTCACACAAATGGTTATCCCGTGTGGGGATCGAACCCATGACCCCTTGGTACTTTGGTAACTGCGCCACGGTGTCACTATCGAGTCACTAAGCTTTGAGGCGTTCACTACAATAAATGACCGATTCGTTATCTAAAAAAATTTAGATTTTTATAGTGCTAATCTCTGAACTTTAATTAAACATTGAAATGTAATACTGGAAAGGATATAACAATGGATGCGCCTAGCGTTGCTTCAAATGCTAAAACACAATGTAGATAAAAGGCATTGTGATTTTCGTCGATGTGGCAATTTTACGGTGGTAGGGCCACGCAGCAGCCTCGGCTGTTGCACGAATGGGCAGGCTCGTCCGGGTAAGTACCACGACCTCACAGAAGACCGGCGAAAAGTGGAAGTATAATACTTTCGCGTTTCGTCTGGTGAGTGAGGTGGCCGGAGCCCAATTTTCAAAGGTTGTCAACGCATCTGCAACTCTCGGCTGTAGCATATGTCCATGGGCGGCGGTACTCACTTAACATCAGGCGAACCGTCAGCTCGCTTGGCAACTTTTCACATAAAAAAAAATTTGCCGTATAGCTTGGCGGCTGAGCGCCAGACTCCCTAAGACGTGGGATCGATCCCCACAGCGTCAGACTTTTCTTTCATTTTCTCTGCAAATTTTAACTATTCGCTTCCTGTTTCAGTGTTCACCATCCGGACTACCCGTTCCACGATGAATTTTAAGCACGATTTGGAGTTGTTGATGTTTTAATTTATTTATTCCGCACCACGTCCAGTCTTACTCGCGTAACACGCCGGCGTGGGAGACTTGTGATGAATTTTTTTTAAGAAATATCTTCTTTTAATAAAAACAATGTTCGCATTTAATCTATGTCTTTGATTTATTCTTCGAAGCCCTTTCTCAACATTAAATTGGCGATCCGAATGGCGTCGTTTTTAGTGTACCTGCCTCCTGCGCCAGAGGGTGTGGTTTCGATCCCCACTACTGGAAATATATTGTGTGATGAGCATAGTGTTTTTATAGTATTTGGGTTTTTACACAGGGAGGCTTTTCTAAGTGTATACATTTTTTTTGTTAAATTCTAGACATAAATAATGTAATATAAAAAATGAAAAATATTTAGAATCACTCTTAATTAATTAGTTACATTCATTTGAACTTATCTCAAAAGTGCATGCATTTCATTTATTTTACGCGCGATCATTTATAACTAACACGCACACAAGTTCGTTTCAAAAGTATACGACGCATTTATGAATGACTACCGCAGTGTCAACAAGTTCTGTTTTTAGGGAATAGAATGGCAATTTAAAAAAAAAGTAGTTTGTTTTTATTTCAATAAACGATTATACCACCGAGTCTGAATCTCCTGTGTGAATTTGGGCGCCTTTAGAAAAGCCACCCTGTATATGATAATATGTATTTATTTAGAAAAAGAAAGGTATATTTAAGTAAGTTTATCAGTTATCTAGTAGAAGCGTTGCTTAGTTTGGGACTAGAGAATGTTGTGTAAAAAATTTTCTTAAAATATTTATTTATCAATGTTCTGGATACCGCTTCTATTGAGTTGATCATCGCATCTATTAATTGTCGTAGCAATGATATACAGGTCGATTTTTTAGACGAAGTATATACTTTGACGTAATGTTAATTGAGCATACCATAATTCAAAGAAAATATTAATAGTTTATTTTGACAAGAAATAACCAGAAAAATATCAATTCAAACGTTGTTTGTTTATCCCGTAAGAGTGGTCACCCTGTTGATAAGCGGTTTAGTAATTATGCGTTCTGCGGACAGTTTTAGTGCTCGTCAATAGGTTATTGTATTGAGTCGGTAAGGCATGAATTTCTAATAATGGACACCCTGTCCGTAATGTTTGAAAAAAATAAAAATAATATTAGAAAAAAAAAATTAGGTCACAAGTACGTACAAGACTTAGATTTGGATTGAAATTCTGCATAATTATGCTCTGTTGATATGTCCGTCGTTTTTAAAATCACCCTGTATACAATAGATATGACTGTAGCTATGCACCGAAACTGAAGCACTCAAATTACACGCGAATTACAACTACTTTGACGCATTAAACGAAATATAGTAATAATGTTAAAGAAATAACCTTATTTTACCAATACTAAAATCATACAGTGCAAGTGTTTCATAGTTAAAGTATATCGTTCCGCCTATAGCGGGAGAGTATCAATTTCAAACGGTTTTTTCTTCCGTTTTCGAGTGATACTTTGTAACTTATGCAAATGATAATTGAATTCGTGACGGCGGAGAATTCTTTTTTTCTTTTAGAGGCATTAAACCCGAGGCATTTGTGTCAGTTTAACGATTGATAGATTTATTTGTCTAACTCCGTGCACAGGGCCGGATTTAGGTGAGGGCAACCGGGGCTACAGCCCACAAAAGATACAATATCCTCTACAATAGAGACTTCGGAAAACAAAATTAAAATTCAGACTAGTACACAACTTTTAATTTTAGATTCTTGTTTTTGATTATATTTATATATTCGTTAAATAATAAGAAATTATACTTAGTTTCACAATATATAATTTCTTGGAAAACTACTGAAAAAAATTTTTCATTTTATTTGGATAATAATTTAGGACCAAGGGGTTTTACCTTCACTTCTTTGTTACCACGATGCCTCCAGACCTTTAAATCCGGCCCTGTCCGTGCATTAGTGTTAAATGCCTCCACAAAAAACGATGTCCAATAATTTACTATGGTTGCGAATATCATTTATCATTTACAATATAAGTATATAAAAATAAATCCCTATTTCCCTTGGTCAAGCCATCACGCGTGAAGGTCTGGATCGATTTCGCCAATTCTTTTTTTATAATATTCTTTGAAGTAGGAAGATGGTTGTTACGTAGAGAAAAATTTTAAAACATTGCCTGAAAAAGTCTAAAAACAACACCTTTCTATATTCCCGTACAAAAGATTCGTAATAACACTTAAAAGTCAATTTGAACTTTAATACCATACTATAAAGTTTAAATGTTAGTGGAGGGGTTCCGGGAAGGCAAAACAAATGAGTGGCTGTGGTAAAATGTCACCTGAAATGTAAACGTCTAGATCTTTAAAACTACACAACGGATCTTGATGCGGTTTTTTTTTTAACTAGATAGAGTGATTCCAGAGGAAGGTTTTTATGTATGGGCTGGCTCGTCCGGATAAGTACCACGACCTCACAGAAGACCATCGTAAAGTGTAAGTATAATACTTTCCCGTTTCGTCTGGTGAGTGAGTTGACCGGAGCCCAATTTTCAAAAGGCATCTGGAACCCTCGGGAATAGCAGATGTCTATGGGCGGCGTGGTCCGATATTCACTTAACAAAAGGTGAACAACGCTTGGCAACTTTTCACATTAAAAAAAAGTAACTACATATTTCAAAATAATTTCTTGTATTTACGCGATTACACATTATAAATGAAACTAATTTTACGGATTTATCGCGTTTATTTTTAATTTAATAACCTAGACAATAATAATAACCTAACCCTCTGCATAGATCGGACACAAAATTAATAATTCAAAAACTGACGGTAGCCCGGGTTAACTATGACAATCAGACGTCTAACACCTCAGTCTGTCCCGTGACCATGAACGCTGTAAAGGGTTCGAAACGTCGGGAATTAAAATTAAAAATAAACGCGATAAATCCGTAAAATTAGTTTCATTTACATATTTCAAAATAATTTTTCTTACACCATTAATAGCAAGAAAAAAATCTACACAACAGTATAAATCATGAAGTCATACGACGCCTAATCAATAAAATATCCAATCGTACTCGTATATGACATCATGATAAATAATGCATTCAAGTATCCACTCACGCATTTTGGCCTCTCCTATAAAATATGTGTTTTGTCACATAATGCTGTTTACCTCTGAGGTACAGAATTACACATAAGTCTGAAGACCTTAGCAATCTTCATGCGACATCAAGCACTATTCAGCCAGTTCAGCATCAGCCTCCATTTGGACCGTAGACCAACTCAGGTTCCCAGTATGTACATTAAACCAACAGAGAAAATTAGAGCAAAAAAAGAAACGGAAGCAAAAATCACGAAAAAAACAACTTTAAAAAAATGTAAGTAATTTGTTGGTAAACGAAGACAGAAAGCTGCCAGATCCTAAAAAAATATGCACAGCAAATATATATATATATATATATATATATATATATATATATCCTAGGTTTCATTTTTAGAAAATGTCCTTTGTCGTTGTTTTCAGGGAATGAAAAATATCATTCGAATATGAGAGTAAATTTGCCGCAAGAGAAAATGTCATAATAGCTCGGACGGTAATCGGGCGGCCCCAAAACAGACGGCCGCTTTTCATATCACGATCAATTACACAATTATTTTTTTACTTTTTTTTCTATACCAGATCATTTTCTTTATTTTTTATTTTTTTATTTCCAAAAAACATGATTTACCAAAAAAACCGAGCAAAGCTCAGTCCTCAAAGCAGGATATGTAAGGATGAGATGTGGCCAATGATGCCATACTTCTCTCCTTCATGCTCTTAAACCCAACCCGAAATATAACGAATCGACAGATAACACAATCGATATAGGCTATGCTAAACAAGTCACACGACGTTCCAAAATCATGATCGAGGTTTGTTGCTGATAGGTACATCAACGAAGGTGATGAAATAGTCCATTTACCACAGTTTAGGCATCCGCGCAGCTTTACGGGTGTCCCGAACAGTAAAGAACCCGCTGCCAAGGATAAGACACGGAAAGACATGTCGTCCCATCTCAACCTGCCGACTTGTATCGCCACAGGATAATTCAGCACTTATTACTAAGGATCAATTTCAAAGGGTTGTCAACGCATCTACAACCCTCGGGTGTCGCCGATGTCCATGGGCGCCGATATTCACTTAACATCAGGTGAACCATGTGCTCGCTTGGCAACTTTTCACATAAAAAATCCTGTGTTATAAATGAAGTAGAATTCTTAAGCTATTGGCCGAGAGATGGGTTAAGGTTATTCTAATCTTTACCTTATTCCGAGACTTAAACAGGTGAGATGTCCCCATTTCGTGGCGCAAGTCCTCCACTTTCACCTCTTGACCACATCTCACTTACACTACCACTTTTTCGAAATCGTTTTCCACCTCTTCTTTATGTAATTTTTTTTGTTTTTTAAAAAAAAAAAAAAAAAAAAAAAATTTTCACCACTTAACTGCCTTCTTACGCGCTCCGTTCCGCTTTATTACGGAAGATTTTTGATCGTCCATTTATGTAGTGTTTAATAACTTTTGCTAGAGTAAAATGTTTTGAACTTTCTAGAGCAACATTAGCCTCGGCGCTGAGGATCGAGTTGGTTCGAGTCTCACACGGTACAAGTATTTTTGTGACTTAAATTGTTCCGGTTCAAACACCCAAGTCAGTTCGCAAGGAGGGTTGACATTAGGCGGGCGGCCGCGGTGGATAATCCTTGTTATCTAATAAACCATACCACTAATAACATGGTTATTATGTTGTGCCTTTCCCATATAAGAGCAGGAGCAAAGAGAATGTAATCACTACGTTTAACCGTCTTTTTGGCATTTTGAATTAAAAGTACAACTCTGATCACCTGTCACTAGTTTTCTCTAAACAATTTAAATTTACAATGAAATAAGCATTTACATTCAAAATACGCGGTGCAAAATTAAGTTTTGACAAACAACATGGCACTTCTTGTATTGCAAGAAAGAGAAAAGGGAGAGTGATAGCAATGTCCGCCATTATTTGCCGCGTAAAGTCCATAGAAAAATTTTTTGTTCCTAGTTTCGCCAGACTGAGCAGGAGATAGAGGAGAACAGTTAATTCTTTCAAAACTGTCAAACTAGAATTTGACAAGGCGACCGAGGCGTCATTCGAGTGATTGTAACAGAACATTCGTACGAGTTATTAGGTTTTTCCTGTAGATAGTTATTGCTAAACAAAAATATAAATCACTTCTTGTACTTTTTTTATTTATTTTAACTACAGGGTCTGTCTGTCAATATCAAGATCGTTTAATAAAAGTTATCCTTACTAATATTTTAAAGGCGAAAGTTTGTATTTATTGATGGATGTTTGTTACTCTTTCACGGAAATACCACTGAATGGATTTTTTTGAAACCTTACAATAATATAGCTTATACATCAGAATAAGACATAGGCTATAATTTATATACATATTTTTATTTATCTGTCTTTCTGCCTGAATGTTACGCCTTCAGCGTATTCTACGCAGACGAGGCAGCAGCTCGTATAAATATAAACTGATTTCACATATTTTGGTCCAGATTTTTTAAACTTTTGAATCGAATTTGCTAAATAGGCTAATAAAATGCAACAGGGGAACAATTTGTAACTAAATTTATATAGTCAAATCTCAGTATGACATGTATATGAATAATTACTAATTATTACATGATCACCAAAAGAAAATATCCTTCCAAACTACAAATACAGACATTTGAAAACACAATATTTGAATGCACGAACGGCAGAATTCTTGCCGGTTTTTTCACAACAGAAACTCCCGAACCGGTGGTAAGTTACTTACGAACATATGTATCAATTATTATGTAAAATTCGACGATTCACAAGAACGCCCCAGCGTCTATTTGAATAAAGATATTTCGAATGTAAATTTGGATAATATGAAAATATAATTATTCTGCCATTTCAATTTTTTAATCTGTCCCGTTCGACTGACAGAAGCATTTCAAAACACATCAACCGTTGGCAGATTTTGTCCACCTTTAGATATCAAAATTGGTCAAGTAATACTAATTCCATTCAACAATATGATATGTTGTCGACGTACGAAATTTAGATTGAAGACGTAAATACTATCTTAATATTAAGAGAAAAATGGGTAACGCACATGTGAGTATGTGAAGATAGTTTTAAAATCTTTTTGACAACAAAAATCTTATAATTGGTTGTGAGGAAATGTATATTTATTACATATAGTTAAACTGAATGCTACTTCAAGCGAATTAGAACTATTATATATTTTTCCTGTAATGCTAGATGTAAGGTGTTAAATAAATAAATGAAATAAAAAATAAACAAATATAGTATTTCATTGGCAACCCTACGGGTTTTGATTATATACTTGTCTACGGGAAAAAAATAGTGACAACGGATCGGTGATCATATCTCACCTGATATAGGTCTTAAAGTGTTAGGTGTAAAGTGCCTAATTCGTAGTGACCCGGCCTCTTGCGCCAGAGGGTGTAGTTCGATCCCAATTATTGAAAAAAAAAATATTGTGTGATTTTTCATAGTGTTTTTCCAGTGTCTGGGCGTTTATATGTGAATTATATACAAGTGTTGCTTAGTTTGGGACTAGAGAACGCTGTGTAAAAATGTGTCACAAAATATTTATTTATTTACCAGTTCACTGCATTCTCCTCAGACTGTTGCGGGTGACTGTTTCGGGGGCAGCCCTGTCCAGCGGCAATACGGCCCACCTCCAAATGTCTTACCGCCTCCAAGCTCAGGCCACCCCAGCCCTTACCCACCGGTGGGACCGCCCCCGCTCGTGCCATCACCGGACGCCGGCTTTCCCTACCAGAATGCCCCCAGCCAGTACGCTCAGGCTGTCCAGGTAATGGGTCTACCGAATACTTAAAACCCCAAGGGCGCGGAAGATAGGGCTGCAACGATTTACCGGAAAACCGATATAACGATACCCAGAAACATCGGCATTTATCGATGTCGAAAAAACAAAATTTCAACACTAAATATCGGCAGACCCGGCTATATCTAAAGATACAATGAGACATTGGCAAATTGTCCAGCAAACCCTGTAATTGACATCGAAACGTGTTTTGGAACTGACGGCATCTCAAATTACACATCGGTGTTTTTTTTTTATGTGAAAAGTTGCCAAACGAGCAGACGGTTCACCTGATGGTAAGTGAATACCGCCGCCCATGGACATCTCATCCACACCCGAGGGTTACAGATGCGTTGACAACCTTTAGAAAATTGGGCTCCGGCCACCTCACTCACCAGACGAAACGCGAAAGTAGTTGTCATACTTCCACTTTACGCTGGTCTTCTGTGAGGTCGTGGTACTTACCCGGCCGGGCCTGCCCATTCGTGCAACAGTCGAGGCTGCTGCGTGGCCCTACCACCGTAAGTCCTTTTAACTCTTTAAACCGTATTATTAAAGTGTTTGAGGCCGTGATTTGGCTGGCCCGGAGGACTATCGAGAAGGGCTCAATTAATTGTTAACCAGCTGGTGACAGCGATATCAGGCTACATAAAAATCTAAGTCGAGATTTGTTCCGAATAGCAAACACGAGTCTGTGGTCCAATGCGGATTGTGGCCACCCGTCTATCGCCTTATCAATGTCCAATTGGCTGCTTCCAGGGCGGCCAAACGTACGGCCAGGCGCCCCAATCGCCTCAGGGTGCCTGGCCCCAGGGCAATCTGGACTACACGACAAATCAAGGGAGCGCGCCGTCAGAATATCCCCAAGTGTACTCGCAACGTGGATACGCTCAGCAGTGGTACCGCCAGCCGGAATACCCACCGCAAGACTATTACCCACAAGGCTACCCTCAGCAGGGCTACCCGCAGCAGGGCTACCCGCAGCAGGGCTATCTTGGACATGGTAATTGGAGCTGCGTTTCCGCGTGTTCCGTCTGATGTTGCGGTTGTAATTATGCTCAAATTATGGCCACCCAGATGTCAACCCTTCCGAAAGCTTCTCGCTAAACATAAAACCATTCCTATTTAGTGTTTCTTTTTGGTGCTAATCTGGGCTTAAGATGTAATTTAAATGTGAGTTTAATGGCAAAATACCAAAAGACTATTGGTGTTGCCAGGTTTCGAACTGGCGTTTTTTGAGTAACGCGCCAAGACGCTGAGGAAACTGAGCTAAGCGACCGACATCTAAACGGCATCCCCTCGTCATCATCATTTCAATCTGTTGAGCCCACTGCTGAACATAGGGCTCCCCCACAGACCACGACGCGGCACGATCCTGAGCCAGCTGCATCCATGGACTTCCCGCACAATTGCACAGGTCGTCACTCCATCTAGTGGGTGGTCGGCCCACACAGCGGTGGCCAGTTCGATCCCCGGTGCCGGCACCAATGTAATTGTGAATTTTTACTGCTGACCTTATCATGTGGCGGTCAGCGGTGAAGGGAGACATCGTGAGGGAACCTGCGTATCTTAGAAATGATAACAATAAATAAACAACTAAGTATAAACAATTTCAAACAATTTGTAAAAGCTACCTTAATGGCAAGGGCCTGCTATAATATCCAAGAATACATTGAGGACAAGGATGTTTGAAAATGACTCTTGCTCTGAACTTGCAAGACCCCTGGCTGCTGCTGATTTTATACCTAAATAAGTGTGTATAATTGCATCAAAAAAAAATATAACAAAAAGAACAAGACCGCAGATTTTCTTGCCGGTTCTTCTCTGTGCAGGTCTAGTTTAGTGAACCGGTGGTAAATTTTTTGTTGATGTTCAATAAGAGCTTAACTTAGGCCTATATTGAATAAATATACTTTGACTTGACTTGACTTGACATTCCAAATACACGTGAATCTCAATCCTCATTGGGGTCAATCCACGTGTTGGACTATGCCCTTTTTTTGTTATCGTGGGGGAATGGAACGCTTTCGCACACTTCCGCGACGCTGCCACCGCTGGCCGCCTCAGCAGCGTCTCCCGGGGAGCAACTCCCCCCTCCTACAGGTAAGGCACGCTGAAACATTCAGCGCGCCTTCCTACTCGACATGTATAGGCTGACACTTTACTACACTACAATAAAATAAGCAAAAAGCTTGACATCTACAGCAAAACACTTAAAAACTGTAAGAAAATATTGACTAATTTTCTTTTGCCTTTAAATTATGATGGGACAGTATCATTATTGCAACAAATGAAATAAACACAGAATACACTACTCATTCACACCCCATCAAAAACACTATTTACCTACAATGGTATATGCTGATACAAAACATTGACTTACATAATACAAGCTGACCCGGCAACCGTTGTTTTGCCATATAAATCATTATTATTATTTATTAAAATGATAAATATTTTAAATCACTCGTAATTAATTAATTACATTCATTTGAACGTATCTCAAAAAGTGCGTGATTTATACGCAACGCTTAGTTATGTTTGTGTGCGAGCACATTAAATTTTAGGTATTTATCAATGAGTACCGTATTGTCAACACGTTCTGTTTTTTAAGGAATAGAATGGATTTTTTTTTGAAAAAATTAATATTTCAATAAACGATTATATCACCGAATCTGAACCTCCTGTGTGAATTTGGTCACCTTTAGAAAAGCCACCCTTTATAAATTATAGCCTACGTGTTATTCTGATGTAAAAGCTATATCATTGTAAAGTTTCATTAAAATCCATTCAGTAGTATTTGCGTGAAAGAGTAACAAACATCCAAATAACATACAATCTTTCGCGTTTATAATATTAGTAACTCGCAAATATCATTTTTTTTTCTTTTTCAAAACATTGTCCTTTCTTTAGGATAACATTATCCTGTGTTGTAAGGACTTTTTACAAACATACACTTCACGCGGACAAACACCCAGATGCGAAACAACTATCTGTGGGTCACACAAATAGTTGTCCCGTGTGGGAATCGAACCCACGACCCCCGACGCCGAAGCGAATACCTTGGCAACTGCGCCACGGAGTCATCAAATTATCATTTACCGCCCCAGGGCAGGCGAACAGCATAGCGAACACCGCCTTCTGCGCTTCGTGCATCGCCTGCCTCACTTGCCTGCTATGCTCGTGCTGCCAGGGTCTGCTCGGCGCGCCGGGAGACCCCGACGTGGGGGACGACTTCGGCGCGACGCCCGGCGGCGGCCCCGAAGTGGCCCCACCCACTATCGGCAGCAGCCCCAACTGAATCCCACAGCCAACACAAAACACCCAAAGGTTAAATATCGATCAAGTATGGCTTCGAGGATTTATCTGTTTAGCTCCGACTGAATGCCGGCCAACGCCAAAATTCCCAATTCCCAAACATGGAGCGAAAGGCACTCGGCTGTCGACCAGGGGTAGCTTTGAGGGTTTAACTTTCTTTAAAGCCCAGCCTACAGGACCTTCGTTTCTTGCAAAAGAGACAGCCCCAACTGAATGCCGTGGTCCAAAACCGAAAACCCCAAAAATGTAATATCAATCAAGTATGGCTTCGAGGATTTATCTGTGTCAGGACCCTCGTTTCTTTGCGAAAGGGACGGATCCGACTGAATGCCGGCTGACACCAAAATCCCCAATTCCCAAACATGGAGCGAAAGGCACTCGGCTGTCGACCAGGGGTAGCTTTGAGGGTTTAACTTTCTTTAAAGCCCAGCCTACAGGACCTTCGTTTCTTGCGAAAGAGACAGCCCCATCTGAATGCCGGGGTCCAAAACCGAAAACCCCAAAAATGTAATATCAATCAAGTATGGCTTCGAGGATTTATCTGTGTCAGGACCCTCGTTTCTTTTCGAAAGGGACGGATCCGACTGAATGCCGGCTGACACCAAAATCCCCAATTCCCAAACATGGAGCGAAAGGCACTCGGCTGTCGACCAGGGGTAGCTTTGAGGGTTTAATTTTATTTAAACCCCAGCTTATAGGACCTTCGTTTCTTTTCGAAAGGGACAGCCCCGATTGAATCCCGGAGTCCAACACCAAAATCCCCAATTTCCAAAGATGAAACGAAAAGGGAATTGACTCTGGATGAAGTGTAGCTATGAGGATTTATCTAGATTTAAACCGCAGCCAACGGGAGCCTCGTTTGTTTTCGAAAGAGACAGCCCCAACTGTGTGCTGGAGTGTTACACCGAAATCCGCGAATTCCAAACATGAAATGAATGGCTCTGGATCAAGTTTAGCTTTAAGGATTTATCTGTATTCAAATACCGGCCATCCTTCGACACCAAGATCCCCCAACCCCAACTCCCAAAGATGGAACGAACGGAAATTGACTCTGGACCAAGTGTAGCATTGAGAATTTGTCTGTTTTTAAACCCCAGTCATTCAGAACTTCGTTTTTAGGGTTCCGTACCGAAATGATAAAACGGGACCCTATTACTAAGACTCCGCTGTCTGACTGTCTGTCTGTCTGTCTGTCCGTCCGTGTGTCCGTCTGTCCGTCTTTCCCAGGCTGTATCTCATGAACCGTGATAGTTAAACAGTTGAAATTTTCACAGACGATGTATTCTAGTTGCCGTTATGACAACATATACTAAAAAATAAAATAAAAAAATATTTAACTGCGGCTCCCATACAAGAGACATGATTTTTGCCGTTTTTATGGTACGGAATCGACTACGGAGTAGTAAAAATTAAAATGTATTAAAACCTAGACCTAACTAGTTATTAATTCGACCCCATACAGTCATAGAAGTACGCGCATAGTAACGCTTGCTGACTTTGCACTCTATGTGTGGTCCATGTCTAGACACTGTCATAAGCATTAGATAATGTCTAAGTCTGCAACAGGACGAGCTAGAATAAGTCTTGTATCTTGTACTAACTGATATTTTTGCTTTCAGTCCCGAGACTATTAAAGCTTCATCTGACGCAGAACCGGTGGGCTAGCCAGAACCCACGGGTTTGGGCCCTCCGCTGTGGGTAGGGCCAGCTAGAATAAGTCCATCACTCTTAAAGTACATGAGCTTCTGTACAGACATCTCTTAGTTCAATTTTTAGTTTTTAAAAAGCTCTTCACGGCTCCCTATAACTTGACTAACTTTTCTCAACAGACTCCAAAATAGGTCGGTCTCAATTCGGTTGTACTTTTTATTTATCTTACCTCTAAACTCAGTCGTTAATGAAACTACTTTCAAAAATTCCTTTTGCATTGGGTCCGATTCGATTCAGATATAAAAATGCCCGTTTTTTTTCTTTTCCGAACCGGTGGTAGTGTTTTGACAATCAATAAGTGAGTGGAATGCTCCTATTTTGAATAACTATATTTGAGTTAGAATTTGAATAGTTTTTCTATATTTAATTCATTCGTATTGGACCTTAGATATTTGATGTCGGTTTTTGTTAATAGAAATGTTTAAAGTAAGTAAAGTTTCAGCCTTAACATGTCCCACTGCTGGGCAAAGGCCTCCTTTGTACAGTGGGTGTCAGGGGCTAGTCCACCACGCGGCCCCACTGCGGATTGGCGAACTTCACATATCTTCGAAATATTTTTTTTCATTATTTCGAAAATATGCAGGTTTCCTTACGATGTTTTCCTTCACCGCTAAACACGCGATAATTCGGCATCTAAAATTAACAATTTCATTGGTGCCGGCACCGGAGATCGAACTCAGGTTGAGTATATTGAATTGAAGGCGAGCGGACGCAGAGCTATCACGGCTCTCTATATGTATCTCAATAGAAATTTTTAATAAAACTTTTCGAGCTTGAAAAACGAGACGTATTGTTTGAAATAAAATAGATCGACATAAAATTGTGAGATAGGTATGATAATTTTTATATCTGGTTTCAACGTATACTACAAGACCCCCAAGCAGCGTCTCCATATACACGGTAATTACCGTAGATGCACCGTAATCTGGTTTTTATTTACCGTCAAGGTTATAACGTATTACCGTGTCATATATCACCGTATTACCATTATACATTAGAACGAATCTCAGCCAGTAAACTTAATATTTATTAAGTGGCAGCACTACTCCTGGTTGACGAGAACTCCAGGGGAATCACCAATATCTAACGGTTTATCTCCACGCAATCTATTCTCGTCCTTATATAAATACCGTAAGGAGTGAAATTTTAAGTGTGATGTGTGAATGAATGAAATGCATACAAGAATTTACTACGTTGTCTTTCTAGTTACGACGCAAAATTCGTAGTAAACATTTAAATCTGAGAACTGTTTCAATTACAAGCTTTTATCTTAGAATAATCGTAATTTAAAAGTAATAGAGAGAGATTTTACGGTTTCAATTTTTTTTAGCGAGTGGGTTGATTTCAATGATTCATATTATTTAAATTTTCTTGGCTAATAATTGAAAAAGCAAATTTAATCAAGACTTTATTTGTTTCTAAATGTTGTTTTACCTTTGAAAAATTACACGGTACACTTTTAGCAGGTTTTGAGCACCCTTGCAACACGGTATTTCTTGATTTACTTATGGAGACGCTGCACCCAAGCATGAGCAAGAATAAATAAAAGCCTTAACTTCTTGACACTAGATGTCACTAAACAATAGTGAGAGTGAGACATTAAACAGGTGCACTGTTTAATTTAGTTACTAAAGCGTAATATTTTTTTTTAACCATTATGAATGTATTTTAGCGTATTATTTTCGTTTATTTATGATATGTTCCGTCATCTTTTGAACTTTCTTCTGTCCGTTATTTCCCATAAATCGGTTTCAGTTCTTCCTCCTGGTCGATCTACGCATAATATAATCTACGCATAATATAATACATAATCATGGTTTTTGTATAAAAGGAAAAAATTTAATACATAGACTATATTTATAAGATATATTACATGTATATAATAAATATTTTCATATGAGAAATATATTGTTTTTTTTAAAACAGAAAAATTCTTAGAAAAAGTTGTGTTTTGTCTGAAATAACAATGTGTGTTTCTCAGTAATTAAAGTTGAAGTTTTATATTACATTACATTTGAAATTTTTAAAAACACAAATTATATAAATTACAAAGTTACAATCTATTAGTTTTTAGCAAGATGAATATATGTTTGAGTTTATAACTGAAATGGTGATTACGATCATTAATAATAATATTATATAATATATATAATATATATATATATATATATATATATATATATATATATATATATATATATATATTATTTAAGCTTACCAGGCGAGTTCATGTATAGAAAAGAAAATAGAATGGTTTATGTATTCAGTATTTTTTCACTTTACGTACCTAATAAATAAAATAATATGAACAAAATTAGAAGTAACCTCTTGACAAGAGATGTCACTAAATATAAAGCTATTATCAATAGAAGAAGTCATTCTTAATGACCTGTAATAAAGGGCCATCAATAGATGGCCCTTTATTACACTTGTGACAAATCTTGCCAAAGAGTACATTACTACTGAGATTTAATATTGGAATTGACCAATAAAAAAGGTAAAAATTAGATATAAAATAAAAATAAAAAACTTGAAAGATCAAAATTTCTTTATGTGGATTTCAATAAAAATCATTATTATAAAATTTAATGTAAACCGATGAGCATTCGGCGCGATGGCACTTTGATTTCTTTTCCGTCAATATGGTGTATGTATGTATGAAATGAATATCCATTATTGACTATAACCATAATATTTCTCCTGTAATGAACCGTTCGAAACATCGAGAATCAAAATCCATAAAATCGCTAAAATCATTTTAATTAACCATATTTCTAATCTATCGTTGGTCGGTCCGTGTTTCTTGTTAAAAATAAAAAAATCCTTCAATATAAGAAAAGTTAAAAGTTCCGCCGCCCATGGACATCTACAACCCCTTGACTGGGTTACCAACAAGAAAAAAGTGAGCCCCGTTTACATCACTCGCCAAACGTTAACGGATAGCAATACTTCGACTTCACAGTGGTCTCTGTGAGATCGTGGTAACCCGGAGGGTGCCCATTTATGTAATAGCCGAAGATAGAAAACAGTTCATAGAAATTCATTGGTAGAAATTCGACTTTTTATTATATTGACTAATCGAGAAAAATCTCCAAGAAATACTGAATTATATTAATTATTAACTAAACTGAACATTCGTACCGTTTTGAACGGGACTGTCCCTTTCCTGGGACAGCTGTCCAGTTGTCCCCGAACAAATCTTCGAGACACGAAATTGTCCCGTTTTCCGAAACCGCGCGAAATTTTAAAACCACGCTCGTCAGACATGAATCATGCACGCGCTTTCGGTTACCTAGTAACGCAGTGAGGAGAGGGATGGGGGCATTTGTTTTTATCAATAGGCTAGCCATGCGCATGTATTCTGACTCCTTGTTTTTTTGTAATGTTCGTTAAATAGTTTTGTAGATGATTTGAGCTTTGCTGTTTTGAATTTTTTCCTATAGTTATGCCGAAACCCAAGTGTTCATTTAATGTCAACCTACAAACAAAATACCCATTTATTAAACAAATTATCACTCCTTCGGATGTCAGATGCGAAAATTACAATTTAGTGTTTCCCATAGTGGTGGTGGTGATATTGAACAGCTTCAGTTCTGAAGGCGATGCTGATAAAAAAGGTCAACATAAAAGAAACGTGCCAAATTTTTTTCTTATTTAAAATCGTCACCTTCTTTATTACAACAAAATTTGTTTCTCTGAGAAATACCTAATACTACCTAAATACATAAAACATACCAATGGTGTTTTAATAAAAAATTGTGAACTGACGTTTTTTTTTTTGTATCGTTTAATTTTTAATCTTCTCGAAATAAAGAAAATTAAAAAGGTATGTTTATTTACATTGTAAATCAATGTCCCGTTTTGAGTTAGAAAAAAAGTGGTCAGTTTATGTATAACTAAATTCTAGAAAAAAGTGTTATTATACCTATGACATTTGAAAGAAAATATTTACGTAGCTCTGTTACCAATTTATCTAATTATTATAGTTTTAATTAACGCCTTATTTAAGGCTTATATAAAATCTTTGCCCTTATTATTGCGATGCCGCTTTTAACTAGTTTATATCTCCTGACGACTTGTTACTTTCCATATTTGACTGCTATTACAATAATTTCTATAATAAATTGATAGTAAACAATTTCTACAAATGTTGACACGGATGTAAAATTTTTGTATAAAAACATTTTAACAAAACTCCTTGAAAACTCGTACTAACAAAACTCTTTGAACGTTCGAAACGGGCTTAGAAGAAAACGCGAGAAGAATTCAAAATTTAAATTCCTGACTCAACTGCATTTGTTCCAAAACCGCAGTATAACATCTACAATTACCGGAAATGAACATGTAACAATAAAAGGGGCACCAAAAAAAACCTTTCCAAATTCCAAGTACCTAATTGCAAACAACAAATTTCAAGGCAAGAACCAAAAGGAAAATTTTGAGTAAAAATGGCGCTCGTTTTGAGGAAGACGTGTCTACCCAAAAACGTTACCGTTCTGCGTAACATCAAAAGAACCAACGTAACATCTTCTGGAAGACGGATCGCGCCAGCTTGTAAGTTTACAAGTTTCCTTGTCATTACCGCTTAGTTTAGGCCGAGTAATACATTTATGAATGAAGTTAGTTCTGACAAATTTCCGGAAACATTCATGTGGACGACTGTACAAATACAAAAGCACTAGTATAGAATACCTCATATTTATTTCATGTTAATAAAATTTTTATTCAATATTCTACATACTGCCTTCAGAATTTGTCTATATAAAAAAATCTACATTCTGTATATTGGGTGGTTAGTGTTGTACCAAGCGTTTAAATATCATTCAAATATCGGTTTTCAAATATTGCGCTTTTCAATGATTTTTGTCACGATTGACGTTCGTATCCGTAGCTTTGTCAATGTAACGCGGCGTCTGGTGTTGTTATTTTGGAGAACGGTGGCCGCCACAAAGGGACCTTCTGTCTATAATACTCTAGTAAGCCCATGCTGACGTTTTACGTTCTTCCGCATAGCATCACCAGCCGGCGATTTTCGCGAACGAGTATTATATGAACGGATGTCCCTTTCAGTGGCGGCCCCCGCCGGCGATGCGTCTCTAACCGTACCGTGGTGCAAATCGCGCGTTGCCAAGCCAATCGGCGGCGACTACGTCGGGGCGCGGCACTATGGCGACAAGAAGGAGGAGGAAAAGAAGGATGCTCAAACTTGCCAGAATCAGAATTGCCCGCACTGTGCGGGCGACCCCAATGTGCCGTACAGTATTTGCGGTCCTTGCGCCTCCTGCCCTGCACCGCTAGCCCGTAGTCCTTGCCCGCCTTGCGGCCCGTGCGGCCCATGCGGGCCGTGTGGACCGTGTGGACCATGTGGGCCTTGCGGACCGTGCCGTTTCCCGTGCCCGTGCGGACCCTGCGGACCCTGTGGACCCTGTGGACCCTGCGGACCCTGTGGACCCTGTGGACCCTGTGGACCCTGCGGACCCTGTGGACCCTGTGGACCCTGCCCACCGTGCGGACCGTGCGGCCCCTGCGGCCCGTGTGGTCCTTGCGGCCCCTGCGGCCCGTGCGGGCCCTGCGGACCATGTGGACCATGTGGACCCTGCCCGCCATGTGGGCCGTGCCCATGCCCCTGTCCGTGCCCGGCGAAAGTCCCGCCGAAGAAATGCGAGCGCAGCGATTGCCCCCTATGCGGCGCCCAAGCTGGTATGGCTACGGGGACTGGCATTACAGGCGCAACCGTCTCTACGACAGAAGGGAAAACTACACGAGAAAGCTTGAAAAAGCATATTAGCAAGAGCGACAAACAATCTCGGATTTCGCCAGGCGCTGTGAAAATTACACCTTAGTGTACCTTAACGATATATTCTATCTGGAATCTCACGTTTATCGAATAGCATTACACCATACACCGTGCCTGTTTACAATTGAATAAATCATATATTGCCGGATGTTTGGTTTCATTCCCCTACTCTCATATACATCGTGTGAAATTTTCAGATCGTACAGTGTAACGTAAACTTTGCAGCTTGCGGTGTGAGATGTTGCAAACCGATGAGTAAGCCGTTCAAGCTTCGGGATAGCCTGACGGTGCAGGATCTCAAGCGGAGGGCCACTGTGAACCGACGCGAGGCGAGCGAGAGGATTCCGCTGCGCAAATGCGTGTCGTGCTCGACGCCCGCGACCGTCGCTCAGCGCATTGGGAGACTCTCGGGAATAGGCCTGAAAATTGGTCACGCGTCCTCTGCCACACTACACCACAAACACGCCATGTACTTTGCGTTAAATCGTCCCACATCGCTCCCCAGTTTGCACATCACGACCGCCCCTCAAATGCAGTGTGTGCGAGCCTATTCTAAATGCCCTCCATGCCCCTCTTGCTGTGGCAGCTTGCCGCCCCCTTGCAATCAACCGCCGCGCTGTATCCAATGCATGACGGGTTACTACTACTATCCTTATGGGTATTGGTTCTGTGGGCCGTATCATGTTACTGGCCAGTGCTGTCCCATCGGACCCTGCGGGCCCTGTGGTGGTCCAAAGAGGTGTCCTGCTCCGGCCTGTGTTTGCCCAGCGGCGACCTATGTCATGACCCCGACCGGTCATAGTGCACAGGGCACCATGCCGGAGAAAACTTACGAATCCCCCCTCTTCAGGCATAGGACCCAGTCTGCCCAGCCCAATGTCAGAGAGTATGAGGTCACTCAGAAATCTAGCTTCTCCAAATTATTCCCGTTTACTACTACTGTCTGCGACGATGGGAACACAAAGCCCGAGTCGACACCAAAGAAGGAAGAGCCGACGCTCCATTCCTCGTTTTTTTGCCTTCCGTACGCGTTTAAGACACCAATTGATAATTTTCGGAACACTGCCAAGGTCGCAAAGGACCAAAGAAAGTCCAACACGATCTCTCATTCCAGGATGAATTCGACGAAATGTTTCAGTCGGATCGACCCGAAAGTCGGTGCAACACGCTCAAAACGATGCAAATACACTGGTTACATTCGTCCCCTAACATTACCTAGGAAGTATAAGGAAGACCCGTATAAGTTCTAGGTTGTAGATTTATGTTTAAAATAGGCATTAATACACTACTGAACATTGCACGTAAACATACCACCTCTGAAATTGATGCATTCATTTTGCAATGTAAAATAGAAATAAATTTATAGAAAACCTGGAAAATTGTTTTATTTATTTGTGTGTACAACTGTTCAAAATTCCCTATATTCGTTGCCAGGAGACGGCCATTACAGTAAAGAATCGTCCTTTCAGCGAAATCGACCGAAATGTCGTCGTCGATGGGCTTGAGCGAACAAACTGCGATAATAGCCGCGGCCCATCACATGGTGAATGTAACCCTGGCGCCGAAGACTAGCACAGAAAAGGGATGGCACACGCCTCGACGGTGCTTTTCCTGCGCGGCTCTGACTTCGCATCCCAGCGAGAAAGACATTTTGCTGACTGCAGACTCGATGGCCACGTCTCAAACACAAGTCACAGCTCTGCCTGGATTATATAACCGCTCGTCCGACGTCCGGCTATCGGCTGTCAGGAAGCAGTCTTCCAATCATCCTCCGCACAGCTCTAGCAAATGCCTCGATGAGCGGCCCGACGCTTCGAGCCTCATAAAAGGCGCCTGCGCGGCTTCCAGCTGCCCCACCGGCTGCTGCCCCACCAACTGCTGCATGCCACCGCCTTGCAACCAGCCACCCAAGTGCCTCCAGAACATGACTGGTTATTATCACTATCCTTATGGTTTTTGGTTCTGCGGACCGTACAATGTTAACACTGGACCCGTGCCATGCGATGGCCCAGTGAGGCCCGGTGGTCCGTGTGGTCCAGTCGCTGGCCCCTGCCCCAATTTTCATGGGATGTGCCCTTGCAAGACATGTCCTCCGTGCGGCCCCTGCGCTCCCAGTGGAGCCTGTGTCCCCTGCGGTCCCTGCGGTCTCTGCGGAATCTGCGGCCTCTGCCACACTCCCAGCGCGCAGTCGGGAATGGGCTATAGCCACAACTGCGCCTCGTGCGGACTGCATACAAATGCAACGTATTGGAGGACGCCCCACCAACCCTCTATTCCAGTTGACGCTTCGACAATTAGCCAAGCCGCTTCCACCAATATGTCAACTCGGCACGGACCAGTTGGCTCGTGTCCTGAACCGGAGGTTTTGACTGAGAGTTTAGCTACCGAGCAACCGTCGTCCAAAGTAAGCTATGAGACGTTGGGCGGACTTCCGCCGTCGGGGAGCATCAAAATCGATCCGGATTTCGTCAAAAAGTATCCCTTCAATAAGCCCACGTTCAAACCAAGGGAGACGACGGGCACTCGGAGTCTTTAAAGCATTGACTGAATTGAAATTTGACATTCATCCTATATATCCATGACAAAACACAACTGACTATTATGCGAAAACTGGGCAATTCTATTCACATTAACAGTAGCAATTAAAGTTATCGTGCATTTGCAATATTGATTTGTTTTATTTACATTTTATAGTAAACATAATATCGATCGTTTGAGATGTAGAAATGGATGATGTTGCTAAACATAAGATTTAAAGCTTCGCTACACTACTGTTTTGTTTTTACGGCCGGTTTCAACATTATCTACAGATAGATTTGGTTATGGGAGATAGAACTATTAAGTATTATGAAGCTAATCTATCCTCAGATAGAATATTTTTAAACCGGCCATTGTTAACTAATGGGGGGGAGGGGGTAATTTTTAACGGTAAGTTGTAATTGCCTTACTGCGAGGTCGAGCTATTTATTCGGACGGACCTACCCATTCGTGCAACAGCGAAGACTTGCGTAGTTCTACCACCGTTAAACCAGTTAACAGAAAGAAATATAATTAATAAGAAAATATTTCAAAATAAATTAACAACGGAAAATGACATTTCTTAAACATTTCTTAAACTTCGTGTACAATGATCTTGATTGAAAATTAATGTCGATTACTTATCGTAGTAAGTCAGCAGAAATTACGAATAGAAAAAATTTACCAATTGCTTCCCTTTACTATGATAGTTATTACATATTATATACATTGGGCATTTTTATTTATCCTTTAAATGTTCAAATTGACTATAATTCCTCAAGTAAAAGTTTATTTGAAAACTAAAGTAACAGCCTATATAAATTCATCAGCTGGGCAAAGGACTTCTGTACAGTTAATTTTAATAAATAAGTAGTTACAAAAGTATCGACCCATGAAATCAAAGGTCCCTGAAATCATTATTAGAAATTATCATCAATCATCATTTACGATCAATTCGAAGTATAACCATCGTTTTGACAACTCAAATGATTTTTGAAAAGCCATTCGACAGCTGATTAGTTGACATCCACCATGATCAGTGTTTCAGAAGCCAGCCATCAGTGTATAATACCTACGCTAGTTTCGGCGTTTCAAATATGCACAAGCACTGAAATTGAGGATGGTAGTCTACAAGCCGTTGCAATAATACCAGAAGCTGTAATAAATGTGTTTATTATTAATAAATATTTATTACAGCGAATGCTCCTTTTCAACTACTTCTGTTTTTAGATTTCTGGGGCATAGATTAACAATGAATGAATTAGAAATAATCTACATAAACATCATCATAATGAGGTTTACATACCTTTACTATATTTGAATACGGAAAAGAAGCGATATAAAAAAGTCTGTATTTTTTCCCATTTAAAACCTCTTTCATAAGACGCTTTGTCCCTTCATCACCAGTCGATGTATGTATTAAAATTGTTAAGTTTTGTGGTATAAAAAACTAAGTACTGCGATACAATCCAAAAAGATGCGCCAGGCTCGCTTCTTACCGTCTCGTACGATGACACAGGAAACAGGTTATTGCAAAATCGTTATAAATACGCAATACGTACTTATAGCTTACATACATTATTTTCCTGTTAATTGTAATGATTTATTTCTTAAATTTTAAAGTTTTTTATAGTGCTAATCTCTGCACTTAAGATCGAATATTAAAACATGTAGAAACGATATTCGTGTAAAACGATATTCGAAATTGTTTGTATGCTGGAAAGGATATAACAATAGATGCGCCAAGCATTGCTTCAAATGCTAAATAACAATGTAGAAAGAAGGCGTTAAGATTTTTGTCGCTGTGGCTATCAGCCATTTAGCTCAGTGGCTAGAGCGTCAGGCCGCGAATGCCGAAGACGTGGGTTCGATTCGCACAGCGGCGACAGTCTTTTCGTACGTTTTCTACATGATTTATTTCTTATTTATATACTATTTATCTATGTCACACTTTTATTTATCCATTACATGGTCACGATAGAGGAGTCGCCTAGTGCGAGCACCGTGGTGAACGGTTTTCTAAATGTCTCAATCTAGTTCTAAGCTTTTGGGCATATTTTTGAAGTCGTATCTCTCTAATTGAACAGTTTTCATCCACTGTTCTCATCGATTAAGGTTTTGTGGAAATCTAAATAGAAAAGGAATCAATTAAAAAACGTAAGTTATCTAGGGCATTTATGGGTTCTTTATAAATTCAAATATAAAAACAAAATATCAAAGGTAAAGTAAGTTACCAAATTTATAAATTAAAATTATTACATTGAAAGTCTTTGATTTAAATAATTCATATGGCATAAAGTCATCCCTGGACAGGATTCCAGCCTCGCGGCACAGTTTATAAACCCGCGGCGTCACAGTATAGTTTTTCGTTATTTTATTTCAGAGCGGCAATAATGCTTACCTGTTTTATTTGCGTACACTGATAAAACGTAACAAAATTCTACTGGGAGCGGTGAGAAGCGCCCCGGAACCTTGTGACCAACACAACGCGTACACAAGGTACACCCGTTTTCCGTGGCGGTTCTCACCGCTCCCACCCACCTATTAGCTAATTGCACAGTCAACGGCCATCGGGGTTTCGGTCCGAATCGCGATCTCGACGGCCCTTAGACGACACACCACAGTTAAACGCACGCATGAGCACATGCGTGGCTCTACCCATAGCGGAGGGCCCAAACTCGTGGGCTCTGGCTAGCCCACCGATTCTGCGTCCGATGAAGCTTTAATAGTCTCGGGACTGAAAGCAAAAACATCAGTTAATACAAGATACAAGAAAATTCTACTAATTGCAGATGACCACAAAATTTATAAAACTATTTAAACAGCAAGCAATTCCTCTTAGTCTGTGTACAAATGGTGTATTATATTTATAACAAAAACATGGTCATAAACATGAAGAAATGTTTTTATATGACCCTAAACCACATTATAACCTAAACCACACTAATTATGCACATTCTATAAAATCAAATCCTTTACCTTGCAGCCAAAAAATTGTAATCGGGATCTAGGTGTACTAATTGATGAAAAACCTTCGACTGTTGAGCACATCTACAGTATAGTTTAAAAAACTAAAAACGCTAGGGTTTATTGATCGTAACAGTGACAATTCAAAAAAAAATTTCATCAAGTGGAGATATTTAGCCTCTACAACGCATTAGTACGTAGTTACATGAAATATGCTTTGTTATCTTTAATGGTATTGAATGCATCTAGAGGGGATTCGAACAGCTTTATTATCATTAGTGGTTATGCTTGTTCAACATGGACTCATTGCCTATCCATTGGTAGTAACATATTTATATAAAATTATGAACGGACATTATAAGGCCCGGACTTTGGACCTTTACATTGTTATACCACGATAAATTGTAGAATCTCTCTCACAAAATACACTCCCCTCGGAAAAGTCGAATTAACCTAGGCTCCAATTCGCCATGTAACCGAATTAGATATTTCTAAACGCCATGTTCAAAAAACACCTAAGATTTAAGTTACATCTGTAGCAAGCATACAATCATATTTCTTTTTACTTCTTTTTAAATTTTTACTTTATTATTTTATTTTGAATTAATCTGCATCATAACAATGAGATTTTTAACACTGTAGGTAACCACCGTATTTCATCACGAGTGTTGTACACACCTGTAAATGCGTAATTTATTTATCAAATACTATACCAATTTTTTACTTTATCATCATACATTGTGAATAACTCGTTTGTGTGTCTAAATAAATAAATAGAATAAATCCGATTCTGTTTCCGTTCCCGCTTAAACCGTATTTTTAATGTCTGTTTCTGTTTCTGCTTTCATCATGCAGACAGCAGTGGTTCTCACATAGCACACTAGTGAGCCAGTGGCCCTTAAGTGACAATACCCACTCTTGAGAACTCTGCGTATTTTCAGTATTCAAATTCAGAAGAATTTCATGAGAGAACCAAGGAAGAGAAAAGCCAGACTGAAAAAATAGATGAATATTGTTTTTAAAGATTAACTCGGTCCATTGGTTTGTCATCTTTATTTTTAATCATTATAATCATAACTTTTTGTCAAATTATTAAAAAATAGATATTGGTCGAAATGTTGGATTACCAAAAATTGTCAGTGTTCTTCATTTCTATTCTATTAGTTTTCTTATTTTCAGGGGAGTTTTCGTTTTTATTGGAGTACCCAAGAACATCAGCAAAGCCTATAAGAACAAAGCACGCAAATATGTACTTAATATAATGGCAAATGTAAATAACTTTAACTTTAGCGTAATTCAATTAAAATAAATTTAAAACGATTGAGAAAAATCACTAACGAAGTTTTCACTAAGAAAGTTTACGATTACCCTCAAACCTTCAGATTTTAAATATGTTAATCTACATATCACATTATTATTCATACACGTTTATTATTGACAATATTTAAAACTATTAATTATGATAAATTTTATGTTACATTATAAATCAAAGTCTTAAAAATTATATCTAGTAAAAGGCTATAAGCAAACTTAAATAACATTCAAATGATAAACTAATACAAAATATATACTAGAACAATGAAACTAAAACTAAAAACCTTAAAAAAAAAAAAACGTAATAAATAAAATATATTATTAAAAGGAGTTCCTTTAGGCAAGGTTCCGAAGTTGCTGGCAGCGTTCCCCCTTTGAATAGCTAGACTAATTCTTTGTCCGAGGTAGCTGTCAGCTCTTCGGTCTCCTGTGATGTCAACTAACCTTTTTGCTATTTCCTTAAAAAGCCTAAAAGTGCTAGGACCCCACGGACCAAGGGTCTCGACACCGAACGGGACAAATTCATATTCGGAGCATAGAATACAGGGGGTATTTGTAGGCTTTAGCTTTTTCAGCCTCACCGGCTCTGTTGTTGGTTCCATGTAGATGGGAAGGGGCCAGCGTGTCTGAGCAGGTTGCATCCCATACCAGCACCCGGCCCATCTTCCATGGAATCAAACTCATACCGTCCGGTCTCTTGCCATCGTCTCTTGCAATACCAGTCGGCTCACGTAGACTTGGCACGTTCACGGTGGCAAGGGACCGGCGTATGACATCGTTAAGTGCGGCATGTCTCGAGAAGCGGCCTGCACTTTTTTGGCATGACAGTCCGTGATGTCCTAGCTTGTCAACATCACTGCCACAGGGCCATTTATGAGGAGCGCAGACCGGAACCCCAAGCCGTAGACAGGTTGCGATTCGGCGCGTGTCAGGCTCAAGAAATGTTCCGGTATTTGACGTGACGAAGGGTACGCGTAAAGCCAGCCTCATACGCACTCACGGTCAAAAGCCTAGCACGCGCCGAACCAGTACTACAGCTCAAAAGATTGTCATAAGTCAATTTGCAGTTTATGTCATCCCAGCTCCTCTGTGAATTTGGAGAAACTGGACAATTTTGACTTGGGCATGCAATTTAGAAAGCCTTTCTAGCTTCTTCCAAGAAAGCAATCTCAAAGTTTGTAGGGGATGCCCTTAAAATTTTACTTATGAGATTTGCTGAACTATGGACAGAAGATAGGAAGGCGGGTAAAGCGACACTGGTTTTGCGAATCCCTAAACCTCCATAACGGATGGGTAGCGATGCTTGGGTCCAAGATTGCTCGTTCAGCTGCATATTAAAAATGGATTCTAAACTAATTTTGATTGTCTACTTGTGTCAAAAGATCTGGGTGATTCCAAAAGGAGCAGCCACGGAGCACAAACGTAAATTTTGGGATGAAAAGACAGAATTTTAAGATGCAAAGTGCGTAATGTGGACTGATGTCAAGGAGACGGTCAGCAGAATTTTGAAATTTAATAATTGAATTATTAATATATTCAGAAATAGATTCATTAAAAATTTGAGAACCTAAAAGATAAAGGGAATTACTGTTAAGTACTTTAATATTTGGAGCCAAAATATAAAATTTTTGTTTTACGTCATTTAAATTTAAGTCGCAGTTATTTATAAAAAGTTCGCATTTGCTAAAATTTAGCTCCAAACCAATGGCTTCATATTATTTTTGATTAAAAATAGGTCCGAAAACACAGTATTCATATCACCTCCTAGGGTTCCGTCGTCTAAATACCAAACGTTGAATTTAGAATTTAAATTTTTGATTATTGGAGTTATAGCCAAACCAAAAATTGCAGGCCCAAGGGGATCACCCTGTTGACAACCTACTTCCAAGGACAATTCATTAGAACGATATAACAATTTTGTTGGGTCAGCGTAACTGAGAAGAAGATAATTGTATATTTCCGGTATATGTTGTTTTATTTCCGTCAGCAGGGTATCCATATTTACCGAATTGAATGCATTTTTGACATCAATTTTGAGCAAAACGTCAGGCTGTCCGTAAGTTAGGAAAGGGCGTAGGGCATGGATAGACTGCCACACACCGTCCTTTTACACCGAAACCTACCTGTACGAGTTCAAATTTCGAATTTAATTTTGGTAAAATGTGTCGAAACGCAATTTTGGAGGCCAGACGTCGTAGTGTTGATCCAACAGCAATTGGTCTCACCCCTCCGTCCTTTTTGGTGAGAGCAATAATGTTCGCGCCAAAAAGAATGGGAACGATTTCTGGATTGACATTACCGGAATACATGGTTCGAGAAAATAAGGATTCACTGGAGCTGGAGGATGTTTTGTCCGTAAGGCCTGAAGGGTGTCAGGGGTATCTGGTGAGTGGTGAGAGCACGTCGTTGGATAATAGAAGGCGAGCGGCACCTTTGAGATCTCCGTCACAGATTTTGTTTTCGATGAGCTTGTTGCGATTACGAGGCAGCATGTTTGATTAACAGTGCGCGAGAAGGCGAGAAGCTTACAGCACATTCTATTATCACGGCATTCTTAATCTTTTGTGTCAAGGATAAATTCGGTTCATTGTCACATTATTATTATAGCTCTTTATAACGTTTACTTAAAATACATTATGTTCAATAAGTTCAATATAAAATGAAATAATGGTGTTGTATTTCAAATTACGGTTTTTTCATTCCGATAAATATCGCATATGCAATCACTAGGCAAGCCATAGGCGGCCATTTTGAGGCGAGATATGTTTTTCCGCCATTGTGATAAAAAGTGTGCTTGCATGCCAAAAATAAACTGCTTCGGCATGAGGACATAAGTGAATCGTGAATTTTCAGTGTTCATTGCAAAATGGACGAAGAATATATGGATGCCCAGGACTCTGTTATGAATGAAGTGAACACTCGCAGCGAGGGAACGGATATCGTCGGGGAACCGCCGAAAGACATCGTTGAAGTTTTGGGTTATGATGAGAGCTATGATGATGATGAAGGGAACAACAGCTTCAGAGGTGGACGAGGCCGAGGAAATTTTAGGTGAGGAGTTTTACGGTTACTATGTACCAAGGCGTGGACGCGGTTAAATTTGCTTAACTGATACGCAATTGGAGAGATCTAACTGCAGGCGTGAAATCACGATATTTTGTACATATTTTCGTAATTATGATAAGCGGTAGAACCCAACTAGTAAGCGCGTCCATGCCTTTAAAGTTGTAAAATTAAATTTTTTATGATTATCGATCAAACAACTATGCGTATTCCTCATTACGTTTGGAACGCTATAAACGGCAAAGGAATTAACCAGCTCAGTCTACTTCCATCGATTTATGCGAAATTGAATCTTTAGCATTACTAGTGGTCGCCAAATGCTCGAAATTCCATAACTAATTTTAAAAAATGATAGTGTGTAATGTTTTTTTTATTGATTTAAATTATTTATTATGCATATGATCTCCTCTATAGAAACTATAAGTGTGGGAAATTTCATACTCCGTCCGCGCAATTTTCGTAAAGGGGTATAAAGTTTTTGCTTCATGTATTAATATATAGATTAATAGCATAATTTGAAGTGTTTATAGCTGTAGGTATAGGTATTTTTTTAAGTTTTGATTCTTATGTGTAACTTTTGAAAATAAATCACATGTTTTAGCACAAACAACACATTTTAAAAAGGTAACCCAAAGCTAAGTCAGTAGCGAGTAATTATTCGTTGGGTATACACTTCGACCAATTTAGTTTGATAAATGTTTTTAAATTGTCATGTCCTTGATTTTGGATTTGTTTGGCTGGGAAAGCTTATAAGGACTTGAGAATCAACTGAACCTCATTCTGTTTGCAAATTGTAATACAGATCTGCATGTAACAACAAATTAAATATACTGCAAATTGGTGGCACTGTTGCAAATCTATAGATGGAGCTCACATTCAATATTTATGAGTCATTATTGTTATAACTAATTATGGATATTAATGTTAGACACGGTATGTAATAAAGATCAATACAAGTCTATATTATGTATGTGTCTGTATGATATTCTTTTACTTTAAAATAGAATTACATAGTAAGATTAGAATTACATTCAGTATTATTATAATCAGGATAGAAAATTCTCTATTCTTACCTGCAACTCCAATCTCAAACAGCTTCATATATCTTCATAAATGATATGTTATATTTTCTATAATCATTGTATGAAGTGACGTTGTAATTTAGACTATTATATATCCACACTGTAGCATGTGATGTTTACTGATGTTCTTGAATTTTTTCATTGATATTAATTATAATTGTGTAAATTGCATTCTCAGCTTCAAAAGTGATGAATAGGTCCGCTGTAAAATTCATATTAGATTATTTTAATGCTACTACGTACGGCTCAATGTGATGACAATGAATTTTTTTTATATAGCCCGCAAATTGTCAAGGCCTTTCGATGTTGCTAATAATAGTATATTTTTGTTTTTGTTGTGAATGACTAATTCAGTTGACGTGCATGGTAAATAAATTAAATTTATGTGTATTTTCTCATTTTTGGGTTGTTATAAATCATAATAAAAGTGTCCACTGTTGCTGCTTAGACATATTTTTATGTGAGAAGGTGGCAAGGGAGCTGGCAGATAACCTGATATTATGTGATAAGTACTGCCCATGGGCATTTGCAATTATTAATAAAGGCACTCCGATTACCACACTTACCAGACAAAGCACAGAAGTATAACACTTACAATTTACATTGGTCTTCTTTGAGATTGTGGTACTTTTCCAGGCAGACCTGCCCATTACTACAACAGCGAGTGTGGCCCAACAGTTTTTTGTTTTCCAAAAGTTTTTTATTTCTATTTAAAAAAAATGTATAGTAATGTGTAATGCCAGATGTTTTCAGTTTGGGCTTGGAACAATAAATGTGGATCGCACGAGTTTTGTGATTCTGTTTGGGGATAAAATTTGTAGCAAAATGCATGTTGCAGTATTGGGAGATCTTTTCTATTCCATAAAAAATTGAAATGCTGCTTTGTCCAAAATGGTTAATGTTTCAATCGAATATAAGTTGAGAGCAATAACATCTTACATACATAATTTGCTGCAGAAATAAGTCAATTGAACCAGGGAAGTTTTTTCGCTTAAATTCAAATAACTATGAAAAAAACTCTTAGAAATTGACACACCTGCAAAATCTGTAAGGTCTATACTTTGTGAGTGTTGACCATCACATTGTATTGGATTCTCTGCATGATTGTTTGCCATCAAATTTAAATGGAAAAAAATCATTCAAAGATTCTATATTTTACAACTGCCTAAAACAAACCATATACAATCATAATTATAGCTATGTTAATTTTAAAAGTTATATAAATAAAAATTGGAAGCTTAAATAGTATTTTGATATCATGGAATTTTATTAGGAACAAATTAATATTGGAGATTTTTCATAAAAAATATTCAGATATGCCTACGCAAAATGTAATTAAAAGCTATTGGTTTTTCAAATAGATGTGTATAATTTCATGTTTCGTGCGTTGCGACTGTTTTATGATAGTTTGTATGATATTAGTTTATGATTTGTATGTGAAGAACCTGAATTTTTGAAATGTTATAATCGCCTAAACTTTTATCATTGTAGTTGTTAAAAGTTATTGTGCCAGTTACTAGTAATATTAATATTGAATATTATTAAATAGAGCATTGGCCAGCTATTTAGCGAGGACATGTTGCCTTCATAAAAAGTACTAATTAAAGTGACCTTAAACGAAATGTAAAGATGTAAATTTAGTTTTGTGGAGTGCCCAAATCATTACTAACCTTTAGTATTATAACTCTGTAAGCAATACCCATAATATGAAGTATTTCTCACTGGTTTGAATTTGTGTAATAGAACATTTGAAGTAAAAATATTTTATATAATTTTAGTTCATTACGAGCTTAAAAAAAATGATCGATTAACAAAATTTACCCTGTCCAAGGCCATCACCAATAAAAGCTCCAGTGAGAACCTTAAATATTGCCCGTCATAGTTTTTAGCTTTATTTTTTAAACATGAAAATAGTATTTTACTACTACTTTTAACTACTTCCTCATCGTTGTGATTGTGCGTCCAGGGGTCGCGGTAGGGGACCGCCGCCCGGCTGGATGAACGGCCCGCCGCCGCCGATGCGCTTCCGCGGCAGGGGCTACGGCCCCGGCGGGCCCCCGATGAGGGGCCGCGGCTTCTTCAGGGGCAGGGGCGGCCCCCGCTTCGGGCCGAACAGCGGGCCCGGGTTCGATGGCAACTGGGGCCCGATGGGGCCCCCGCCGGGCATGATGGGCGGCCCCCCGCCGTACGGGCCCCCGCCCGGCATGATGCCCCCCGGCGGGCCGATGGGACCACCGCCCAACATGATGGGGCAGCCGCCGCCGTTCGCCGGGCCACCGGGTATGCCACCCCAGAACATGGTAAGTCTGGTCTTGTTTAGTGACTAGTCGTAGAAATCGTAATATTTATCCCCCATAGGAAAGGAACCAGCCTGGTGGTATTAATTTGTATTTTAAATAAATAATTTATTATGTGACACAGAATTTTTCTTTCTTTTGGGTTTTGTTTATAATGTTTTTTGCTTGGGTTCCTTATTTGTATAAGTATTTATATTGTTTTAAACTGGGTAGAACTGTATTAAGTATATCTTTTGGATTTGTAACATTTACACAAGGTTAATATAGCTACAGATAAGTACATTTTTTAAAGTAAAATAAAACCCAAAGTAAAAATAATGAAAATCTGTTCATGACGAAGTTATGAGGTAACAAACATAAAATGAAAACAATCGAATTGAAAACCTTGTCTTTCTCCTTATTTGGTATAACCCTTCGGTAAATGGTTGTCCGTCACTTTTTGTGTGGAGAATTATAAAATGATAAAACACACTTCCTATTCAACATCTTTCTTGTTTCGCGATGGCTTAGTATCTGGGAATTGCAAAGATGTTTCTGTTTGGTGCACGGTGATGTTTTTTGAAATCTCTTCTGTTCCTCGGATCTTTATTAAGCTCATTGATTTTCATATTTGGCCTTGTGTAAGTAACATAACATAAAAACTAAGATTAAGTAAGTTTAGTATAAAATAAGACACAAACTTGTTTTCTGTTTATTACACATTATCATCATCATTTTAGTATGTTTGAGTCCACTGATAAACACGGCCTCTTATGCATACTGCCATGAAGCACTTGTCTCAAAATTATAACTCAAATATCTTTATTCAATACAGTATTACACTTAATTGAAAGAACACTAGTACTTACGTCGATATGACCAATAAGTCAATGGTAAGAAAGTATATATGTATTTAATTGTATGTAATTGTAATATATGGATTTTAAAACAATTGCTCCTTTTTTAACTTGACGCCAATAACAATGTTTTGAAGTGGCCACGAGCAAATGAATCATGATAATTCCTTTGTCCAGCCCGCACCAGAGCTGTGGGTGGAGACAAAGTCTGATGAAGGCAAGCCCTACTACTACCACTCGCGGACGAGGGAAACCACTTGGACCAGGCCTATGGAGAGTCCCACCTGCAAGGTCATCACCCAGGCGGAGATGGAGGCTATGTCCACACAAGGTAGGCATTTGTTCCGAAGTGAAACTGTAAAAAATTGGGTTTGCCTTAATTTGGGCTTGCACAATGAACTTACGAAACTAGACCATAACACTGGTCCACACATTTTGATCCATGTAGAGACGACCACAAAGGTAACTGCAGCCAAATATTTATTGTATTGTACTTCATTACCGTTTAAATATTTTTAAAATGGCATAAAATCAACAGCACTGAGCATTTTGACATGTGCTTGGTAACATTATTTATTTAATAGGAACAGACTTGGTCGGCGAGTTCGGAAGGATTCGGACGTTGACACGTGCTTTAGTTATATTTTTCTTGGAAGTTTGATTTAGTTATTTCAGTTGTGTATCCATATTGTTGTTGGTTCTTGTGGTTGTGGGTTTATTTAATTTGGTAAGTGTCTTATATGTAATCGCTTAACAAGAAGGATGTGTGATGCAGGAGATGATGATCCTCCCCTGGTGGAGGAGGAAACACATCCTCTGATATAGACATGGCGCCTATAACTGCCGAGTTTATCACCCCTAGTCGTCCTCATAAAAGACCAGCGGACTTAGAAATCGCTAGTATATCCAAAAAAAAAAAGTTACTCCCGCTGCTTCAATTCAGGATACTTACACTAGACCTGGTTTTGAGCCTGACAAAAAAATTAGGTATACTGAATTAATCAAGGTCCCTTTACTGTCCACGTGTCTCGTATGGAAGCTCATCCTTCTGAAGGGCTCTCTATTAAACTACTTAATTTTGCACAGCTACTACATAAAAACAAGATTTCTGGTATTGTGTGTGATGGCATCAAGGTATTAGGCCGAAATAAAATTTCTGTTCAATTTGAAAATTTTTCACTCATTTTAAGGGTGCCAAATTACAAAACGTCGTTTTATGAAAAATCTTTTACCGTGCAGGCTATTAAGCTCTGGAATTCCTTGCCTTTAGTTTTACGTGAGGCGCAATCTATTGGCACTTTTAAGAAGTTAGTAAGAGAGCACTACCTGTCACAATCACCTGAGTAATATTGGGATTAAATACTATTCATGTTTGAGGTCTAGTATATATGTGTGTATGTATATATATGTATAGTATTTGTATATAGTATATATATGTATTTTTGTGTATATATGGATATGTATATATAAATGTATGTATCTGCTTTAATAATTTTATTAAAGCAGATACATATAATTTCTATTGCACCACCTACGTAGTATACGTTTCCTTTAAGCCATTGGTTGCCTGGAAGAGATCGCTATGAAGCGATAAGGCCGCCAAATTGTACATTGCATAAATTTGTTGTTCTATTGTTACTTTTATGTATATTGTTATTTGTGGTGGACAATAAAAGTGTATTCATCATCATTAAAATTACGTAGAAGCCAATTCCTTTATTGAGAATTCTATATTACAAAAAAATAATTTCAATGCAGAGATCCCAAAGTTCCTGGTTTCTCGAATAGGTGTTGTCCGCCAAATACCCTTGGAGTGGTCCCTTGAAGAACTGGTCTCTGGGATACAATGCCCTCCAAATTGTGGTCCTGTCATAAGAGCTAGAAGGTTAAATGTGAAACATCGGCAAAACAATAATGTTAGACCAACTTGGGAACCATCCACCACAGTCGTGTTGACCTTCCTAGGTCAAACTCTCCCACATAAAGTTTATTGTTTCCATGCTTCTCTCCCAGTCTCCATATACCAACTCCCTACCATACAATGTCATAACTGCTGCAGATTTGGCCATGTCCGTGCTCAATGTCGATCTAAGCCTAGATGTTTTAAGTGTGCTCAACAACACCCTGGGGACTCCTGTACAGTACCTGATCCTGTTTGTCTCTTGTGCAGAGGCCATCATAAAGCCACAGAGCCTATCTGTCCAGAACATTTGCGCCAGAAAAATATCAAACATGTAATGTCCCAAGAGAATATTAGTTATACTGAAGCATCACGCCGCTTTCCCATTTCCAAATTATCTTTTACTGATGTAATCTGCTCCTCTCCCAAAAATTCACCCGTCCCTTCTTGGGTCCCATGTAATGTCCCTTCTTCTTCTAATGCCTACTGCCCTCTCCCTTCACAACAATCCCCGGTTTATGAACATTCTTCATCCTCTCATAGGTCGCCATCTGTTGTCTACAATAAATCTCTTCCTCAGCAACCCCGTCCTAGATCCCCTCAGAGTCAATCTTATGATAAACATGCTCATCAAGAAATTGTTAGAACTCCCAAATCCTCCCAACCTAATGGCAGTGCACTTGGAACACTTAGTCCTACTCCTTATGCTACTCCTAACGATAATCTGATTGAGCTACTCACATGCTCTTTGATTAACATGGTATCAAAATTTAGTGATTCACTACCGAACAATGTCTTGCCCTTATTAGAACAGCTCTTAGAAACCATAATTAAAAAAAAACCGTAACATTCAACATCCTTCAATGGAACTGTAGGAATGTTCATCATAAAAAGGCTGATCTAATATTTTTAGCTAACAAATATAACCCTGTAGTTTGCGCTATTGCAGAGACTTGGTTGAGGCCTCGTTCCATTTTTAGGCTCTCAGGCTACTCTTGTCTGCGGGATGATAGGGATGATGGTTGGGCTGGGTGTGCTCTTTTTATTAAAAGACCCATTCCCTTTACCAAGCTCCATATTCCCTCTCATCCCCCAGAATTCCATATTGTTGCCTCTAGAATTAATGACATATCATTTGTTTCTGTTTACATTCCCCACCCCAATCCTAACATCATTTCAAACTTAAGCTCTATCCTTTCCTCTCTTCCTGGTCCTCTCTTAGTGATGGGAGATTTTAATTGTAAGCATACTTTGTGGGGCTCCCTCGCTTGTGACATTTCATCTCACTTTATCATAGATATGCTGGACAATTTAAATCTTTGTTTATTAAATGATGGGTCACCTACAAGGAGAGTTTCTCCATTACAGAATCCCTCGGCTATTGATTTGTCTCTTTCTTCAACTATTCTGGCATCTTCAATTAATTGGATGGTTCTGCCTAACTCCTATGGTAGTGATCACTTCCCCATAGTATTAAATTTATGTAAAGCTATTCCTCCAACAGTCAATCACATCCCTCTGTTGAAGTACAGACTTCATTTAGCAGACTGGAACAAGTTTTCACAGTTAATGGATCAAAAACTTGCATCTCTTCCCCCCAATACATCCTTATCCCACTCTAATTTACATGATATTTACAATTATTTTGTCACTTCTCTACTAAGTTCAGCTGACCTCGCCATCCCCAATAAAAACACTTCTCTTAAACGCCTTCGCTCTCCCCCCTGGTGGGACAGGGATTGTACTATCAGTGTTCAGTATCGTAACGAAGCTGAAAGCAAATATGTTTCAAATCTAACAATGGATAATTATTTACTTTATCGTAAGGCTTGTACACAAACCAAAAGATTGCTTAGCAAAAAAAAAATTAGCTTGGCAGAGGTTTTGCGAATCTCTGTCCCCACGTTCTTCTCCATCCTTGGTGTGGAAACGTATAAAACCTTTTCGCAGGTCTTGTGAAAATAATTTTTCATGTCTTGCTTATCATCACACAGATAGCTGGTTACCAAACTTTATTAGTAAATTATCTCCTCCTTATGTTCCGTTCCGTGACTCCCTTCCTACGGATTATTCTCATTCTTTTATATATCCAGATAAAATGAATGATGAATTTTCCTATCCTGAACTGCTTTGTTCCCTGGACCATCTTCGTGACTCTTCACCAGGCATAGATGGAATTCCCTATTCTTTTATTATCAAGTCAAGCAAATCTACTCACCTTTTATTTCTTAAAATCATTAATACTATTTTCTTATCCTGCAGTATACCTGACTCCTGGAAAACCCAAATTATCATACCTATTCTTAAACCAGGCAAAGATCCAGAAGAAGCCTCATCATATCGCCCTATAGCTCTGTCTTCTACCTTATGTAAAATTATGTAACACTTAATTAAAAACCGATTAGAGTGGGTTCTAGAGAATAGGGGTATATTATCCAATTATCAATTTGGCTTCAGGAGGGGTATGGGTACACTGGATAGTTTAAGTATCTTTGTCTCCAGTATCCGTCAGGCTTTCAGTAATAGCCAGCATGTTATCGGCGCTTTCTTGGATGTTACTTCTGCCTACGATAATGTCCAGATTCCAATACTCAGGCATAAAATGCTTCAACTGAATATCCCTGAGAGACTGGTCAATTTTATATCTAATCTATATAGTGGTCGTTCTATTTCTGTCCGTGCTAATGGATCAATTCAAATATCTAGATTGGTGTGGAAGGGGTTACCCCAGGGCTCTGTACTCAGTCCTCTATTGTATAATGTGTACACTTATGATCTAGACCACTCCATTTCACCCTATTGTAAAATTTTACAATATGCTGATGACATTGTTCTGTACGCCGTATCATCTTCATTAAATGATGCTGCTGGTAAAATTAACTCTGCATTAGCATATTTGAGTGATTGGCTTGACAATCAAGGTTTATCTTTATCAGTTTCTAAATGCAATGCGGTGGTATTCACGAGAAAGCGCCATGTTCCAAGCATTAATTTGTTTATTGATAGACATCCTGTAGCTGTACTAGACCAAGTAAAATTTTTAGGCGTTATATTAGATTCTAAATTGTCTGGCGTACATCATCTCAACTATGTTAGTAATAAGTGTGAAAAAGGTGTGTAAATATTTTGAGATCTTTATCAGGTGTCCATTGGGGATTGGGGATCACATCCTTATAATCAAAAATTATTATATAATGCCATTGTCAGATCACATTTCGATTATGGTTCTTTTTTGTTAGAACCTTGCAATAAGAATGCACTAAACAAACTTCAGAAAATTCAATATAAATGTCTGCGCATCATCACTGGTGCCATGAAATCCTCTCCGAATTTGGCGTTACAAGTTGAATGTCTAGAACCTCCCCTTCATCTACGTAGACAATATCTTGCTGATAGATATTTATGCAATATAGTTCAATACAGCCATCATCCCCTTTTAAAAATCTTACATTCCTTGTCCCAGTTAGCAACTACTTCTGTTTACTGGAAACATAAGGACTTGCCTCTGCTTATTAAGTCATACCGAAAAATAAAGAACCTTTCTAATCCAGTTTTCAAAATTGTAAAATACCCAATTTTTATGGTAGATTATGAGGCGCTAGTTTATAGGCCTAGGGTTATTCCATCTATGGGTATAGATAAGAACTCACCCAATGTCCATATCCAATTTAATAGAATTCTTGAAACTGAGTTTAATGGCTGGATGACATTTTACACGGATGCCTCAAAGTTGAATGATGGTGTAGATGTGGGTGCTGCTGTCTGGTTACCTAGGTACAAAATTATATTGAACTTTAAATGCCCTCCTCAATGTTCTGTTTTTAGTGGAGAGGCAATAGCTATTTTAGAAGCTGTATCTTATATTGAATCCCATCAACTAAATAGATTTATAATTTTCTCTGATTCATGTAGTTGCTTACAAGATATCTTGAAGCTCCCATTTCACTCTAAAGATAACTTTTTCTTAACACTAAAAATTAAGCAAGCATTATATAAATGCTACTGTGCTGGTCTACAAGTAGTTTTAGCATGGATTCCAAGTCACTGCGGCATTCTTGGAAATGAAAAAGCAGATTGCTGTGCCAAAGACGCAATTCAGCTCGGAATCCCTAAGTATAATAAATGTTTTATGCGTGATCTGCGTCTCTCTGCCAAACATAATATGATAAGGGTTTGGGGTGACATGTGGCGGGCGATTGGACGTGAAAGGTGTAAATATTACAGTCTAATTCAACCTTTTATACCTACCAAACCTTGGTTCTTTAGATATAGATGCTATCACAAAAAGACTACATCTATTATCATCAGGCTCAGACTAGGCCATGTATGTTCACCGGTGTTTCTGGCTAAACTGCATATTCGAAATACGTCTTTGTGTGAATGCGGGTTAGTGTGAATGTGGGTTAAATGAGGGTACTCTTGATCATTTATTCTTTAGTTGTCCTATGTTATCAGTCCGTCTATATGATCTACTCCCACCCACTATTGTACGTCCTGTGAATGTTAGTTGTTTGTTAACTCTTGTCTATGCCACATTCATTAAAACTCTAGTTAGATTCATAGAAATTAACAATATACGGCTTTAAGCTGGTTTATAATATTTTTGTTTTTCGCCTTTTTTGTTCCTGTTCCTTTTTTTTGTTCCTTTTTCTTTCTCTTTATTTATGTATGGCTGATGTCCCATGACTAATGACCATATTACTAATTACTAATAAGGTGTTTTGTTCCTCTCTTTACAGGTATGTAACTGAAAGTGGTTTAATACAGTAGGTTATTATTGTCATGTCCTTAGCCTAATCGATCTCCAAGTACCAAGTTGTTGGCAAAATCACTGACGTATCAGTGGAGCCATAGAAGGGAAAAAAAAATTTATTAGGAACAAAACAACAGAAAAATTTGAGTACATTTTCTAGATTTCTACATGGCCACTATACCCAATTCCTTTTTTTATGTGAAAAAGTGGCAAAACAAGCTGCCGGTTCATCTGATGTTAAGTGATAACCAGCTACCCATGGACATTTGCAACATCCGTAGGGGTGCAGATGCGTTGTCACCTCTTAATAATGTGGGCCCCGGCTACCTCACTCACCAGACGAAAAGCAGAAGTGTAACACTCCTATTTTACACCGGTCTTCTGTGAGGTCGTGGTAATTACCCGGACGGACCTGCCCATTCGTGCAACAGCGAATACTGTTGCGTGGTCCTACCACAGTTACTTATTATAATAAAAAAAACCTAAATTAAACTGTAAAAATAAATTATATGCTGTTAGTTTAACGTATGTTTTTCTTTTATTACATATATACAGGGTGAATGATAGCTAGCTATGTTAAGACTAAAATTATGTTAATCAAAAATTATTTATGCATTATTAATGTAAGAAAATCAAATAAGACATACTAGTTTACGGACTTTATCGCGTTTTAATTTTTATCTTTTAATTACCGACATTTAGAACCCTTTCCTGCGTCCATGGTTTTTTTGTCGGATACTTTGGACAAAACGGAACATGATAAACATATTAATTAAAGTAAAAAAGTTAAATCAGTCTATACATGTCCCACTGCTGGGCAAAGGCCAACTTTGTACGGTCTACTTTGTCTGTCTTTGATACTCGTCAGGGCATAGTCGAGTATATTGAATTACAGGCGAGCGCCCGGACTCTGACCTATCACAGCTCAAGTCTTAAATTACTTTCCATTATAATAATCTTGGGAGGGCATTATAATTTTGCGTTTAGTTTATATAGTGTTAGGACGAATTAAATTCCATAACGGCAGTGGTTAACATTGGAAACGTTTGCAGCTCCCCAAATGCACAACATGAACGGTCCCCAATCGATGATGGGCGGGCCGCCGATGGGCGGGCCCCCGATGGGCGGGCCCCCCATGGGGATGATGAACGGCATGATGCCTGGTGGCATGATGCCCCCGGGTGTTGCACCGGGACCGGCCCAGGGTTCGGTGCCGCCGTTCATGACGCAACCTCCGCCCTGGCTGAAGGATGGTGAGTGTACACATCTCGCTTTAACTGCAAAAGGTTGTCAGTGCAGTGTGACAATTAATATTGACGACCCGAATGGCGTAGTCGGTAGTGTACCTGCTTTCTGCGCCAGAGGGTGTGAGTTCGATCCCCACTACTGGAAAAATATTGTGTGATGAGCATAGTGTTTTTCTAGTGTCTGGGTGTTTCTATATGTATAATATGTATTTATTTACAAAAGAAAAGTATGTTTAAGTATGTTTATCAGTTTTCTAGTACCCATAGTACAAGCTTTGCTTAGTTTGGGACTAGAAAATGTTGTGTACAAATGTCTCATAAATATATACCATCAAATATATAATATATATATATATATATATGTGACTACCTGTGTATTTTGCTAATAGCAACTATCGGACATAACATTCGAAGTTATATGTCGCTATATTCAGTTTACGCCCGGTTTCTGAAACACCGATCATCGTAGAAGTCAACTAATCAGTTGACTTACATTGATGTTGCTTGCATGCTTTTATTTGTTTTGCCAATCTATTAAAGTACAGCGGTCAGTACTGTTCACAATTAAGATTGTACCACACAGTGTTGTAGGGGGATATCATGATATATCACAATCATAATATATCATATAACATCACAAAAAGCTGTTAATAAATAAATAAAATTAATCTGGGCAACATAATAAGGGAGATGTTAAAATGGGAAAACAGTTTTACACCTATATTAATATGGAAGTATTAATGAGAAATCACTAACCGTCATGGACTCATTGCAATTTCTAATTATTATAATCAATAGTTGTATATTGGTAAATATTATAATGTAACTTTATGAAACTGTTCTAACAGCCTCTTGTATACTTTCATCACTTGATTTTTCTCTTCCACGCAGGCAATGGGAAGGAAAAGCATGACTCTGCTAGTCCCGTGGACAGCGACGAAGCGCCACCTGGCGACGTAGCCCCAACGGGACAGCCCAACGGTTATTATTTAAATACTATTATAGAAGTCTTAGCCTTTTTAGTTTATAACTCCTGTATTAATGAAAAATTTATTTTTACTATTCAAAAATAGAGAGGTACAGTGTTTTCCTTCACCACTGAGTACTGAAGATTAACAATTTATCTGGTGGCTGTTTTTGAATTAGGGTAGCACGCCTATTGCGGTTAAAACTATTAAATGCTCACCATTATAAATGCTCCTGGGGGATTTTTATACTTTTCGGTCATCTGGTTAGTGGGGTAACCTGTGCTCCATGTAATTCTCATTTAATCATAAGGAGATAAACAGCATGCTTCTTTGGAATTATGAAACTTATTCATTTAATCTTTATTTATTGTAAAGATGAAACTTATAATGTCAAAATTTTATGTATAAATTGTCCAAAATATTAGCTTGTGAGAAAAGTTTGATGTAAAAGGACACTAAACATAGGAGATCTCTGTCCGTTGCGACGCTTTCCGGCAGTTTTGCGCGTCTTGTGTGTACAACGTTCCGTGTGCGTTTGTAACGGGCACAGAATTAACGTTGTGATATCGCTCTCCTTTCCTCAGGTGGCGGGGGATTCCCCGGGCCGTGGGGCAACTGGGGCTGGCCGCCGCCGGGCGTGGCGGGCCAGCAGGCGATGGCGGCGGGTGGCAATTCAGGGGCGACGGGCGCCACCGCCAGCGCGGCACCAGCTGCCATTCCGGACAAGGGTGAGCACGAGAGATAAATAAATAATAAAATGTTTGTTACTCTCACGCAAATGCTACGGAATGGATTTTAATGAAACTTTACTATAATATAGCTTATACATAAGAATAAGACATAGGTTATAATTTATGTACATATTTTTAATTGTATCTATCTTTCTGTCTGAATGTTACGCCTTCAGCTTATTCTACGCAGACGTAGTCGCGAGCAGCAACTAGTACTAAATAAATATTTGCAAACAGATTTTTATATATCTGGCATGTTCGATCGGCTATATGCTAAATATTTGTTATGCACGTTTATCAGGTGCCGCGACGCAGCTGCCATATCTGAGCGCAGCCCCCGTGGTGGCGGCTGAACCAGGGGACTCCGGAGCCCTGCCCGCCAAGAAGGAGGAGACGGTATGCACCTTGCCACTAGATTTTGTTTACACATACAATAATCGGTAACTTGTTTCAAACAAGATTCCTATAGTGAAAGAATTGTTTATCTGGTACAAAAACTCAAAATAACAATGAAAAATTATCAGTCCCACCAAGAAGGTCAACCACTCAGCATTTACATTGCGAAAAAAATTCGCGATTGCTGGTTTTCAGTGACCCCCGTTTACCTCACTCACTACGAGTGAGGTAAACGGGGGTCACTTTTATTAAACATTGTCAACACATCTGCAGGCCCTCAAATGTTCATGGGCAGCGGTGTTCAATTAACATGAGGTGGAGTGCCAGTCTTCTCTTCGGTAGCGTTACTTACCCGGATGAACAAGACCACTTGTGAACAGCAAAGAGTGTCACATAGACCTACCTAACCTGGAATAATAAAAATCTTTTGTTGGTTTGCAGACGATCCCGCCCGAGCTGGCGGCGCAGGCAGCCGAGTGGACCGCTCACAAGGCCCCGGATGGCAGACCCTACTATTACAACGCCTCCAAACAGGAGTCCGTTTGGGAGAAGCCACAGCCTATGCGAGAACTTGAGGGTTAGTCCAGCCTTATTACTGGCCATCCTATATTTATTTACTTATTCAGTATGATAGCTCAGTGTCCGGGCGTTCGCCTTTAATTTAATATAATCTAGCAACCCGAGTTCGATCCCCGGTGCCAGCACCAATGAAATTGAATATTTTAAGTGCTGAATTATCACGTGCTCAGCGGTGAAGGATAACATCGCGGGGAAACCTGCATATTTTCGAAATAATACCAAAAAAAAAATTATTCCAAGATATGTGTGTGGGGCTGCGTGGTGGACTATGTCCTCATACCCTCTGTACAGAGGAGGCCTTTGACCAGCAGTGGGACATTATAGGGTGATACTTAACTTTTTTATTTGGTACGAAAACAACAATATGTAAGAATCACTTTGTAGAGCAGCTGCTACAGAATATGCTTTGGGAGTCGTGAATTCGATTACCACATGGGACGTGTATTTGTTGGATGTACGGATAATTAAAGATATGGGGACCACTGGAGAATCACGACCCAAATTTGTCCTGCACACTTTTTATATTAAAATAGATGATTTTATTAAAATAGATAAATGATAGAGATGACGGCTAATAGAAGGAAAAGACATGTTGTGCCGACCCTACCTACACTAGGTACCTTACCATGTGTAAGATAAAGGCAGGAGAAAAAAGAAGAATGAAGAAGAATTCACATTGTTAATTGAAATGAAGAACATACTTACTTGTGTCAAAGTATTTTTAGAATAATTGTTATAACACTCATAATATAATCCTTTTTCTCCTGTCCCTAACAGAGTTGCAAGCCAAGATAGCCATCGAGAAGGGTGAGGTGATCGAGAAGAAAGTGGAGACGGTGGAGCTGGAGGACGGGAGAATTGAGGGTTAGTTACAAATATAACATATCAAATTTAAATTCAGATATCTTTACTAAACATGGGAGCATTACACTCACTTATTGATTGTCAAAATACTAATACCGGCTTGGGAAATAAAAGAACCGGAGCGAAACTCAGCACACCTGTTTTTTTTACAATGTTTACATTATTATAGTCCTATTGAAAGAGCCAGGAGCGATCAATTCATTTCCAGACTGTGTTCTTGTTTAATTTCTTAATAAATGTGTTCCGTTGATTGAAATACATTATGTCGCTTGCCTATCAAAATTAATGATTATTATAACTCTGAATTAGATGGGCATTAAATAATGGGGAAATACCACAGCCTCGCAGAAAACTGGCGTGAGGGTGGATTATACTTTCGCGATTTCTTTGGTTATTGAGGTAACCGAGGCTCACTTTATATGAGTGGCTAAATAAAGTAGCGGGTAGTGTACCTGCTTCCTGCGCCAGAGGGTGTGGGTTCGATCCCCATAACAGGAAAAACATTATGTGATGAACACAGTGTTTTTCTAGTGTTTATACAGGGAGTCTTTTCTAAGTGTATCCATTTTTTTTGTTAAATTCTAGTCATAAATAATGTTATATAAAAAATGAAAAATATTTAAAATCACTCTTAATTACATTCATTTGAAGTTATCTCAAAAAGTGCATGATTTATGGCCAACTCATTTATTGTACGCGCGATCATTCATAACTAACACGCACACAAGTTCGCTTCAAAAGTATACAACGCATTTATGATAAAAATATTTGAGGCTATTATAATTTAATAAAATAAGTTTGTTTTCAATAAACAATTATACTACCGAGTCCGAACCTCCTGTGTGAATTTGGGCACCTATAGAAAAGCCACCCTGTATATGTTTCATACGCGTTTATTTACGAAAGAAAAGTATATTTGGGTACGTTTGTTTGCTCAGTGATCGACGTGGACGAGCACGCCGAGGCGCAGGCGGCGGCCGCCGCCGCGGCCGAGGCGTCCCGCAGGGCGGCCGAGCGCGAGCGCGAGCGGGAGCGCGAGCGCGAGCAGGCCGAGCGCGAGCAGGCCGAGCGCGAGAAGGCCGAGCGGGAGAAGGCCGAACGCGAGAAGGCCGAGCGCGAGAAGGCGAAGCAGGACCGCAGCAGGCCGCGGTGGAGCACGCCCATATCGGGCACGCCGTGGTAGGCTGAACTGCTGGACTTTTCTATCACCCTCTCTCTCTTTTTACATCTCTCCCTCTGCCCCCTCTCTAGAACCCCCATCGCTCTCTTTCTCTCTCCCTCTCCCCTCTCTCTCTTTCTTAATCCTCCCTCTCTCTATCTCCTTCTCCCCGCCCCCCTCTCTATTCAGAAAACCAAACAATTATATAAGAAAAACATTATTGAATATAATATGGTAGTTGCGTTACCAGCAAGAAGCACCCATAGCTACAAATATCGTAAAATGTCACATATTCGGATGATCTTCGGATGATGAAGAAAAGTATTGAAGGGGGGATATCATGGATGGTGTCAATTAGCTTTTCTACTTCATACTATGTCAATAGTAATTTGTTTAATAAATACATTGAAAGAAAATCCCAAAAATTGTGTTTTAATAAAATAAATAGTATCTTCTGTGCGGCAATATTAATTTTAAATTGATCTCTTGAAAAATATTTCATATGCATATATTTTTCATTTGATCATCCGTAAACATACTGAGGATCGGAAATACTTCAGAGGTTTTTTTGTTTGGTTTTGATCAGGTGTGTGGTGTGGACTGGCGATGGCAGGGTGTTCTTCTACAACCCCACAGCCAACTCCTCTGTGTGGGAGAGGCCGCCTCAGCTGGTGGGGCGTGCTGACGTCGATAAGGCTGTTAGCCAGCCACCGGTCGAGTTGCAGGTAATCTTACACTCACCCTATCTCTTCCTCTAAGCTTAGAAGAAATGGGAGAAGATGGTTTCTCTATCCTTATCCTGTTCTCGCCTCTGTATGACTCTTAAGGTCTGTGTCATCATATTATTCAAGTTAAACATGCATAATTATATGCATAAACCATTCTAAATTTCCTTTTTCTATTTGTATCTCTCCGTTAAATTATATAAATTAGATTTTCAATTTGTCTAATGTACAGTCTTTGTGTATCATAATTAATCAAGAAACTTACTTCATCAAAGCCACAATTCGACATATTTTTAAAAACATGTTGAGACATGTTTAAAACTTCTTTCATTGAACCATAAATTTTTGTTTTAATTTGAATATTTGCCGACGTAACAAGAGCTTAGAATGATATTGCTTTTTTGATAAGCAGTTATTAAATTTCACAACCGCCTCTCTCTGTACCTCCACACCATCATGCTTGCATTACACCATTATGTTGCCCAAAGTGTTTGAGTGTCAATATCTGTTTGCAGCGCGAGGAGGGCGCAGCGCCCGCCGCAGCGGCGACCGGCGGCGCCGCCGCCAACGGAGACCTGAAGCGCGCCGCCGACACAGACACGGACGACTCGGAGCCCGAGCCCGCCAAGAAGGCGAAGCCCGACGAAGGTGCGAGAGCACAACGCTGTGCATCCCCTCTTGCGTTTCAAAGTTGCAATAAACTTGTATAACTGATGTAACACTGTCAGTCCTTAGACTATTAAAGCTTCATCGAACGGAGAACCAGTGGGCTAGGCATTTATACGGTAGGCCCTAGCCCATACGCATAATACGCATGAGGGCGTTGCTGAGTTTGAGACTTGAGAGTTTTGTGTAAAAATTTGTCCGAAAATATTCATATTTATCTTTTATTGTCCTAAAAAATTAATGTGGTCGTTTCATTCGGCAGGCAAGAAGACGGCGTCCGTCGGGTCAGGCGGCGTGATCGACGCGGGCAAGGAGGCGGCCGTTGAGGCGGAGATCAGGGCGGCCCGCGAGAGGGCGCTGCTGCCCTTCGAGCAGAGGGTGCGCAGCTTCCTGCAGATGCTGCACGAGAGCGAGGTGTCCGCCTTCAGCCCGTGGGAGAAGGAGCTGCACAAGATCGTCTTCGACAGCAGATACCTGCTGCTCACCTCGAAGGAGAGGAAACAGGTGCGACTAACTTTAATGGTGGTAAGGCCACGCAACAGTTTTCGCCGTTGCACGAATGGGCAGATCCGTCCGGGCTAGTACCACGACCACACAGCACCACCGAGTCATCTTTACCATTACAAATAATAACTTTTAAAAGAAAAGTTATAAACTTTATTAATTAGTACTGTTTCTAATATAACTTTATTAAAAAAAACCGTGCATCACTTGTTATAAAACTCGATCCCACCGGTTATATGAAACTAACTGAGTTGTTAATCTTCAGGTCTTTGACAAATACGTACGCGAGCGAGCAGAGGAGGAACGGAAAGAGAAGAAGAACAGGCTGCAGCAGAAGAAGAACGCTTTCAGGCAGCTCATGGAGGAAGCGAAACTGCACTCAAAGTGAGTTCAATTTAATAATTCCATATCATTACTCTCAAACACTATAGACGATAACTTTTTAAAATTTTATTAAACATTTACATTCTTTAAACATCAATATTCACCGAGTTATTAAATTTTTCAAAACAAACAATTTTAGAACACCCTTACGCATAAAACTGTAACGTAAAGTTCATTTGTAAAGGTCAAAAAGCATATACATACTGTTAGGAGAGACTTGTAACGCGACAAAGTCTCTGAATCTATTATTCTATTCTATTTCTAGTCTATTTTTTTATGATTATTGGCAAGTAGCGTTAGACGTATGTTCATTTATTGCCGCGGTTGTAACGACACGCTGAATATTACCGAAACCATCCAAATATTTGAACATATTACATAGAAATGAAAGATAAAATACATAATAAAGATGGTCACATCCACTCATTAGAACAATGTTCGACCTGTACTTCCAACCACTTTATCTGCCGTAAGCTGGAATAGCAGTTTAACTGTGATAGGGTCACGCAAAAGCCTCTGCATTGTTGCACGAATGGGCAGCCTCGTCTGTGGGCTATTCGTCTGGTGTGTGAGATAACCAGGGCACACCATGGGAACGCCTCTGCTAACCGCTAGGTCATATAGCCGTTCATAGGTAACTGTAGTTACTTCATCATCATCATCAGCCGCAGGACGTCCACTGCTGAACGTAGGCTACCGCCTAAGAACGCCACAACGAACTACCCTTTGCCATTTGCATCCACCGGCCGCCCGCGACTATTACGATGTCGTCGGTCCACCATAACCTTAAAGGCACTTAAAGAAGTATAACTTCAAAAAACACTCCTCAGGTCTTCGTTCTCGGACTTCTCGTCGAAGCACGGTAGAGACGAGCGCTTCAAGGGCATTGAGAAAGTGCGCGACCGCGAGAAGTACTTCAACGAGTACATTCTAGAAGTGCGCAAGAAGGAAAAAGAGGAGAAGGACAGGAAGAAGGAGCAGGTGAGTCGCTTGCCGCGGCGCCCGGTCGCTAAGGCGGAATGTGGTCTATTGTTATCTTATAACTGTCCACTCTGGTCTACTTACGGAGCCTGTATCGGAATTGGTTTGCGCAAGCAGTTATAATGGATGGTTGTGATGGTGGTCTCGAGTATTTGTATCTATCTTGTGGAGTGGCATAGGACTTTAACTTCTTTGGAAGGGGCATGTGATAGCTTCTGCTGCTCAACTGATGGGTCTGTTTGACTAGGGTAGTAATACCTTTGGCTTTTGTCTGTTGAGTGACCAGAACCCTAGTCTCTTAAATGTTAGTATCGCCATAAACCATACTTATGTACTCAATTGGAAAAGATTCCATAGATCTGTACATAATTTTATGAAGCTTGCCAATACATAATTTTTGTAGGCTACTATCACTAACCATCTCTTTGTTACTAACACCCACATTACGAGGAGCATCATATTGCCTCCGATGCAGCTTTTATTCCTCAACAGGCTCCCGTAAGTGACCATGAAGCATTGTCTAATAATTTTTAATATAAGTTGTAGGTTGGCACGTTGCAAAAGTAACTTTCGAAGTCCACTGCTGGTCTATTTTATAAATGGATATAATTACATTCAAGATAAGACATTCAAAATTGCATTCAGCAGAAAACAGCTCCACAATACGCTTGCCTAATTTAAATCACCTCCACTAATTGCAAATATGCACGAAGAGTTTCCGCAGATTTTGTGTTCCACTGATTGAAGGGGAATTGCTGATTCGAATCCAGCTTGTGAAATTCTTGGTTCAAATATTTGTTGTAATGAGAGAGTATTCTGATTCTCTGCTATATGAGGTATTCATACCGTACTGCAGTCCAGGAACTGACACCACTGCTGTTATCCTACAGTTTGATTCTTTTATTATCCCATAAAAGAATCAAACTGTTCGCAATTGATTTACAAAAAGCGAATAATATCACACTTTCAGAATGCTTCCTCGATTTAAAATGAAGCTTCCTTTTAAAATGATAAGGAACAACTTGCATCTTACAGTTTTGGAGGCAGTAGTTGGTATTAATTTGTGACAGGTTCGAATCCTGTCTTAATTTTTATCAGAATAAATAGCAGAGACTTATTGAGCCTCTAGTAGGAGAATACCTTTTATACTTGTCTAATATTTGTGCAATGCAAATTGCTGTGCGACATGTTTTTATCTTTTTCTCATATATTTAATATTTGATGTTTTATCTCTTTTCTTATCGAGAACAGATTTTTCTCTTTTGTCATTGTTAATATTTGAATATAAATAAATTCAATATGATCAAAAGCGTATGTCTATGATATAGCCTTGTTCAACCACCAATTTTCTTTTTATTCATAACACTTTTTTTTGTTTTAATGTATATTTTTAGTTGTCAAATTGGTGTAGTTACTTAGTCTGTATCAAAGACTGTTTCTACGTCTGTACAAGGATTGTGGCAAAAACGCAAATAAGAATGACTAATGCGCATTTCTCTATGCCTATATTTGAAGAAACTTCTTTCAACTTAATTCTTCTTATGGATAGATTTTTTTTAATTCGGCACCTTTCTTACTTGTTATTGATGTGAGATGTTTTGCCAGATCCCTTTACGGAGCACCAGAGAATTAAACAATTTGATGGCGGGCGAGTTTCATGACTGCGGTTGCATATATATATGAACCAACAATAAAGACGTATTAACATAAACACACATTGCGACCCGCTTGAGAATGATAATGACCTCTTCATTTAGTCCTAGTCCGGGCGCGTTTCAGCTTCGAACCCGGCGCGGCCCCACTCACGAGGACTCACCGGCCGCCTGTCTCTCTCCTCTTGCCATGTATTGTCGTGTCGTGTCGTGTAAAGTGCCCCCTCTAGAGGCGGTAAACGGAAACCGAAACGCGCTTGGTTTGTGGGCAGCGCGAGGGGGCGGCGCGCGGGAGGGGGCGGAGGGGCGCCGGCTGCCCGGAGGGGCGCCCACCGAGGAGCGGGGCGGGGTGAAGTCGCGATAGGCACGTACACTCGCTCGCAAACGACCATTCACTCACTCGTTCACCCACTCACTCACTCAATCACTCGTTCACCCACTCAACGACGCAACTTACGTACGAACCCCGAGTCTAGTTTATCCGTTTCTAATTATTAGAAAAATCGCCTACTTGCGCGCTTTTTGTTCAACGTGGCCAACGCGCTATGTGCTCGTGTATCGACGAACTCTAAGCGTACTTTGTTTTCATATGATTTCAAATGTATTGGTTCATCGTTCAAAAAAAGAAGTAAGAACGGGAAAACTTCCACTAAAAGGAATCAAAAAAGCTGACTGTCGGCCGTAATATTTTTTTTTATGTGAATATTTGTCAAACGAGCAGACGGTTCACCTGATGTTAAGTGGATACCGCCGCCCATGGACATCTGCTACACCCGAGGGTTCCAGATGTGTTGACAACCTTTTGAAAATTGGGCTCCGGCCACCTCACTCACCAGACGAAACGCGAATGTATTCTACTACACTTTACTATACTTCCACTTTACGCCGGTCGTCTGTGAGGTCGTGGTACTTACCCGGACGAGTCTGCCCATTCGAGCAACAGGCGAGGCTGCTGCGTGGCCCCACCACCGTAAAATAAATTCGAGGAAAATCATTAGACTTTAAAGAAATCGCTCCAAAAACGTATAAATTTCTATGACTAATAGACTCTAATTTAGCAATGTCTGTCAATTTAATTTTTCTTGTACAACTTTCATATAGTAAACATTTCAAACCAAAAATTCAAATATAAACTCCTAGATAACACAATACAATCAACACTCACAACCCAAGAACACATGCGGACATGATTTAGCATAGCAACTAAATTGAAGACTCAAAATAACCATAATAATTGTGTAGTATATCGAAATTGTGATATTTAAAAACGCCCCCTTAACAAGTAAAATGTAATGTAATAAATAATTTTGGAATATCTCCAAGCTCTCCGTGGGGGGTCTCTGGAAACCACAACCCTTTGTAACCTTTCTCATGCGAAATGACCAAAATTCAATGGTGATAGGGCCAGTCTTGTATTAACCGGCGATCACCCCGTCCCGCCAGAAATACTTAAGGTTAGATATGATTAGTTTTAAGCAGAGATCTAATGTTAATGTTAGCCAACCGAGTAAAGCCGTTGCCTTTAATGTCGTCAGCGCTTACCTTTGGTAAGTGGAACAGTTTCTTTATATTAAATCTCTATAATTATATAAAGGCATCATCCCCCAATAAAACTTAAGTGAGATTCTTATTGAGCAACTTGCATGCGTTGACAGATTTAGTCTCTAATGTTCTGGTAACGCTTTGATGATTTGGAAATCACTCTTTTACTCTTGTTGTTTATATTTGTAATGAACGGTGTTGGGTTTATAGTAAATTCTTAGTAAAATAGTATATAATTTTAGATAATAAATACAGCCAGTTGGTTGATTGAAATCTAACTTTGGATGATTCGGGGTTATCAATTGGTTTAATATAATTGTCGAGAGTAAAATTAGTTTTAGTCTTAACTAATCATTTAATTTCTTACAGGTTTTTTTTTTGTTTATACTCGAGGTGGTTTTTTGCTTTTGTCTGTGGATAGTATATTTTAATATCTTTTTGTAACTAGTAATATTTAAAAAGTGACTTTTTACTATTATAGTTTGCATCATTGGCAAAAGTAAAAGACTTCTTTGAGAGTTTTTTCCATAATAAAAGTAGTCCCAATTCAATTTTGAATGGATAAAGAAATGGAATATTGAATTAAATTCTTTCTATAACAATTGGTACAGAATTATCAGTAAATAAATGAGTTCAGTAAAAGTTCTTATAACAAAATAATATAAAAAGTTTTGTTAATTACAAAGTCAAATGTTAATTTCAATTGCAATTATAATGAAGAGATTTATAAATCACCTTTTAACGGGTAACACAATGTAACATGCAATTCGTGAAGTATTCCTTGTTTCAAAATGTGAAAGCATTTTGATTGTCTCTACGATCCTAGATTTACACAGATTGTGTAATTGCAGGATATGTTATAGTGTATATAGATATAAATTATCCGTTTCAACCTAGCACACTGGTTGTGCAGTTAAAAACTAAATACATACTAATACTTAAAGGCATTAGAACTTGCACTTAAATATACTGGCATCTTAACCCGTCCCTTAGTTGAGGTTCGAACACGGGACACATTTGGGTAAGGACTCTCTACGATAGTGTATGAATGATACAGAATTGACATGAAAATTTTAAAAGTTCTTATAAAATTAAATTGAAAACATTGTTTTACCTGGTAAACGGTTATCAGTCAAACATAAAATTGGAGACGTAGATTTAAGCGCGTGCGAAAGTAAAGATCTTTTTTTTAATTGGTGAGGTGCTCTATGCGGTGAATCATGGGAAGTCCCCATTCTTTTTTTTTTAATTCAATAAGTCTATAGTGCTTAAGCGACTGCTCTATATTCATCATCATGCATCATACTTAAGGTTTTGGCTGTGGCCATATAAGTTATAGTGACCCGTAAACAAATAAGCATCTATTGGCATTTGATTGCACACTATTTCCTCAACTGTATTGTATAAATTTTAAAGTTTTTATAGTGCTAATCTCTGCACTTAAGATTGAACATTAAATTGTATAGTTTTCTGTATGGTAAGGTGGTTGGCACAATTACTAAGCTATTGCTAAGCCGGCCTTGGGTTCGATTCCCACTGGAGAGCATTAGATCCGGCACAAATGACCCACACATAATTGTTCCGGATCTGGGTGTGTGTCGATGTGAAATTTCTGTATGTAGACTTCCCAATACACAGGCAATAAGAATATTAGTGTAGGAGAATTAAAATAGAAGATACTGTAGAATTACACTACAGGGCCAATCATGACAATAATATATTTAAAAAAAATTACCAGAGATCATGCTACATTTTCTGTTGTTGATGACAGTAATATTGGATCTACAACAAAATATTCTCTGGTAGAGCCAAATAGCTTTGACTGTTGCACAAATTGTCTGGTTGATCCGGGGAAATACTGGACCTTATTAGAAGAACGGCAGAAAGCAGAAGTATATTTACTCTTCAAGTCTTTCGCCTGGTGAGATAGGTAACCGGGGGCCCAGCTCTTGAGGGTCGGCAAGATTGGTGGTGGTGGTCATCACATACCGTCAAGTGTAAACCATGCTTGGGCCCAATTGCCCATTGGTTTGACTTGATCCCCAGGCATAGATATGGTAGGATGCCAATGATTTGGTGATGACTCTGCTTACAAATTGACCTTCACAAGAGTAGGGTAGGCTATATACAATTTGGTGGCTGGTTCCTCTTGTTGAGGGAACAGTGCATCTCTGAAACAGTATACAGGGATAGTTAAGAGTATTTCTAGGCAGGCAGGGTACACGAAGACCACGGTCATTTCTAGTCAGGTCTAAAATTCCATAATTTATTATAGAATACATTATTTCTGGCAATTTTCTAATCGCTGATCCGCTAGACCACCCACAGTATAACATAGTCTCTTGGCTCTATTTCAGCAATTGTTTTTCCTAGAGCCCTTTACCGAACACAAATCGAGGTCTACGATGGTCTTTACTCTCGCACACCAACTGACTAATCAACCAATTCTCTTTCAGGGACTAACGAACCGCTCTTTCCACAGCGTCTAATGAAACGTTTCCTTTGTTTTCAGGCTCTAATAACAATCTATATAATCGTTTCACGTTTACAATTCCAGCGCCGTAGCGTATAACAGAATGGGCAGAGCCGCGGGTCGGGCGGCGAGAGTTTACGCTTTCGAATGCTTTGCGTGCGCGGTGTAAAAATTAAAACAGAGCGAGTGGGAGACTGAATTTCACATAGAGTTTGAATATATATATAGAGAGAGATGGAGAAGTAGAGAGAAGAGGAGAGGTGGAGCGCCCGAAACCCGGCACCCGACCCGCGGGCCTCGCCGCCCGCATAGCGCCGGCCCCCCCACCCCACACTGACCCCCGGCCGTCTGCTTCTAGGTGAAAACCGACTTCCTAGCGCTGCTGAAGGAGAAGTCGGTCGGCCGCCACTCGCGCTGGGCGGAGGCGAAGAAGAAGATCGACACGGAGCCCAGGTACAAGGCGGTCGAGGGCAGCGCCCTGCGCGAGGATTACTTCCGCGAGTACTGCAAGCAGCTCAAGGACGAGCGCAAGAAGGAGAAGGACGGCAAGGAGAAAGGTGAGCTGAGGAGAAAGGTCGGCTCTCGCGCCAGCAGACTTAGTATTGTCTCTTCGCAGGGGCCTGGAGTGGTTCCAGGCTTCTGCGAATAGACTATAATCGCCCGTACAAAAAATTACTAAACGCTTATCGTCAATTTAATTCTGATTAGAATTTGTAGTAGTACACTTCTTTTTCTGCAAGGTCAGTTGTCTGCAAGTTCAGTTATTGTCTGCAAAGTTAGTAATCGTCTGCAAGTTCAGTAACTGTCTGCAACGTCAGTAATTGTCTGCAAATTCGGTAATGGTCAGCAAGTTCGGTAACTGTCTCCAAGGTCACTAACTGTCTGCAAGGTCAATAATAGTCTTGCAGTCTAACTGCTGATGTCGCGGAGTTTCTAGTGCGGAGTAAATAGTTCAGAGCTAGTTCAGAACCTTACGATGTCCGCAAAACGGTGTTTGGTTTTTGGTTGGTGGTTTTTGTGTTTGTGAACTTTGGTTTCACTAACCATTATGTCATTGTGTACCTAAAGTAGATGAGAAATAAACCCTCATTTGTGTTTCTGAGTAAATGGACAAGTTTAATACTGATGATGAACTATCTCTGTTCACCCCCTTTGGGTGCCCAAACTGTATAGCAGTACATGATATCAATTAAAATCCGTAGTTTGTTTAATTGCACAAATTAGCGGTATAAAAAAAATATGACGTAAATTGTTCAAACACAAGTACACATCAAAAAGTGATTCTCGCGCTAGCCAAAGGATGACTCACAAAGCGTTCCCCGCACAGAGCGCGAGCGCGGCAGCAGTAAAAAGGAGAAAAAGGACAAGGACAGGGACAAGGAGAAGGAGAAGGACGGCAAGGAGAAGAAGAAAAAGGAGAAGGCCGGTGACGTGAGTAGAACGTAGCACATGACATGCTTAACGCTCAAGCGATCCCAGCAGGCACTGTAGCGTTTGCAGATAAAATGGAGAGAGTTAAACCTTTAAGAGTTGGGGGGGGGGTTATATTTTAAGGCATGTCATCGTCGTAAATGCAATTTATTTTAGAGGGGGCGAGGATGTATTTTAAAGGCTTTCCCTAGTCGTAAATGCATTTTAATTTAACTTGAATTTGCTTGGGATCAACCTAGGCTGATGTTCTATGTCTAGGTTAGTGATGGCGTCACGAAGAAATATGATTGATTTAAATTTATTCTTCTATTTTTTCCGTACTAATAACCTACGCTCCCGTAAAATTGTTCTCAAAATTTAGTGTAACTTGATTTACTTATTAAGTTCTCATTAAGTTACCGTTTTACTGTTCTATAGGAGTTGCATGTTTCTTTTTTTTTTTTTTTTGCTTGGCTTTTTTCCTGTTTGCAATAACTTAGGCCTGTGCTTAAGTCTGTACTACAAAAACATTAGTTTCTTCTTTATTTTCGTAGTCTACTTACAAGACATTATCTGGTCATAATAAATCTTCAATACAAGATTGAATAGTTTGTTACTGAGCCGGTGCGTTTACCACCTAATATATCTTATTCAAGTGAAAAAAAAAAACAAAGGCTGGTCTATAAATTAAGTTAGGGTCATAAATTAGAACCACACTCATTCAACACCTGTATGAACACGGTGTTGTATCAGCTGGGTTCCTTAGAACTGGGTTCCTGGGTTCCATTTAGACCTACTTGAACGTTAAGCGACACGAAGAGGTACCAAATAAGCTATCAGTGGATCTTGGATCCCTTAAGTCTATAACAATCTGCTCCAGAGAATACTGTGTCAGCCTTGGCTGATCTCTTACTCTAGAGCCCTGTCCGTTTTTCGTCTACGTCCCATCACATTTCTTTGAAATGTTTTTCCCACATAATATACTATGGGGTCGCCCATTAATCACGTGATGTTATTGTAGCGTTTTTAACCCCACAGGGGGAGGCCCTTGGTGATACGTGGTGAGGTTTAAGAGTACCCCCGTCACGTGTGGTGTAGTGATATCTTACTACACTCACCCCCTTCCCCTTGTGATATTTAGTGATTTTTGCCAAACCCCACGAAAGGGGGGAGCCCTTTCGTGCCGATTAATGGACGGCCCCTTTGCTACAGCTCTCGCTTGCACACTATATATAATTTTATTGCCTAATCCCCGCATTGATTTCGTCGTATACTAAATCTGTCACTGACAATAATTCCTTAACTGAGAATTCATTTCGGCACTAACTAAATCAATGGCTTGGTTTCTTTTTGATTATTTTCGTATTCGATATCCACATCTGTCCGTTTATTTGACCCTCTATTACTCAGTCTGCAGTATATAGGGCCGATTTCGTTTGCTCATTCCCCCCACACGCAAGGATCTCACTTTACTTTGGCGTCCATTTACAAATCTCGGGACGGGGCAGACTGCACTCGGACGTATCGGTGCTGAACGCATATTTTTTTTTCCCCCCACCCCCACGTTTTGTTTGTCAATACTAGACTAGACTAGACGATTGCGCGCGGCGTCAGTATACGATCGATCGACCGACCGCTCGGCCGGGCCGACTGTCATAATCTGCGGGGGTGCTTGCCGCCCCGCGCGCGGCCCCCCTCCCCGCGTCGGTTAAGGGGAGGGGGAGAGTGATAAAAAGTAAATGGAAAAAAATGTCGCAACGGAACGAAAGAGACACGCGGACCGACGAAGGGGTTTGGTCACCGGCGCCCCGCCGCTGCGCTTGTAGCCGATGGGGCCCACACGCCCCCGCCGAGCGGACTCACGGTGAGAACTGTTGCATATGGGACGCGGCGAACCTACATCGGCGGCGTGGACCGCTCCCGCAGACTATGACAGGCGTTTCATCCCCGTCGTTAGTAATAGCAGGCCTCGGAGCCTATCGCGCGCCCAGCTAGCGCGTGAACCGCTCGAGCCCGGACTCCAGTGGCTTCAACCGCGATCCTACCTGTTGAGGATTCTTATATCGAAGCTAACCCGCCACTTTGCGAATTCACTATGTCGCTGCGCTGGCGTAGACGATTGGGGCGCGGCGATAGGCCCCGTCACCGTACCGACCTCCACTCAAACGTACTAACAACTAACGGTCGGTCGATACGGCCCCGTACACGCACGCGCCCCGGCCCCGGCCGTCCGATGCAGGTTCGCCGTCCGTTTGGCCCTTTGCACCCCACGGGGCGTCGCTAACAGCTGCCTCTCCGTCCGCAGAAACAGTCCGACCAGTCCGCCGAGGAGGAGAAGCGGCAGCCCACGCCGCCGCCCGACCAGTGGGCGGAGATCCTGGGCATACCGGGCGAGGGGGGCGCCGAGGGGGCGGCGGGGGCGGCGGCTGCCCCCTCGCGCTCGCCCAAGCGGCTGCGCTCCTCCAAGCGCGAGCCGGCTGCGCCGGCGGGCGGGGATAGCGCTTCGCCCCTCAAGTCACCGCCGAAGAAGCGCCGCCCGGAGCAGCCCGATGAGGCGCCGGCGCCGGAGCCCGGGGCGCCCCCCGCGAAGGCGGAGAAGCCCGAGAAGCCGGAGAAGAAGAGGCGCAAGAAGTCCGAGAAGGATTAGTGTTTGCTTTACGTGTTTTTCAAACACTGATCATGGGCGAAGCGCTGACGCGCCGCGGACGTTTGCGACGCGGTGGGGGGGGGGGGGGGGGGGGGGCAGGTCCTGGGGCTCTTTGGGCCTCGTCGGACATGCTCTGGGGTCGCGGAACGTTTGCAGTGCAACGCCGCGTTAATCCCTCCTCCCTCGCCTGTTATAAAGCGACATTATTGTGTGCGCCTGCAGTGGAAAACACGTTTTATCTTCGGGGCGGGGGTGGGATTGTTTGTTTTATTATTTTTAATATTATCGATATTGTCAATAAAAATCATATATGTTTTCTTTATTGATTGTGTCCGGTCGATCGAGTGGCGTAGTTTGAACGGGGTTCCGGGGGGAATGCCTTTAATCCAGCTAAGGTGTTGTATATAATCTGTACCCATAGTATTTTACACTCACAACATCTACAAGTTGTCTGTGCAAAAAGTTGCCTTTCGTATTTAATAGTAAAGTATTGAAGGTGAAAGTCACGCATAGAGTATTTTCGTACTTAAATTTTTTGAAGATATAAGAGTTATTATTAAACGATAAACTGCCGAAGGGAGAACTCTTGGTCGTTACAGAAAATAAGAGGCTAATTTGTGTATGTGTATAAAAGGGTCTATACGGTATATAAAGTATGCATATAAATGTACCGTCTACAGTTTATTATACTCTTTAGGTAAAACCTTAAATATACCCTCTATTAGGCTGTGGTCAAACTGCGCCACTCGATATCGGCCTCCTCCGTTCGTCTCTCACTCTGTAAATATTTCGTAATTGGAACTTTGTAAAAATGTGTATTTTGTACGATCCTGAAGGATCCGACTTGCAAAGGTGAAATTGTATTAAGAAATGTGTGTATAGGAATACGAGTGTAGTTTAGTATGTGCTTTCCTCGTTTGTTTAGTCCCACGCCGTCGGCGATCCGTTCGGTTATAAGGGGTCACTTGGAGGGGTGCAATCGGGGATAATTTGTAATAAATAGTGAGGTTGGGGGGATGATAAACATAGACGAACAAGATCTTTGTTACAATTAATCCTTAAATCTGTATTTTCTTAACGGGGATTTATTAATCTAGGCTAGTTTTATAAAAGCTTTTCCCAAAACTACCCATGTATAACACGGGGTATAGGTGATGTCCTTGAGGTACACCACCAATTGATGTATGAAGATGTATATAACATACACAATATGGCATTATTATCGGCAACCTATTGAGATAGTCAATGGTAGTAAAACGCCCCCCAACCCCACTTCAGCCCCCCTCCCCCCCTCACTGCTGACATTCAGGGACGCGCGGCGTTTATGTGTAAAAGGAACTACACTGTGTAAATAGGATAAAAGGTTTGTGTGCTCAAGCCACAAGAACGGTCTTCAATGGATTCGCACCCCGACACGCGATAGATTAGGTTTAAGTTTGTGCACGTCGTCGGGGCGTTGGGAGTTGGTCGTCTGTCCATACGTGGGAGCCTTTGTATTCGACGGATATCCGTCTGATTTCTACTACCCTCATTGCGAGAGTGTCTCGGGAATAGACGCACATTCGTATAGTCACTTAAGTTCCGAGTGTGTTCGCCCAGCTGTGGGACGCTTGCTTTTGTCAGCGGCGTTTTGCGCGTCTCTCTTAGAGTAAGGAAAATAATGACGCTTCCCGGTCTGTCGATAATGCCCACGCGTTTGACTCCACGACGAATCCCCAACACCCCGTATAAAATAGTATAAGTTTTATTAAGAAGTTGACATTGGATATTAATTTTTAACTATATAATTATTTTTACCGAGTACGGTTTACGTACTCTTCTTATATTATTAAATGTGTTATCGATGATGCAATTGTAAATAAAGTTTTACCGCGCGGACGCGAATCTACATTTGTGAATAAAACATGTTGTATTGAGGGGGCGTTGTTTTATTTCGGTAACCCCTCTCGTGTCTATGGTGTGTTGCCAATTCTGCTTTAACCATACGACAATAAATTCTTGTTTATGGTCGCATACTTTTCACTCGAGGCTCATTTCGACGTGATATCACAACGCCTTCACTATCTGTAGCGTGTCACTGACAAATGAAATATTGATATTTCAAGCTGTCATTATTCGACATATCTGAGTGTACAAGTCCCTATATCGCAAAAGTTTGCCTACAAAAAACACTTGTTATTTTTTTTTTAATTTATTTAAACTACGCACAAACTAGTACAGAAGCGGACTTAATGCCAACTGCTTTTCTACCAGTCAACCTTAGGGTGGTGTAGAAAAGTCGCTATGGTGACCTAACAGATCCTCTTCGCCGAAAATACCTTTGCCACAAATATTTCGCACATATCACATTAGATTTCCACCAAAAATAGATGTATAGCTAGCTGTACTTATCACAACCTTGAAGTTATCCCAACCCGATTTCTTGTGGAAACAGTTCTATCATGCTGGTCGGTAGTTGTCTCTGTCAGCGATCGCGGCGACATCTATCCACTAGTTTGGTATTGCGAATTAAAGACTGCATCCTGACTGACTGTCAATGTAACCCATATCATGTGTTCCCACTAGTTTATCTCTTTTCGGTTACCTTAGATCTCTCTGAGCGGGCAAACAGACTGTTCCCTGTCTGACTGCCCACCCTTTACCAAGGTCCCCTTCCACCCTTCAGTTTGGATGTATCCTTCGTGGTCGTTAACATTTGGTCATTACGTACGGAACTTATTGAACGTAAGAAACTACCGCAGGCAGGTGACTTATTTAGACCTACCCAGAGAAGAACCAGCAACAAAACTGGTCTTTATCTTCCCATTTTTTTTTTGATGACATTACAACTTTGTAAAGAAATTTGCAGCGGCCAGGGGACTCGATAGCAGAGAAAGTTTCGTTCCATACATCTTTTCCCCGATACATTCTTCGACACCAAAATAGGCCATTTCCAATACTTTTTGAATTTACAAATGCTAGCCGTGATAGCTCAGTGCTCGGACGCTCGCTGTTGATTCAATATCGAGCGACCCGAGTTCAATCCCCGGGTGCAGGCACCGATGAAATTGTCTACTTTAAGCCCTTAGCTATGACACGCTCAGCGGTAAAGTAAATCGTCGCAAGGAAACGTGCACATTCGAAAATAATAACGAAAAGAGAAATCTTCCGGAGATGTGTGCGGTCTCCGATACGTTGCGTACAGAGGGGGCTTTTGCCCAGCGGTGGGACCTTACAAAAGTTTCCCGTTGACCTCCAATACGCAGTGTACAGCGGGGGCCTTTGCTCGGCGGTGGGACCTTTCAAAAGTTTCCGTTGCGCGGCAGGCGGCGGCGGAGGGGGCGGGCGCGGAGGGCGAGCCGGGGGCGGAGGCGCCGGCGGCGGAGCCCCCCGAGGAGGGCAGCCCCGGCGCGGCGGCCCGCGAGAGGGAGCTGCGCGCGCAGGCCTCCATCAAGGAGCGCGAGAGGGAGGTGCAGAGGGCGCTCGCCACCAGCCTCAGGGACAGGGACAAGGAGCGCGAGTACCACAAGCGGGATGAGGCGGTGCAGGTGAGCGTGGGTGTATCGCGTTTTGCCCGACTGCCCCAGAACGAGGGTTATGTTTTTCGAGAGTATGTATGTATCACTACATAGTATAAAACAACGTCCCGCTGCCTGTCTGTCCCTATGTATGCTTAGATCTTTAAAACTACGCAACGGACCTTGATGACGTTTTTTTTTCCTAGATAGAGTGATTCAAGAGGAAGGTTTATATGTATAATACATTTCACCCATGCGAAGACGGGGCGGGTAGCTAGTGTATGTATAATTGCAGTTCTGCAGCCTGAACGGCTTGATTTTAGCTGGAGAGGTTTCGTTAGATTCGTATTTACTGTGAGTGACACTGGGTATATCAAGAAAATTGCACGCCTCATAATTTTTGTTTAATTTAAAATAATTGGCGTTCAGTTCTCTTTCTGTCATCACGGACGTCACGTGTTCTCATATATCAGTATCAAGTAGTTTGTTCATTTTCGGACAATACATTTGTTTAAAACTATATCAACTGTTCAATATCAAGTTTTCCTATATGGTCCTTCGAGCCGGATGAATCTAATATCTAACGTCGGGAATTTAAATTAAAATAAAAAACGCGAAAAAATCCGTTAAGTAGTTTCATCTAATATCTAGTTTCAATATTTGATTTTAAAACTATGCATTTTAATATCTAGACATATTTGCATAACAGTATGATTTAAAATTACTTAACAAATAAAAGTGATATAAGATCGGTTCAAAAATCTGATATTGTATATTGCCGTATCGCTGTACATCGAAAACATCAAAATTCATTTTAATACAGAGGCAGTAAACGGTTTTTAGATATTGTACCATTATAGTATAGTTTTCGTATCTATGTACGATTTTTATCGCCCACGGTGGGAGTTGTCTTGAATCGGTTTCTACTGGCGTCTAAACAGGTGTGAACCGAGATCCGAATCTAGACCAAATCCAACTTTTCTCTTGGCATTGGAGCCTACTATTTGTGGTTCATGCTAATACTAAAATAATTATATTAATATATTCATTAATTATAATTATATCTATAATAGAAATCTATAAACTTACGCCACATGGTATAAGTGTCGGGAATACAAGACTTGGTATGGTGAAGCTAAACCCCCCCCCCCCCTCGTGTTGCAGCACTTCAACGCCCTGCTGGCGGACCTGGTGCGGAACCCGGACCTGACCTGGCGCGAGGCCAAGAAGCAGCTGAAGAAGGACCACCGGTACAAACTGGCCGAGCTACTCACCAAAGACGACAAGGTATTTACTGTGCCAAGCCGCACCAAGCCTAAGTGAGGTTATATTAAAAACACAAGGAAAGAAATAAAAATGTATTTACGCATACAACAAAAAGCTAAATTTAACAAAAAGTTGAATTAAACATTTTAGTAAGACAGTAATCAATACATCAATTCAAATATAAAACAGCGGCCAAGTGCGGGTCTATCTGTTATAGGGGAGGCCAACTTGAATATATTTTCTTATTCTGATTTTTAGCATTTGTTGTCATAGCGGCCTCAGAAATACACCATCTGTGAAAGTTTTCACTGTCTTACTATCACGGTTCGTGAGATACAGCCTGGTGACAGACGGACAGACAGACAGCGGAGTCTTAGTAGCAGGGCCCCGTTTCACCCTTTCGGCACGGAACCCTAAAAAGGACAAAACGCAATTTACATCGACGAATCAGTTGAATAACTTGGTATTATAGGAAAAATGTCGAAAACTTGTTATCGATTGCCACGGTAAAACTGTGAAGTTTGTATCGCAAAACATCCATCGCCGAAAAGCCACCCTGGTCGTTTTCCTAAATGGTCCAAACTGTGAGTTCCGAAAGACCTCGCTTGTTTCGGCTAGCCGCCCATTAATGATAATAATAATAATCGTTTATTTGTCTAAATATACATACACTGCACAAAATATTTAAAGAGTAACATAAATAGAAAAAAAAAAAATAACAATTATTTAGACAAAATGGTCAAGGACTCAAAGTTGTAGCACGGAAGGTACACCAACTTTGATATTCTGTCCTAGCCAGACATAATTTACATAAAGAACACGCTTTATAATAGGTACTTACAAAAATATTGTACATTAACTATTTATATTAATATAACTATCCAATTAATAACTATTAACTATTATATTTAAAAGACTGGGTACTCGAAGCCAATAATTGCTGCATCAAAAGCCATTTTCGACATTTTATTTTGAAGACACTTAAGGTGTAGATGTTACGAAGCGGAGGGGCTCATTACGACGCAGAAAACTTAAAACTTTTTTGCACAAGAGTGTGTTTTTTGGTAGGGCTTTCAGCCTTGGATTGAACCGCGAGAAGTCTTTTGACCAGCTCAATTTATTATATAAATAAGCTGGTGCTTTGAATTTTAATAATGAATGCAGAAAGCAAGCCAGTCTCAAGCGTCTCCTGTTATCCATTTTTAACAAACCCCTCTGATTTATATATGGTAGCACATGGTGTCGTTTAGGTATCGAGCAACAATAACGCATGCAAGCATTCTGAACCCGTTGTATAGCTATTATAGTTTTTTTGGAATAGACAAGGACCATATACAATATCACAGTAGCACAAGTTTGATAAGACTAAAGTATTACATAACTGTAAACGTAATTTTTCATCAATGAAATTTCTAATTTTATAAAGTGATCGAAGTGATGCAAAACATATCCATTTTTATTCTTTCAATTAGTAATTTATTATTTCCATTAGTGGGAATGGACACGATTGGGTATTGAGTGTGGCCGTCGATGCAAATCAAATAGTATCAAATCATTTATTCATCGAAGTGAGAAATATACATTTCATCTATCGATGGTCATTTTCTAAATCTACCACCGTTTCTCAATGAGGTTCATCTAACGGAGAAGAAACGGGTGATAGAAATTCCGTATCTCTTCTTTTCTGTCATTTTATTTTTGAAGTTATACATACTTCTTTAGGCTAGTTATGAAATAATTATGACAGTGTAATTTTAGGATGTAACACAAAGGCTCACCTTTGAAACTGCCCGCTAAACCGCTTATTATAAATGGCAGTATATTCTCAATCGCCCGTTACACTGCTCAATAAAGAATGTAGATGGCGCTTTCATAATTTTATTGTTTTTATAATTCATATCCTTTTCCAGTCCTTTTAATATTTTACTGTAATTAATTATTTGCATTCAATTAAAAGCTATTCTTTGATGATGCCAAAGAAGTATAACTTCTCGCGCTGTACATTTTTTTTTAATGTGAAAATTTGGCAAACGAGCAGGCGGTTCACCTGATGTTAAGTGAATACCGCCGCCCGTGGACATCTGCCACACCCGAGGGTTACAGATGCGTTGATAGCCTTTCGAAATTGGGCTCCGGCCACCTCACTCACCAGACGAAACGCGAAAGTATTTCTCATACTTCCACGCCGGTCTCTTGTGAGGTCGTGGTACTTGGATGGAGCTGACCATTCGTGTAACAGTGAACAATGTTGCGTGGCCCTAGCACAGTGTCACATAACAAGTAACTTCGAAAAGTCCGAGCTTTTTAGCCCAGCGGTGGGACCGCGCAAGAGTGAGCGTTGAGCGCAGCTGTCGAATCATATCAAATCATTTATTATCGAAGTGAGAAACATACATTTCATCCATAAATGGTCATTTTCTAAAACTACCACCGTTTCGCAATAAGGTCTAACTGAAATGAAACTGGCGATAGAAAGTCTCTTCTTTTTTATATATCGTATATGATAGTATATATATATGTGTACGACCCGAATGGCGTAGTAGTTAGTGTACCTGCCTCCGGGCCAGAGGGTGTGGGTTCGATGCCCACTACTGGATCTTGGTGTTTCTCTAGTGTAATGGGTGTTTATATGTGTACAATATGTATTTATTTACAAAAGAAGAGTATGTTTAAGCGTGCTCATCAGTATACAGTAGTATAGTAGTTTGGGACTGGAGAGAAATGCTTTCTGAAAATATAGGATGTGGCATATGACAGTGTCTCATTTCGCCCCCAGGAGCGGCTGTTCGGCGGGCACACGGGGTCGCTGGCGGCGCGGCGGCGCGACAAGCTGCGCGCGCTGCTGGCCGAGATGGGCGTCTCGTGCACGGCGCGCTGGAAGGACGTGCGCGACCAGCTGCAGCAGCAGCCCGCCGCGCCCGCCTACGCCAGCGCGGCCCAGGTGCGCCCCACCACCGCCACCGCACCCGCCATTAGCGCCTCACCGCGCACGAAACCCGGCCGCGGCCACTGGCGCCGCGCTGGTGGTATCCACACCCCCCCCGCCGGCGCCCCGCAGACCAAACCGGGACACCCAAGTAGAGCCTCCTCCCCACTTAACCCGACACTTGCCACTAGTAACACGCGGGTGGTACTCAGCACCCCCTATTAGAGCCACGCAGATGCGACAATCCACTCCCACCACACCACCCACGGTAGCGCTTGCCTCCACAAAGAATCCAACGCCAACCAGGTTGGACCCTCCACCCCCAAAATATCAAATCCAACACCCCCTCCACTAGCGCCACTCGGGTGCTCCTCCCCACAGCATATCAAACCCCTCAAAGCAGGTGGTATCCATCACCCCCACAAAACCACTAAACTAAAATCACACCCCCTATCAATGCCCCTCAGATGCGGCTTTCCACCCCCACCACACCTAACCCACACCCCGTACTAGCGCGCCACAAATCGACAACTGCCACTTCTTTACGCAACTCCACTAGTCGGTCATGCCTCCCTTTGCTGTTTTTACATTGAAGTTCGTCCACGGACGTTTTTAACTAGATAGATAAGTGCCGAAGCCCCACAATCTCGTGGCTCCACTGCTCCAAACCCACACCCGTTCCCGTTCTTCTCCCAGGTCAAGTCTCAAGTGTCGGCACCAGTGTCCTAATCCCGAGGGTTAGGATCAAAAGACCCCAAACCGCACTAAGATTCCTCTTACGATTGGGTTACAATAAAACTCACGTATGTAAACAAACGAATAGCCATTTAACGGTTGCACCCGTTATGAGTGATGCGTGGAAGTTCACGAAGGTATTGATATATGGTGTATGCGTGAATCGGTAATTGTGGGGGTTACAGTTTTCAGACTGGTTATGTACCGGTTACCTCATTCGTCGGACGAAATGCAGAAGTCATTCCGCGTCAATTCCTAGTGTTGCTGCCCATCTTGAAAACTGCTGAAGCTGAGTAGAAACTAAAATTTATCGCGTACGTCATTTACCACTCATCCCGTCGAGTCGACGAAGGGCGGTAGTAGACAGCCAATGGATACACGATTGAGGATCGAACCCTGTCCCAGATGGAGCGCGAGTTCCGCGACTACCAGCGCGACAAGCAGACGGCCGCCAGGGCGGCGCTGCGCCAGCTGCTGATGGAGAGCCGCAGCATCACGCACCGCAGCCTGGCGGCCGTGCGCGAGAGCGGCGCCGCGCTGCAGGCGATACAGGACTCGCTGCAGCACGACGCCAGGTGGCTCGCACACTCTTACACTACCTCGCTCACTCACTCACTCACTCACTCGTTCATACGGTCATTCGTTCAAACTCCCATTCACTTGCGCGCTCACTCGCACGCTAATTTATCCGGTCATTCATTCACACTCCGATTCGCTTACACACACACTCGCAGTCACATTTCTCTAGTCATTCATTCACACCCATTCACTCACTCGTTCGTTCATACGGTCATTTTCGTTCAAACGCCCATTCACTTGTGACACGCTCATTTACCTGGTCATTCATTCACAATCCCATTTGCTTACACATTTACTCGCAAGCTCATTTCTCTTCATTCACACGTTTCATTCATTCACACCTTTCATTCATTCACACCTTTCATTCATTCTACATATATATTCATGTATATACACATTCAATCGAACACGCCCATTTATCTAGTAATCTTTATATGCTCCCAATCACTTACCATTCATGTAATTACACACTCACACGCTCATTTATCTCACACTCCCATTCACTCTCATTCACGTCTCTACTAACTTGCTCACCTGATGTTAACTGATTATCTCCGCTCTTAGACATCTTCAACACCATTGGGTTTGTTGGGGCTAATTCCTAACACCGGATATGATGTTATAAATGATAATAGATACTGATATGAAACACTTTATTACTAAATTGATACATATAAAATGATACTTATAATATGATATGATATTTATGATAGTTATGATATTTTGAGAATGCGTGATTTGCTTGATGACCGAACGTAAACTGATTGATTATCGCGGTATATTTTAATGCTTACAACGTATTGATGGACTTTAGGTAAAAAGTGCAAACAAAGCTGTTCGGTTCAATATTGAACCGAACAGGGTTAGCAAATGCATTGCCAACCTTTCAAAGAGCGGGCCCCGTTTGCCTCAGTCACCAGACGAACGCATAAGCATATAATCTTCTGTGGGGCCGCTGTAAAGCAGATGAAAACTGTTCCACACCTCGGGGAATCCACGGCATTGTTAAAAACATTATACCGTAGTGTTCATTAAACCATGCGCAGTGATCTCGCACCCCAACCACCAATGCCAGCCTGTGCGGTTACAACGACAAAGACACAAAATTAATATACATTTCTCTTTCACACATACTATTTTGCCAAATAGTTATTTTGTTTCGGTTTCAAAGAGAATGCAACTGTGATTCAGTCTATTACTTTCTCCGTACACGCGTCAATGTTCGATGACTCCGTGACGCAATTTGGCTAGATATTGGCTTCGGCGTCGGGGATCGTGGGTTCGATTCCCACACGGTACAACTATTTGTGTGACCCACAGATAGCTGTTTCGCATAGATAGTGTTTGTCCGCGTGAAATTAATGTTATTAAAACGTCGCAACGCAAGATATATAATGTTATCCCAAAGTAAGGGCTAATGCTTTAAAAAAAATTTAAAGAAATGTCAAAAAACAATCGTGTTTATAATATAATATTAAGGATTAAGAAGATTAAGGACGTAAAGAAAAAAATCGACTTTTATCCATACTTCCATACTAATATTATAAATGCGAAAGTAACTGACTGTCTGTCTCGCTTTCACGCCAAAACTACTGAACTGATTTGAATGAAATTTGGTACACAGATAGTCTAGAGCCTGAGAAAGGACATAGGCTATTTATTAATTCGAAAATTTTCAAAGAAAGATATTAATTTAAGGGCTTCAACGCCGGCGAACCTGCGGGCGAAAAAGCTAGTCTCTTATATGTTGATGGATTCGAGAAAGATTTTAATCAGGTCGATAGAACCCCACCTAACCCCCCCTCCCTGCGAAGGTACACCGCGCTGGAGCACGCGCCCGACGAGCGGCTGCAGTGCATCATGGCGTACCTCGAGGAGCTGCACAAGAAGGGCCCGCCTCCGCCGCCCACCGCCAGCGAGCCCTCGCGCCGCACCAAATAGGGCTTCGCCCCAAGCCCCACCCCCCACGACCCCCCAGTATAATACTGAAGCTGCCCTTCCTCCACCTGCCCTTCCTTACTCGGGAGCCTCCAAGAAAGCATTGTTTTTATTCAGCCCCGAACATCCAACACCCCCCTTCCCACCTGCCACTCCTTTCCCCCCTCCTCTTCCACCACCTACCCCTATATCGAAAGCAATACTGATCACCGAAGCGTCTCCCCTTCTCGCCCAGCGTTCATGCGCCTGGTTCATCGAAGAAAGGGGACGGTACCGGGGCACGGGGAACATTGTAGTGTTCGCTCCATTGCATTGCACAGTGTGTTTAATCATCCGTTCATCATAATGTCCGGTTTCACTGAATGGCACTGTGTATTTTATTTTCATCCCTTCATCCCAATGGCCGCGACAAGTCGACGCACGGCCGACGCCGTAAGGGCTGACGGCACAGGGCTGTGTGTGCGCGCGCGTGTGTGTGTGTAAATGCGTCGTGTGCGAGGAGAGATGTGTGCGTAGCTGTAAGGTAGTCAATTAGCGAGCGGTTCTGGGAATCCGGAGATGGTGACGTGAAGACTTGGGGCTGGGGTCGGGGCCAGTCGACCGCCTCCTGACTCCTCCACCAGCGGGCGGACAGTGGCTGATGCCCGTTTGAAACCCGATTTCGCCGCAAACAGACAGTCCCACGGGGTAAATGTAAAAATTAAACTAATACGACTCATATTGCAACGGACATTGTGCTCGTAAATAAGAAATGTGATTTAGAAACTTGTGTTTTTTTTATTTATTTTTATATCACCACGCACACACAACAACGAAACTGAATATATTTACGATCAAGATGGCGTTTGAAAAAGTTTTCACTTATACAAACCAGATCATGGGTGACATAAAATCTAAGTTGCCCACAAAAACATCAAACGCCGCTACAAATACAAATTTTAATATTGTAGATTTTATAATTAGTGTTGGAAATATATGTGACATTTACGTAAGATGACTTAAAAAATAAACGATGATGCCTGTTGCAAGTCTCATTAATAGTTCTTCATTATAAATATGATTATTATAAAAAAATTACGATACAGCCATTTTAAATCTGTGAATTAATTTGAATCTTATATTTTTTAATGTGACATGGCGGCAAGTGGGCTAGCGGTTCTTGATGCCAGCGATAACCCCCTACCGTGGACATTTGCAACAAACGTAGGGTTGCAGATGCGTTGCTGACTTAATAAAGTGGGCCCCGGCTACCTCACTCAGACGAAACGCAGACTTGTGACAGTTCCACTTACGCCGGTCTAGTGTGGTTGCGGTACTTACCCGGACGGACCTGCCCATTCGTGCAACATCCAAAGCTACGTGGCCCTACCGCAGTTATAATTATAGAGTACAATTCATTATAATTTCTGAAATAAAATAAAATAAAAATAAATATTTAGGACACATTTGTACACAACATTTTCTAGTCCCAAACTAAGCAAAGCTTGTACTATAGGTACTAGAAGACTGATAAACATACTTTTCTTTTGTAAATAAATACATATAGAAACACCCAGACACTAGAAGAACACCATGTTTATCACACAATATTTTTCCAGTAGTGGGGATCGAACCCACACCCTCCGGCGCAGGAGGCAGGTACACTACCCGCTACGCCATTCGGGTCGTCGGACGAAATGCAGACACTTTCTTCGGTGCCATAAAAGCATTCGATAAATCACTAATGCTTTTGTGGCACTGAAGCCTTTCATAACGGCTATCTCTACAAGCTGTTATCGCTCAAAATTCAAGACACTAGCTATTGATATGTCTGGTTTTTGCTCCTCGATGTATCGAAGCCGATATTACTTTTTTTTTTTAGCCCTCTGAAAACCAGCGCTGTAGTCTCGTATCGACTGCAGCATTAAGCTGAGTGTGGTCTGTTTGCCGTATACGCCACACACAATTGTGTGCGTAAAATGTGTAATGTATTTAATATTTTTTTATTCCTCTTTTTTTTTCTTTTTAGTATGTATTTTTTGTTTATGGTTTAAATGTACATGTGGCGTATTTGAGCAATAAATGTTTTCTTTTCTTTCTTCCTTTCTATATTGATATTTTAAATATAAATTAAATAATTTGATTAGCCCATGAGTTCTGGGTTCAACAGTCAACGGATTTGAAGCAGAAACAAATTATCGGTCTAAATAATGTCTTAATTTTGAATAGCAAAGAGTTTGAGAAAAGTCGCAACGATACGATAGAACGGTTTTTCTAGTAAGACAATTGCACCTGAATCGCGTAGGTATTGATACTAAAAAGTATCAGCCTATACAAGTCCCACTGCTGGGCAAAGGCCTCCGTACAGACTGGTATCAGGGCAAAATCCACCACGCGGCCCCACTGCGGATTGGCGGACTTCACATATCTTCGAAATATATTTTTTTTGTTATTGTTTCGAAAATATGCAGGTTTCCTCACGATGTTTTCCTTCACCGTGGAGCACGTGATAAGTCAGCACTTAAAATTAACCATTTCATTGGTGCCGGCACCGGGGATCGAACTCAGGTTGCTCAAATATATTGAGCGCTCGGACTCTGAGCTATCACGGCTACTCTATATATAATATAATTCTTCTATGCGTGTGTGGCATACACACGCACAGAAGAATTATATTACTGAGAAGCTGGACAGATTTTGATGAAATTATTTATGTGGTCCGTCCACTTGCATTCGAGAATGGTTTAGATTCCTGTTCCACTAAAAATATTTTTTAAACATTTTTTAATTTATAAGCTGTACAGAACAACGTCTGTCGCGTCCGCTAGTAAACATAAAATTGCACCCGTGTGTTTTCCATGAACAGTTACATGCTCATATTTAGTAAATAATATTTATATTAGTACTACATGTGGACAAGCGAACAATAAAAGATATTTATAAAAATTTATCATAAATTTTATTAGTGTCACATTCAGTAATATGGCAACATTATTATTACGCTAAAAATACACTTTTGGCAGAACGCTCTTTGTTAACTTTTTCAGTTTTCGTTCCAATTGTCGATTACGTTCCAGCCCAGAGCATTAAATAAAAAAAAGGCTATATCATACGCTTGTAAACTTTAAAGTGTCACAGATAATGTAGTATGTAAACTATTCATCAAAGCTGTACCACACGAACTTATCTTGGAGCGCTGGCAGCTCCCAGACTCGAACGGTGTTGCCTGCGTAGCCGGCTGCGATTTTAATGGCCCTAAAATCGGGGAATATATTCATATATTACCTTACCAATAAAAGAAGTCTTAATTGACCGTTTCTAGTCATCTATAATGTATGGTCAAACCGCGGACTTAATCAGTGTCTGCCTCCATCCTAAGATGATTATTATATATATGTATAAATAGACATATATAGAAAAAAAAAACATTGCTGGCATTAACACCAGTAAAAGTAGTCAAGTTACAGCCTATATAACTCATTGGTGTGCAAAGACGTCTATACAGGAGGTATTAGGGCGTAGTCCAACACGCGAAATATTTTTTTTGTTTTATTTCCAAAAATGTGCACGTTTCCTCACGACGTTTTTCTTCAACCTGTGCAAGTGATAAGCAGCACTTAAAATTAACAATTTCGTTGGTGCCAGCGGGGACATAACGCAAGGTTTAACAAAATACATCAAGTGTGCATTTGCACCGCACTAAGCAAGCCTGTCTTGACAAGCACTCACTAAACACTCTCTTAACATTTATTGATTGTCAAGACGCTACCACCGGATCGGAGGGAAACGTCACTGACCTGAGAAGAACCGGCGGAAGAAACTCAGCGGGACTTTTTTTACTATTAAAAAAGACATGTTTATAAATGTATTCAAGTCGACTTGAAAGAGCCTGTAGACTATATGTATACAGACTAATGATACGAGTGTACAGACTAAATTCACTCTGCTTCGGTATGGTCTCGATAAATTTCCAAAACAGAAACTGCCGTCAGTACAGCACTGAGATATGAAACTGCTCACCCGCTCTGACAGACGTCCACGCAGGTCACGCTGGTGTCACCCGACATTCCCTCCACCGGCACTCGCTTCCCGGTGGAGACGTTGTACACCCTCAGGGTCTCTTTCTCGGACCCCGTTAAGCCTATTACGACGCAGGGGCCGTTCCCGAGCCACGACATGCAGCTGACTTCCGCGTCCAGGCAGAAGATCTGACAAGGAACTTAATTAGGCAGAAGATCCAGTGGCGTAGTGAGGGGGGGGGGGGGGGGGGGGGGCATCATGCCCCGGGCGCTTCTCACAAAAGGGCGCCAAATGGTGCGCAAAACAAAAATTGCTGCATAATTTTTAATTTTATTATTATTGATTTCTGGAAAATATTTTAAATTTAGTGCCACTATAATATAATAAACGTTAATTCTTAAATTAAAAGGAACAGTAATAATCTAAATTATTAAACTATAATAGTATATTCATAATAGAATTGGCAACTTCGACGTAAAGGTCAATCGCTGAATCCAAGCAGCGTTCGGGAAACTTCGGCAAATCTTCTCGTCGAATATACCTCAATGTTTGAAGACTAAAGTCTTCAACCAATGTGTGTTGCCAGTGATGACAAACGGAACTGAGACGTGATCCTTCACTGCTGGCCGTATGAGGAAGCTCAAAGTCGCTTAGCGGGCTATGGACCGGGCTATGCTCGGAATTTCTCTGCGTGATAGAGTTTGCAACGAAGAGCTCCGCAGTTGAACAAAAGTAACCGACATAGATCAGAGGGTTAACAAGCTGAAGTGGCGATGGGCCGGCCGTATAGCTCGTAGAACCGATGACCGCTGGGCAAAAAAGGTTCTCGAACTGGCCATCGTAGTGTGGGGGTCACCCCCACTAGATGGATTGACGACCTGTGCAAATGTGCAGGAACTCGATGGATGCAGGTGGCTCGGGATCGTGCTTGATGGCAGTCTGTGGGGGAGGGGACTCAAACAGGTTGAAATGATGATGATGATTAGAATTGGCACATCTTTTCTACTGGCAGGGTTGACTCGACCTGTGGCTGTCAGCACTTCCTTATGGCATCTACGCTTTTTGTTTACACAAATTATCTTCTTTAAAATTTAAATTTAGTAACTTGTCTTTGTCTGTGCATGAAAAATATTTGAGAAAAACTATTATTCCCCCTTCATCAACGCAATAAAACCCAAAACAATGGTTGTAAAAATTGATGTCTGTCTGTGTGTATGTGCGTGTTAATCTCAGAAACCGTCAACTGCAACTTATGTTTTTGAGACTAGAGATAAGAACGCTTCAGTGAGGCATTTATTTCTTCGCCTTAGTCCCCTGAGTAATGAGAGGAAAGGTTTCGAAACTCTCCAGAGAAAACAACTGTGACGTTCCCCATTGGCCTTTCATCTCGGTGTATATACTGTAGTGTTCTGTCAACGGCCTCTACGGATGCTCAATCAAAATTAACTCTCAGTTTACTTTTTTACTTTACTTTAATGTCTATAACCTATGACTGACTCCAATGTGCGAGAGAATGAATGGCGTCTATGGCGAAATGAGTATCAGCACTAAGTCGTGTTTGGTTTTCATTAGATTGTTGAGATCAAATCGTTCTCATTCTTTTTAATTCTATCGAGGCATTTTTCTAATAAATACTAAAAGGTAAATTCAATGATTTAGAAAATACTACAAAATAAGTATCTTAATTACAAAAAAATATCAGATACAACTTGTTAGTTAGTTACAAAAAACAAAAATATTTTTCAAAACCACAAAGCAAAATTAGTAATATCCGAATATCCTAATCTAGCCTAACCAAATCTATATTCCTAAACAGTGATTTGTCCGTTGGTTGCCTTAGGCTCGTTAAAGATTAAGAGAAGACTCGCTGGAAGGCACAAAAAATGTTGAAACAATGATGAAAGATATTATGGAGCTGACGAATGGTACCTACTTATCAGGCCCGCTTGATTTGTTATAATTTTCATGGAATATCGCCTATGCTAAGAACCGAGAGGCGAAAGGCAAGCAACGCTACTAAAAAACCCCACTAATTTGCAGCCCCCTATGGCCCGCCGAGTACGCGGCCTATAGAGAAATCCACTACAGTTCCTAACAACTAACCAAATCGCAAAACAAAATCAAGAATATCCCTATACCGAGCAAAACTAAAATTCTACCTATCGTATAAATCTCAATTGAAGAAATTCGCATTATTATTATTAAAATGCAAATGGTCGGCGATTGTCCCTTAATTAACTTCTGAAAATATGTATACAGCTCATTTAATGAATTTAACAACGCCATCTAGTTTTTTCACGGGAACTAATTCCTTATCTTATCGTAACTTACCTTTGCTGGACTGTAATTCTATCAATTGAAGAATTTGTTAATAAATAATAAAAAAAAGTTTGATTTTTTTTATTATGAAACTGAAAATTCACGTTACCGTGGTTAAAATTTTATCACTGATAGTACATTTTGAATGGAAGGTAATTTTTTGTATGGGGAGCTACTATGTCATTTAAAAAAAAAAAAAACTGTTCCATTTGATCCAGCAGCTGATAACGTATATATTCTGTTTAAGTAAATTGATTACGATCAAATGAATCTTAAATATTGCGAGGAAGTTGTGCTGACGCGCTGTCAAAAACCCCGTAAAAACGATCCTGTGTTTTGTGAGTATTCACAAAACTCTTTTTTGAGAGAACCAATTGCAATAAAACAAAGCTTTAACGTTGCACAGAATTAATCTTGAATACATTCAAAAACACCATACAAATTAGTCAAGTAGTTGGATAACTGTGATAACTGTTTGCGATTGCACTGCTTTAATCTTAGAACTCCCATATCTCCCGTTTGAGTGAACGATTGACATGAAACAAAGCCTATATTTTGCCCAAAGCTTTTCTTAAGTAACCAGTGATAATTGCATCAAAATCCGATTAGAAGTTTCCGAGTTTATCGTGCACAGACAGACAGACAAAAATTCCAAAAATAGTTTTAATGTTTCCTATAACTCTTTTTAGGATACCCTATTGCATTTTTTCATAAATATCTTCAATGTACAGACACGCCGATTCTACTCTTTTATTATAGTAAATAGAAGTAAATAGATAAATATGGTTTTACAATGGGGGGGCGCTAGAAAGGTATTGTGGCCCCGGGCGCGACTTAAGCTCACTACGCCACTGAGAAGATCTGACATCGAACTTAATTAGGCAGAAGATCTGACATTGAATTGAATTAGATCTCTAATTAATTTCTCTTGTTATCTCTCTAATTTAGAGATAAGATCTGACACTGAAATTAATTAGGCAGAAGATCTGACATTGAACTTAATTAGAGAGAAGATCTGACATTGAACGTAATTAGGCAGAAGATCTGACATTGAACGGTAGCGTTACGGAAATATTTGTTTTAATTGAAGACCGAATATTCGAGGGTACGGTGGCCAGTTCGACGTCCTGCAGCCTGACATTCCGCAGTGCTGCGGATTCGAATCGCAAACCGGTCAAGAGTTCAAGTGCATTAAATTGGCATAAAAACAATTCACCGGAGCCGGTCAACGTACTACGTCATTTTTATATGTTTTATAATGCTTATCTAACTCTGCACTTCAAGATTTAACATTTAAATTTTTAAAAAGCAATGGCGACATCATCCGTTCGAATTGTCGTTGTAAAACGATATTCGAAACTGTTTGTATGCTGGAAAGAATACAGCAACGGATGAGCCAAGCATTGCTCCAAATGCTAAACAATGTAGATAAAAGACGTTAAGATTTTCGTCGGTGTGGCAATCAGCCTTTTAGCTTAACGGCTAAAGCGTCAGGTCGCGAATGCCGACGACGCGGGTTCGATTCCCGCGGCGGCGACAAACTTTTCCTAATTTTTTTTACAAACTCTAATCCTACAACATGTTCAAGGAACAACAAACAGCCCTCACCCGCAACGCGCCGGGCCGCCCCGCGCGGTGCACCCTCAGCTCCGAGTCTATTGATAAGGAGACGAATAGACCGGGCCTCGGGCCGAACGCCACGTCCAGCACGCACGTGCTGTGCCCCTCCAGACGCTCCACCAGCGGATCCACATCCTCGAGCTGGTCCCCGACCCCGCAGAGCAGCAGCCCCCCGCACTTGGCGCCCACCACGAACACATCGGGTGCGCGATCGCCGACCGACCTTGGGAACCCAAACGTTTGTTCTATTTCTTTTAGGGCACATTTTTACACAACGTTCTATAGTCTTGAACGCTTGAGCTATGGGTACCAGATAACCGATAAAAATACTTTTAATTTGCTTTATTCAATTGTTGCGAGGATGTTTCACGAACATAAATTTTGTACCTAATAGAGGGGGTCGACACTTAAATCGTAGAAAAAAAAACTGAATCGAATAAACATCTATTTTATTTATATATTTAGATTTCGCGGACAAACACCCAGATGCGAAACAAGTATTTGTGGGTCACACAAATAGCTGTCCCGTGTGGGAATCGAACCCACCTTACCTCGATACCTTGGCAACTGCGCCACGGAGTCATCACTTATAAACATACTTTTCTTTTGTAAATAAATATAATATGTAAACTCTTGCACTTAACTGTAGTAGGGCCCAGCAACAATGTTCACTGTTGCACGAATGGGCACGTCGGTCCGGATAAGTACCACTACAGAAAACCAGCGTGAAGTAGAGCGTTACGTTATGTTCTGCGTTTCGTGTGGTGAGTGAGGTAGCCGGGGCCCACTTTATTTAAAGGTGGCAACGCAGTGCATTTGCAACTCTACGGGTATTGCAAATGTCTATGTGCGCCGGTTATACAGCGTGTCGTTAGCATCGCGACAATAAATGAACACACATCTAACGCTACTTGCCAATAATCATAAAAAAAATATTAACGTTAAACAAAATCTATAATTAAAAAAAAATATTTTTCAAAAAAACTACTTAAGTAAAAAAGAAACAAAATTTGTAACACCTATACAACTCGCGCCACAGCGTCTCATTACAAGCCACTCCTTCTAACAGTATGTTTTGTCTCTTTTAAATTCATTAAACCCATTCATATGCTTTGTGACCTTTACAAATGAACTTTACGTTACGCTTTTATTTTTTTATAGTGGTTCTAAAATTCTTTGTTTTGGAAAATTTAATAACTCTGTAAATATCGATGTTTAAAGAATTTAAATGTTTATTACAACTTTATAAAGTTATCCCCTATATGTGTGTTCATTTATTGTCGCGATGGTAACGACACGATGTATAGGTTATAGTGGACACAAGAAAAACAGTGAGTTCATTACACAAAATTTTTCCAGTAGTGAGGATCGAAACCACACCCTCTGGCGCAGGAGGCAGGTACTCTACCCACTACGCCATTCATCACGTTGTTATAAGAAAAAAGACATTGAATATTAAATGAAATTACCACGGATAAAATCCGTATTAGTTTAATTACAATATTCGCGTAAAATAAAGAAATTTTAAGGTGGTAGGGCCACGCGGCAGCCTCGGCTGTTGCACGAATGGGCAGGCTCGTCCGGTTAAGTACCGCGACCTCGCAGAAGACCAGAGTAAAGTGGGAGTATGACAAATACTTTCGCGTTTCGTCTGGTGAGTGAGGTGGCCGGAGCCCAATTTTCAAAAGCTTGTCAACGCATCTGTAACCCTCGGGTGTAGCAGAGATCCATGGGCGGCGGTATTCACTTAACATCAGGTGAATCGTCTGCCCGTTTGACAACTTTTCAAAAAACAAAAAAGTCAATAAGAGACTACGCCACCTCAATGGGTGGCTCCTCGGAATGTCGAAGCACGTGATGTCTGGCCTGGCCTTCAGACTTGCATCCAGCTCGTAGCGAACCAGTTTCTCGAATGTTCTCAGATCGATGTTCACCCGCCAAACGGTTAGGGCGCCGTCGCTACTTGCCGAGAAGAGGACCTGATAGAAATGAAGTTAAAATCGCCAACCTAAATAAATAATAATAATAATAATAATAATAATAATAATAATGTATTTATTTGCGAAATATAGGTTAGGCATGAGGTGTACAACACAGTAATTTTTATCGCTATATTCTACCCATTTTGTAGGGTGTGCAAATATGATATGTTCGCTTAAAGGTTGTCAGTATACATTCTCAAATTTCTTAATTATTATAATCATAAAATAAAATTGAAAAAATTATATAACAGAATATTAAAATAATATTAAAACATATGTCTATGAAAAAAGTAAGTTAACAAACAGTAATAATAGAACAGAGAACAAAATGACTAATAATTAAATGACTAAAAAAATATAAAAAATTCGATAAAATTGCACATTATTAATTCACTGAATACGTTTAGATTATTAATTTGATATAAATTCGTTTATACTGTAATAACATTTTTCTGTTAACATGTCGCGTAGTTTTTTCTTAAATAGATTTGTGTTTAATTCCTTCATTTCTTTCGGGAGCCTATTATATATTTTTGGTGCCATGCAGAGTATACTCTTGCTCATAAATTTAGTATTAGTTTTAGGTAAACAAAGTTTGTGTAAGTCACGTCTGCTTCGCTCATGGTTGGGCTTGGAGAAAAGAGACAAGTTATTTTTTACAAACATCGCACTCTCAAATATGTATAACGACGGCATGGTTAATATTTTATATTTTATAAAAGAAGATTTACAGCTTTCTCTCGTTTTTAATTTACACATCGCTCTAACGCATTTTTTTTGTGACCTGAATATATTTTCTTTCTTGCTGCAATTTCCCCAGAATATGATTCCATATCTAAGATGCGATTCTACATAGGCATAATATACAGTTAACAGTGATTCAATGTTTAAGGTGCTAGACAATTTCCATAGAATATATGCCGCTTTACTTATTTTGTTACACACTATGTCCGATTGATAAGTCCATGTTAATCTAGTGTCGATTGTCAAGCCTAAAAACTTTGTGTAGTCAACTTTTTCAATTTTGTTTCCTCTGTGTATTACTTTTAAATTTAAATCATTTGCACATCTTTGATAGAACTTTATAAATTTAGTTTTTATCCAAATTAACTTGTAAATTATTTTTTTGCAATTCCTCAATTATTTGTGTTAGTGTTAAATTTAATTCGTCTTCTAGATCATGTTTAACACTTTTAATGATAGCTGTGCTATCATCGGCAAATAAAACCATGGGGTGTGAAACACATTTAGGTAAGTCATTTATGTAAATAAGAAATAACAATGGTCCTAACACACTTCCCTGTGGAACGCCATACCGCACATATCGAGAATTAGATGTGTAAATTTTTTCTTCTCTCATTTTTATGTCGATTCGAGTTATTTGTGTTACTTGTTGTCTATTGGTCAGGTATGTCCGAATCAGATTTAAAATATTACCTCTTATTCCGTAATATTCAACTTTATGCAATAATATTTGGTGGTCTACATAGTCAAAAGCTTTACTCATGTCTAAAAACAGAGCGCAGATATCTATTTTATTATCAATGTTTTTGATTATTAAATTTAATAAATCATATATTGCTCTATTAATTGATTTATTTTTCCTGAATCCCTTCTGTTCATCCACTAATAGATTAAATTTTTCGAGATAATTACTCAGGTATTTATGCATAATCTTTTCAAAAAATCTTCGATATAACTGGTGTAAGGGCAATGGGTCTATAGCTGCTTATATCATCTTTCGAACCCTTTTTTTTATAAAGTGGTTTAATAACAGTTGTTTTAAGACCCTCTGGGTAAACACCAACTTGTACACATAAGTTAAATATGTAACTTAAATGTGGAGAAACACTCTTGTTGACTAACTTAATGACACGTGTAGAAAGTTCATCGTATCCAACGCTATTTGTGTTTTTTAGTGACTTTATAGCATTTGAAACATCTAGAGAAATGATTGGTGGCATAAAAAATGAATGCGCAGATGCTTCTAATGTGATATATTTTTATTATTTCTTAAAACTTGAGATGCCAATACTTGGTCAGTATAATAATTATTAAATACATCGGCAATGTCTTTCGGATTATTGATGATAGCATTATCATCACCAAAGTTTATTTTTTCAATGTATTCTTGAGGGTGATAACTCTTATTTCCATTAATAATTTGCCAAATAGTTTTACATTTGTTATTTGATAATTTAATTCTATAATTATTTCTAGCTTTTTGTGTAAGCTTAATAACCTTTTTAAGTCTATGAGTGTATGTTTTTAGAAGCAGTCTTGTTTGCTCATTGGGATTTAGCCTGTATCTCCATAGCATTTTTCTCTGTGTTTTAGAACATAACTTGATGCTTTTAGTCAGCCATTTAACCCGTTTATTTAATTGGATAGTAATTGTGTTAATGGGAAAACACAAATCATAAATTAATTTAAAAGTTTCTATAAATTTATTGTAGGCATCATTAGGTTCATTTGCTGTATACAACTCAGAAAATGTAAGTGATTCAATGTATGATTTAAATTTATTCATATTTTCCTTGCTATAATCTCGACGTCTTATTTTCCATGTGTCAATAATGAATTTTTTTGCAACAGGATATTTACACAGCTGTGCAGTGTGGTCCGATAAGCCTAAATTATAAACTTCTCCTTTACAAGCAATAGGTGCATTATAAGCAAAATTGTCTAAACATGTGTTACTTTTCAATCTTGTTGGTTCCTTTAATAATAAATGAAGATTAAAATTTAATAAGAAATTACTGAACTCTAATGCCAGGTTATTTCTTTTCAGTATATCAATATTAAAATCACCACATAAAATAATTTTTTGTTTATTTTTATTCAATTTGCGTAAAATAATATCAAGTTTTTCGTAAAATACTGAGATATTACTTAATTTGGGAACTCTGTACAGACATATAATTATAGTTGAATAATTTATGAGTTCAATAGCACAGCATTCTATGACTTCTGGCACGCAATAGTTTGATATATATTGTAAGTTTTTGAAGGATATACCTTTCCTTACAAGTATACAACTACCACCCCTTTTGATGTTTCGTGTATAGATAGCTGCCAGAGTGTAGTTTGGTAGTGTTAAAAATTCATTATTACCGGATGATATAAAGTGTTCAGTTATGCATACAATATCAACGTGCTGTTTTATTTTAACAGATATATCCTCTAAGTGTAAAGTTAACAAATCACTTTTATTTAAGAGACCGGCAATATTTTGGTGCAGTATGTATAAAAATCTATTGGAGAAAAAAATTTTCACTATTAATATCTATATTTTTTACACTTTGTTTGTTGGTCGGTATTGTATTAGTACTATTAATAATTATGTTGCCATTATTATCATCTTTTGAATTATAAAATATTATCTCGTTAATTTTATCACGTAAGTTACAGAAAATTGTCCTAAGTCCTAAGTTATTTAAGTATCCAGACTTTCTATTAAACATCTTCTCGTCGTATGTGAGGTTACGGTTGGAATCAAGTATATACGCATATTCATATGCTTCACAGTCTAAATATAATAAATTATTAAAAGTCTCTATTCTCCAATTGTACAGGTTTTTAAGCGGTCCACATTTATACGTCGGCAGACATATTATTATATTTGTGTTATGCAAATTGACACATTTGTTTCTAATATAAGACACTAATCTATAATTGTTATTTGTTGTTCGGAAATCTGCTTCTCCAATCATTATTACACAGTAGTCATTTTTCGTAAAACGTTTTAATTTATTCTCCAAACTAGAAAATATTTGACGTATGCCTGTGTTTGTTGACAAGTAGTGGCATACATTATATTCATCATCAAATTCATTTACTGCAGTTTGCGTAATATTATTTTTGTTATTACTGCTTAAAATGTACAGTTTATTTTTTTCTTTGGGTTTTGGCTCCACGTTAAGATTTATCTCGTGTTTTTCTGTATTCACCATAGGCACCTTTTTAATGACGGCTTCAGAGGAATTGATATCGCTTGCTGATAATTTTTTATTTGCGCGTGTACTTAATGGTGTGGACATTGATTTTATTTTCTTATTTCTTGGTGTTAAAGAGACATTGTTTGTGAGACTAGATGTGACTTTTTTGAAAATTTCTTGTTTTTTTGTTAGATCGGCGATAATTTTTTTCAAATCGGTATTTTCTGAGTTCAAATTTTTTACTTCTTCATGTGCTATTTGCAATTCTAATTTAAGGTGTTCTATTTGTTTTTTAAGAGTTTCGTTTTCATTATTCTCGCAGTCCGAAATGTTTGGTAAACTGTTAGTGCTGCCATCTAACGTGTTTATAGTTGTGTTTGCGGCATCTATTGTAGTATCAGTGTCAGATTGTGCTCGTTTACGGCGAAATGTAATGCTATCGAAGAAACTCATTTTATTTATTTATTTTTTTTTTTTAGTATTAGTAAAACTAGTTCTGATAATGGATGAATAAATGTTTCCGAGTAAAATATATTTGAAAAAAGTAGCCCTTTGCGTGGGTCCGAACCGTGGTAAGTGCTTTCGGAGGACCACATACGAACGACCGAGCTATTTATCACATTGACGAAGCGTCTTAAATTTTGAACTGTTATATACTGTTTTAAAATTAAGTGATTGTTACAAGTCAGTTCTATTAAATAATTTTACAGTTACCCACACATCACTTATTTAAATTACTATTTTTTTTTAAACAAAAAAGATATTTATATATGCTTTTACTGTACAAAACCAATAAAAAAGTGAAACTTAATGAAAATGTGACTTAGCTTGCACTACACTACGTTGCATTTTTAGACTGCATGTATATAGTTTGTAACTGATTTTAGCACTCTCAAATTTTGTCCCGTAACTTGATTCGTCAGCACTTCACTTTTGTTAAACAGTCACTCGTAATATTTACACAATAAAAATTAAACTTAACTTATAATTTTATGATTTCAAGTGTTAACTTTATTTTTAATGATTTTATTTCACGGGAGATAGCGGACAAGATGTTTGCCTTGTGACGCCCTCTGGCGAACTCCTAAAACAGAACTAAATAAACATTTAGGTCACATTCTTAGGGTTCCGTCCGGCAAAACGGGACCCAATTACTAAGACTCCGCTGTCTGTCTGTCACCAGGCTGTGTCTCATGTACCGTGATAGTTGGACAGTTAAATAACACAAAATACTAAAAAACAAAATAAAAAAATGTTTAAGTGGGCCTCCCATATAACAGACATGACTTTTGGGCCGTTAGGTAGTACGGAATCCTTCGTGGGCGAGTCCGACTCACACTTGGCCGGTTTTTACACAACGTTCTCTAGTCCTAAACAAAACTTGTACTACGGGTACTAGATAACTGATAAACTTACTTAAACATACTCTTCTTTTGTAAATTAATACGTAGGTACATGGTAGTGTGTGTAATTTTTTTTTATTGATTTGATGTTTTAAAACATGTAGAAAGAGTACGAAAAGAGTCGCCGCTGTGGGAATCGAACCCACGTCTTCGGTATTCGCGGCCTGTCGCTCTAGCCACTGAGCTAAACGGCTGATAGCCACAGCGACGAAAATCTTAACGCCTTCTTTCTACATTGTTATTTAGCATTTGAAGCAATGCTTGGCGCATCTATTGTTATATCCTTTCCAGCATACAAACAATTTCGAATATCGTTTTACAACGATAATTCAAACGAGAGATGTCGCCATTGCTTTTTTTTTAAATTTAAATTGTTTATAGTGCTAATATTTGCACTTAAGATTGAACATTAAAATATGTAGAAAAAGTGCAAAAAGATTGTCGCCGCTGTGGGAATTGAACCCACGTCTTCGGCATTCGCGGCCTGACGCTCTAGCCACTGAGCTAAACGGCTGTTAGCCACAGTGACGAAAATCTTAACGCCTTCTTTCTTAATCTTCGACAATCTTTTCGTACTTTTTCTACATGTTTTAATGTTCAATCTTAAGTGCAGAGATTAGCACTATAAAAACTTTAAAAGATTTGATGTTTTCTTTATTGCTAATTTTCATAAAGCGAACTACTTTAATACTAGGGACCCGCCGCGGCTTCGAACGGGTGTAATGTATTATACATATAAACCTTCTTCTTGAATCACTCTGTCTAGTAAAAAAAACCGCATCAAGATCCGTTGCGTACTTTTAAAGATCTAACCATACATACGGACAAACAGACAGCGGGACTTTTTTTTTTTTGTAATATGTTCTGACAAGTGTGGGAAATTTCATACTCGTCCAATCAAGTGCAGAAATATTAATTTTACGATTCCCAAAAATTTATATTCTTATAAACAGTTCTCTCTAACGCCCGGTCGCTGGTCGATGGTTAAACTCTCTGAATTGACGAAATGATCAATTCAAAGAGTTTAACCATCCTATTGGCAACTCAAATGGAATTTGAAAAGCCGTTTGACAGCTGATCAGTTGACCTCTACGACTATCATTATTTCGGAAACCGGGCGTAAAGGTGATAAAATAACGCTAAAACTAAGCTCGCCCGACCTGGTCTGAAGCGCAGCGGCGTACTCCCCTGGCGCGCACCAGCATGGTGAGGTACACGTTCGCCAGGTGGGCGTCCGCCCAGCGGAGGGCGGAGACCCTGGCGGAGCCCCCCGCGGGCGCGGTCAGCGCTTCGCCGGAGCCCTGGCGAGCGACCAGCTCACCAGAAGCGGTGCCGTACGCGAGCAGAGTAGCCACGGTGGGGTGGTAGCGTATAGCGGTGACGCACTCCCGCTCCTCAAAATACGTAAAATATGTAATAGCTACATCTTTTTTTTTATACGAAAAGTTGCCAAGCGAGCAGGTGGTTCATCTGATGTTGAGTACAACCGCCGCCGATGGACATCTGCTGCACCCGACGGTTTGCAGATGCGTTGACAACCATTTGGAAATTGGGCTCCGGCCACCTCACTCACCAGACCAAACGCGAAAGTATTATACTTCCACTTTACGCCGGTCTTCTGTGAGGTCGTGGTACTTACCCGGACGAGCCTGTGCGTGGCCCTACCACCGTTATCTTTAGATAGCGATACTTGCGAACCGCCCCGGCGTCGCACGGTCACACAAATCATCTTCAGCCAGGGGACTTGCTAGTGCAGGGCAAGAGTCATTTCCACACATTCTTGTCCTCAATGTATTTTTTGACATTACAATAGGTGTTTTAAATACGGTTAAGTAAGTAAACAGCCTGTAAACGTCCCACTGCTGGGCAAAGGCTTCCTCTGTACAGATGGTGGTACGGCATAGTCCACCGACCCCACTGCGGATTGGCGAACTTCACATACCTTCCAAGTTGTTTTTTGCTATTATTCCGAAAATATAGAGGTTTCCCTCACCGCCGAGCGTGTAAGTCAGCACTTGAAACTGACAACCTCATCGGTGCCGGCACCGGGTTCGAGCTCGGGTCGCTCGAGTACATTGAATTTTCTCTGAGGCTACCTCACCCACCAGACAAAACGCATAAGACACATCCACACTTGCACGTACGTTTGCCCGCCACGGGAACCACAACCCGTCTCACCTCGACGTCCGTCGCCTGGGGCCCACCGCGGCGCCTCAGCGAGTACAGCCGCACCAGCCCTGGGCGCTCGCACCAGCTCTCGTGCTGCCCCGCGCCGACAGCCACGGCCAGGCCGCCGGCGCAGCTCCAGCTGACGCCCAGCGCCGCCGCGTGGTGGTCGCCGCAGCCGGAGTCGCGCCCCACGCCCAGTTCGTGCAATAGCACCGCGCGCGAAACCTCCTCCTCCGAGTCGGACGAGAACGCCCCCTGGTCGTGATGCGCCAACTGCTCCAGCACCCCTGGCACCACCCTCCTGAGGAACTCGTTCAGCCCCTGCGGGTACCCCGGCTCTGGGGACGTCCAAAGTGAAGAAGCAACTCTTATGGCGCTAGGGATGAGGAGAGCGAAATTTATCTATTTATTAATTGCTAATTAAATGTAAACTTATGTCTAAAGAACATTATCAACCGACTACAAGGGGAGGTTCTCAATTCGACCGTATTTTTTTTTTATGTTTGTTGATTGATGTGAACAGATTTTGATGATTCTTTGTTTATTTCAAACCTAATGCTCCCCATGTGGTCCCATATTAATTTCATTGGTACTGGATCTTCGGCTCCGGAGGTAATTAGATAACTCCTATAACTGAGTACAGAGCGAGATAAAAAGAACTTCTACCGCTGCGGAATATCCGGACTGTACGGAAGTTTAGTACGGAACCTTAAAAATATCGTTTTTTGGAAAGTTTGTATCGATATGTCGGATCCAAATATAACGGCTGAAAATATAAAAATAAATACTTAAATATTTGCGGACACATTTTTCCACAACGTTCACTAGTCCCAAACTAAGCATCGCTCCTACTATGGGTACTAGAAAACTGATAAACATACTCAAACATAATTTTCTTTTGTAAATAAATACACATTATAGATACATAAACAGCCAGACGCTAGAAAAACACCACGTTCATCGCACAATACTTTTCCAGTAGTGGGAATCGAACCCATACCCTCTGGCGCAGGAGGCAGGTACACTACCCACCACACTATTAGTATTTATAACCTTTGTCCAAAAAAAGATGTGTAACGGAAAATATTCATTTTATATTTTGATATTGAATATTTTGTATCGACACATCGGTTAGAAATATATCGTTTAAAAATAAAGATATAGACAATCAAAAATATCGATATATCGATATGCTTTCGCCATCCCTAATCCATACCTGGCGGATTATCTCACGATATATCGATATGCTTTCGACACCCCTAATCCATACCTGGCGGATTATCTCGCGATATATCGATATGCTTTCGACACCCCTAATCCATACCTGGCGGATTATCTCGCGATATATCGATATGCTTTCGACACCCCTAATCCATACCTGGCGGATTATCTCGCGATATATCGATATGCTTTCGACACCCCTAATCCATACCTGGCGGATTATCTCGCGATATATCGATATGCTTTCGACACCCCTAATCCATACCTGGCGCAATATCTTGGAAGTCCTCTGCGCTGGCGGTGCAGCCGACGTCTTTGGCGGCGGCCGTCTGCGACGCCGCCCCGCGCTCCCCAAACTCGCTGGTCTGAGTGGAGCTCGCCGCGCTGGGCTTGCTCTCCGGCGGCACGCTGTCGAAGCCCACGGCGTCGCCATCGTACCCGCTCAGGTTGGACATTTCCAACGGTGTATATATACCAGTATATATGTAGAACAGTATATATTTAGAACAGGGTATATGTAGAACAGTATATATGTATATCGGTATGTCTTATCAATGATTTCGAAGGAGTAACCACTGCTTCGGACAAACTTGTTTGTTTGACAGTCGCCATGGCAACGGACGAGTTTACTAGCGAATGGATTACAGATAAAAAATGTGGTGTATTTAAAAAAAAAACGAAGGGTTATTGTTGTAAGATTTTCTTTTGTTTATTTATCATGTTTTAAATGTAGAAACCAGTGCTGGATTAACAATTGTTTTTTTTACAACTTTATACATAAGAATAAGAACCCATTGCAGATCAAGGGCTGTTTGAAAACATTTGCCCGCGCTTGCTTCATCAGGCACTGTGTAGAAAAGGTGGTATTATTTCGGAGCGTTCAAGAAATCTGACTCCGATCCCTGGTGCCGGAAAACATCGAAATAATCGAAAATATGCAGGTTTCCACTAGCACTATAAAAAATTTAAATTTATAAAAAAAATATTTCGAAGATACGTGAAATCCGCCGCAGTGGGGCCGCGTGGTGGGTTTTCATAGATAATGGTACGGAACCCTTCGTGCGCGAGTCCGACTCGCACTTGGCCGGTTTTTTTTAAAAGGTAGGGATGAAACGATGCACTCGCATCGTTTGAGTGAGTACTCACTCATTCAATACCAACTTCTTGTATCGAAGTATTGTAACTAATAATGAAGTAGATGGCGTTGTCGATGAAAAGTCTAAATATAAATCGTCAAAGTTAGGTTTTTTAACCAAAAATACCTTTATCAACCGGTTAATACGGTCGTAGCCGTATAGGATAAAAAATAAACATTTGTGAATCAATTATCGAGGTGTGTTACACCGCCATCTATTATCTAAAGGATGCAACATAAGCTCAATAATCTTTCCTAAATAATTTTGCTGCCTACCTGCGATTTTTATATTTCTACTAGCTTCTGCCCGCGACTACGTCTGCGTAGAGGGGTGAAAATTTAGGGTTGTATGTATTTTTGTATGCTGTGTCATAAAAAAATAGAAAAAAAAAGTTTTATATAAAAAATAAAAAGAAATTTAGGGGTGGACTACCCCCTTAACATTTAGGGGGACGAAAAATAGATAGTAGCCGAATCTCAGACCTACTGAATACGCATATAAAATTTGGTAAAAATCGGTAGAGCCGTTTCGGAGTAGTTCAAGTTCGAACCCCGTGACACGAGAATTTTATATATTAGATTTTCTATTTTTAACGTCTTTTACTATATTATAAAGCTTTGATGTGTTCAATTAATCAAGGCTGCATCGCCACTTACCATCAAGCGGGATGGCAGCCAGTTCAAAATATAAAAAAAAAATTACGTACGGCAATACACAGTTTCTAACCAGACACAAGTTTCTAAATTATTTCAAAATCCTACGAAATCCATATCATTAATTCTCTAAAGAATTAACAAGGTTTTTGAGCGCAGTGAACACGTTAGAGAATGGGCAATGCAGAAAGCTGTTTTCCGAAACTGCCGCAAAAGTCGCTTCATCGAGAAATCTTGTGATAGCAATACCAATTAAGTATCGATACCTTACGACAGCTACTGTATCAAGTAATAGTATCGATACTGTAAAAGAGGGCTGGTTCCATAGATTATACACTTACATACTGAGTATATACACTTATACACTGAGACTGGTTCTTTCCTCGCTCAAATGTTAATTGCACAATTTTTTTCCAGTAGCGGGGATCGAACCCACACCGTCTGGCGCAGGAGACAGGTGCATTACGCCCGTCGGGTTGTCAATGTATGCATACAAAACAGTCTTTTGATTCCACAGACGCGTTACTGAAACTAGTTTGGGAATCGAACCCACGACCCCCGACGCCGCATACAATAGCTTAACAACGGCGCCATCGATTCAACATCATTCGAAACCTCATTCTAATAGACGGCTTCACACATTAGGATTTTAAGGCTCTTTAACAATTTATTTTTGTATACACCGAGCCGAGCCGTTATAGCTCTGTGTCCGGACGCTCGCTTTCAATTCAACATACTCGAGCAACCTGAGTTATATCCTCGGTGCCGGCACCGATGAAATTGTCAATTTTAAGTGCTGACTTATCACTTGATCAGCGGTGAAGGAAAACGTCGTGAGGAAACTTGAATATTTTTAAAATAATACCAAAAAGAAATATTTAGAAAATATTTTAAGTCCGCCAATCCGCAGTGGGGACGAGTGTTGGACTATTTCTTGACACCCTCCGTACAGAGGCCTTTCCCAGCAGTGGGACATGTATAGACTGACTATACTTTACTTTCGTAAACACTTTGTAAGAATGTTAAATAAATGAAACGTCCAGTTTGAAAAGATCAACTGTATTTCTATGCATTGTGAAAGACGCTGCGCGCTTTCTTCTCCTTCCTTCTCTTCTCCAATCTCCTCTTCTGCCTCTCAGTGCTCTTCAGGAGCCTCATGATCTTGTCCTCCTCCTCCTCTGCGCCCTCGTCGAGGTCTGCGTCGGTGCTGCCCTCTGTCGAGGGTTTCATCCTCTTCGCGTCATCAGGAACCTGGGGCTGTTCTTCGGCCTGCTTCTTCCGCGGCTTCTCGCTGAAATTCAAGACGAAAGCTGCTAAAATAGAGTAGATATAACCAGACAGCTCAGTGTAAAAAATTTGAAACATTTCGTAAAAGCCACCTTAATGGTAAGGGACTATTATAATGTCGAAGAATACATTGTGGAAATGACTCATGGTCTGCACTTGCAATACCCCTGGCTGCTGCTGAATTTATATCTAAATCATTTTGGATGCTTTTATTATTAAAAATAAACAAAAATATCAAGATTGCAGAGTTTCATGCCAGTTCTTCTTTGGACTGGTCTAAATCTAATGAACTGGTGGTAGTTTCTTGTCGTTCAATAAAAGCTTATAGTGTAAAGCCTAGTAGTAATAGTAATATTGACTAAAGAAATTTGACTTTGACTGAGTGTAGCCAATGCGTTAAAGTGAATTCGAAGCTCTGAATCTAAGAGAAAATCACATAGGCAATAAATCCGCCATTTTTAACGTCTTTTAAGATGCTTTCAATTAAGACTAAACAAGTAAATAGATTAAATCACTGCAAACGTGTCATCTTCGATATACCAGAGACAAAAATGAACTCATCATCCTTCAACCATTGACAAAACTTAGGGTCGGGGCTAAGTGATTTGATAGCGTTCTCAAACTGCTCATGTGGTCGCACCCGACGGTCTCCATTTGCTCGAAGAGCTCGTCCATCTCGTCTACTTCCACTGCCTCCTCCTCCAACTCCTCCTTGACGTCTGCTTCGGGCGCGTTCAGCAGCGGGGTCGAGCACTCCGTCTGCACCAGGGCGGCTGAGAGCTTCGACGTAAGGTATTGCTGGTAATGAGAGAGAGAGTGTGTGAGAGAAGAGGACGGAGAGAGAGAGAAGATGCTGAGACGGTCCGTTCCGCCGCCTTATCAAAATACACCTTGTATTATTTGAAGTTGTTAATATAATTACAAACATTCTTTTTTTTTATAATTTTATTTTTGTAATTTTAAATGTTTCAAGTTTTGTATCATTATATTATATAGGGTGAGGGAATAAATGTCTTTAAAGATGGGGGAGGGGGAGAGTGTGAAGGGGTAACAGTTAGCCGCATACGGGATTACACCAACTAAATTTTTTTTTTGCAAAATAAATATTGTTCCATCAGTCAGAGACCTGATTTTCCTTACAGCATGTCCTGCAGAACTAAGGCTACTAGCAAGTGTAGATTGTACGGTAGAATACCTTATGCAGCATCTCCTTCGTGTCGAAGCCGTGCACGCGCAGGTGGCGGTCGAGGCTGGTGGTGACCAGCAGCCGCAGCGGGCGGTGGACGGCCACGCTGGTCACCGCCCCCACGCAGCCCTTGAACCCCTTGTCGGGCCTGCCCCTGCGCAGGTCCACTTGTTGCAGCTGACCGCGTCCGAAGCCCACCAGCACCTGCCTAGAAAAAGTTTAAGAAGTTGTTAGGCATGGGCAAAAATGTTGATATTTTTCCATACATTTATCGATGTGCACAAAACATATAAAGAGGAACATAAATTAAAAAAAATAACAATTATTTAGACAAAACGGTCAAGGACTACGGTGGTAGGGCCACGCGGCAGCCTCGGCTGTTGCACGAATGGGCAGGCTCGTCCGGATAAGTACCGCGACCTCACAGAACATCGGCGTAAAGTGGAAGTATAACACTTTCGCGTTTCATCTGGTGAGTGAGGTGGCCGGAGCCCAATTTCCAAAAAGGTTGTCAACGCATCTGCAACACTCGGGTGTAGCAGATGTCCATGGGCGGTGGTGTTCACTTAACATCAGGTGAATCGTCTGCTCGTTTGGCAACTTTTCACATTAAAAAAATGACTTAGTTTTAGGACGGGAGGTACACCAACTTTGATATTCTGTCCTACCCAGACATAACTTAAATAAAGGACACGCTTTATAATAGGTACTGCAATATTGTACATTAACTATTAATATTAATATAACTATATAATTAATAACTATTATATTTAAAAGACTGCGTACTCGAAGCAAATAATTAATTATAATATATCATCAATATTTTTTATCGCGACATATCGATATTCCATATTTATTTTAGACTATAGAATTCGTGTCAGTTTCGATATACTTCTTATCGCAACTCTAGTTTCTTATTTAATGTTACTAGATACTCTTTCACGCTCCTCGCGCATCGTTGACTTTAAAAAATCTTTTCAACATTTTCTTCATGTCTCATCTCTTTTACGAATATTGAACGGTTTGTAAATATGTATAAATGATCCTGCGAACACTCACGATATATCGATATATTTCACTCGATAATTAATGAAACTCTTTCAAAATGTCGATATGATAAATAATTTTTTTCCGCTTGTCCATCCCTAGACACAGTTTTACCGACCAGAAACTGCCTGGATGTAGTTGCACTTTACACACTTTATACGGGTCTAACACACACGTGGTAGTAATTTCACATTGCTATTTCTCGTAACTTACTTTAATGAATATTATTTTTTAAAGTCACACACAGACACACATTCATACAGAGAAATACACACAATACATGTAGTGGTAATTCCATAGTACTATTTCACATATTATTTATTATTATTTAACAATCTTCTTAAACATTTGTCCACTTAATTGCTTGTGTTACATAACCTTTGCCCAGCAGTGGGACATGTACAGATGCAAGATTTCTTAACTTTTACCTTTCATCGAAGCTCGTCTCAATGCAAGTGGCCGCCATTTTGGGGAACGTGACGTTGCAGACGGGCCTCCGCTGCGCCCTCGTGTCGTATAATCTGTGAATGGACACACAATTCAATTCGTTAATTAATAAAGAAATTAATGCGTTCATATGTAAGTTTCCACCGGTTCGGAAAGCGGTTTCTGTTGAGAAGAGACCGGCAAGAAACTCAACAATTTCTCTTTTTCAATAATATTAATAGTTTACAATTAAACATACCGGTATAATAGTCTGATTCTAGCCTACGTGAGTATCAACAGTATTAACTCCACACATTGGCGTCGTCGAGATATTCCGCAATGGTATAATATGCCTTAGCCATAACTGTGTACAAGTACGACAGTCTTATTTTAGCCTGTGTGAAAAGTTGCCAAGCGAGCAGACGGTTCACCTGATGTTAAGTGAATACCGCCGCCCATGGACATCTATACGCGAGGGTTGCAGATGCGTTGACAACCTTTTGGTAATTTGGCTCCGGCCACCACACTCGCCAGACGAAACGCGAAAGTATTATACTCCCACTTTACGCCGGTCTTTTATGAGGTTGTGGTACTAACCCCGACGGGCCTGCCCACCCGTGCGACAGTGTCAACGGCGTCGAGTACCTGACGTATCCGTGCCTGGAGCAGACGGCCAGCTCTCGACCCCCAGACCCTGGCAGGAACACGAGCCCCGACACCCAGACGGGCGGCCGGAGCTGCAACCAGTCCAGTGGCAGGTTCTTCGCCACGAACTGGGCAGAGCTCTCGCCGATCCGCCACACCTTCAAATCGTTCTCTTCGCCACCTGAAGAAGACTCAAACTTTAACAAGTCCAGTCTCTGTATTCATTTTATAAATAGATATTCAGAGATCCCCTATGTATCTCCAGAGCCCAAGATCCAATACGAATGAAATTATATGGGACATGGGGAGCAGCAGCTTTCAAATGAAAAAATAACCATCGAAATCGGTTTGCTCGGTCGAAAGTTCTGAGGTAACAAACTTAAAAAAAAATACAGTCGAATTGAGAACCTCTTTTTTTTGAAGTCTTAGGTTAAAATAAATTACAAACACTCCGCAGCTCAAGTCTTAATTTGTTAGGTACCATATTATACAGCCCCACTGCATCAATCATCCATTATTATACAGTACTAGCGGACCCAACAGACGTCGTCTTGTACACCTGACTTAAACCTGACAACTTACAAATAAAAAAAAATTATGGATATCCTCAACAGACCTATGAGTAACAATGGATTTTTATATGACGTAAATGTTTAAGCTGTAATTTCAGATGGTTATATATTTATTTGAGGAACAATTTTTTTCTGTATGAAAGGCATACTCTAGCTAAAACATTCATTACTAGTCGCACCTTTAGAATTAAAGGGACCTAATTATGAAAATCATGATTTTGGCTTTATGTCAGGAAACGACCTAAAACGACCACCTTTTTCGAATCCTATTAAAACATGGGCCGATTTTAGAAAGCTACATAACATATATTTCTGTCTCTTTCACTTCCCCCCAATTAGCGCGTTTGTTCATAAGTTCCACAAATCCTTTATTTACGTTTCCCAAAAATTGATATTTTTAAATAGGTCACTATAATTCAAATGGTGCGTAGTGTTCAAATAAACACCAACTTTTCTCTTCATAAGCCTTTGCAGTCAAATTTCAAGTGAATTTAGCCATTGTATTGAAGAAATGAAATATACGCTCAAACATATCAGACAAATACTTTAAATTAACGAATTCACCTGTGGCAAACAACGAACTGTCCTCCCCGCAGACCCGCATTGTATCAATCTTGCCACCAACTTCCACTGTTGCCTCCTCCTTCTTGCTCCATATCCTCACCACACCGCTGGCGACTGCAGCAAGAAACTTCCTCTGGTGCCGACCCAGGCCAACTACATCACCCGCACCGAAGTCCGCAGTGTAACTTTTTGTGAATTCCGCCTTCTGGGTGTTGTAGACCTGGATCTGAAAAGTGGGATGGACAATCCTCAATTGTACCCTTATAAGATCTTAGATATAGACATTGAAAAAGAAATATTTGGAGTCAAAGGTCACGATTCAAACCATATTTTTCTTAAATATCAGTTTAATTTTGGTTATTGCCTCCTTATTTAAGTAAATTAAGTTCTCTACACGCATTTTTAAAACACCTTCAATAATCAACCCCATCTAAGCCATTTGTGAAGAATTTCAAATGTTCCACCTAGCAGTCAAAAAGTCCCTATGTTATAAAAATCAAAAATATATTTATTCAAATAGACGCTTGCGCACTCTTATGAATCGTCAAATTTTACATCAAAGATTATGTATATAGGTTCATAAGGTACCACCAGTTAAGAAAGCAGTTTCTGTTGAGAAGAGACCGGCAAGAAACTCAACAGCTGCTCTTTTTCAAAAATATCAGGGTACAATATAATATACAGGTATAATAGTCTTATTCTAACCTATGTGAGTATCAACAGTATTAACTCCACACATTGGCGTCGTCGAGATATAGACTTAAAAACCGTCATTTTCTTTTTTTTTTACATGACAAGGCATTTTTGTACAGTTTCTAGAGAGTGACAAAGTACTTCAAAGTTTTTACTTGAGGCCTACTGTTGATTTAAAAATGGAATTTATATTTAGAAATGAATTAATATTTAGAATAATTAAATCATGGCGGTGATTACTAATAGTTGTAATTCTTGTCAAACCTTTTAATAATGAATATTTCACATGTAACATTATAATACTAAGCATGTATGTACCACATAATCATATTTATGCCCATTTCTGTATAAATGTTATCCTGAGTGAACAGTTCAATCAATGATAATTATATTTTAAGCGGATATTTTATATACAGACTACTATTGTATATACAAAAAACTAAAACAAACCAATAATTATATATAATCAGCACCACATTTCATATTAAGCCGTGTCCAACGTTGTTATGTGAGCAATTGGTAAAGAAGTCCTCAAATACAGATACAAATATAGTTTCAAACAAACCTGTTGATTTCGCCTGCCAATTATTATTTCGGTTTGGTCTACATTGCCCCATACCATAGATGTGATTGTGTCATCTTTCTGCAGGCTTTTGACCTCCACTAGATTCTCTATGCATTTTTTGCTGTTTTTTAAGGGATCTCTATGGTATTTAATGTCTGAAAAAATAAACAGAGAAAAACTATTTATTTCTAATGACTATCACTCATTGATGCTGCAAAGAAATCTGCATCAGGGTTACATGACAGTGTATGCCCCAATATCTCTGACAATTTATGTTAAGTTTTTAAACCGTTAAGTCAATAAAAAGTTTTTCTACAAAACTGAATGTTACAGTGGAAGCTATACTAACTTGTAATGGTGATACATAAACTCGTTACACTTGCAAGCCGCTAGTTTTAGAAATTGGAAGCCAATGATGATATAAAAAAAGTTCATTTTTATTACGGTATTATCGCACAATAAATCCTTGTTTACTCACGTTTAAAGGATCCTATTCTGCTAGCGACGAAGATATCAAATTCTTTCTCATTTGTTATTATCATTATGTTGTCTTAGACATAACTTATACACAAATATATTTCTTCTTCTTCTTCTTCTAAGGCAGTTGGCGGTCGTTATGATATCACCAATAACACAATAATGGTAAATTATACACAAATATATTATTATTTCTTTAATTAAGTATTCCTTCAAACAAAAGCACGTGAAAAATTATGTCAAGTCAAAATGACAACTTGAGTTTGAGTCTTGAGTTAACAAGTACTGCATGTATCCGATATATCAAAATGTAACTTAAAACGGTTACACGGTACCATTTGATATCGATATACAAAACTTTGTTATCACAAAAACTGTATAACTACCCACAACGTTCCAAAATCAAAACCATGCAAAACGATAGCAGTGCAACGTTTTCTCTGTTATATTATTAATATTTCATTCATCACTTTCTTACGCACGGTTGCTATAGTGCCGTAAAATATATAATAAGTTTAGGTTTATTTGTGTATCTTGTATTAACTGATGTTTTTGCTTTCAGTCCCGAGACTATTAAAGCTTCATCGAATGCAGAACCGGTGGGCTAGCCAGAACCCACGGGTTTGGACCCTCCGCTATGGGTAGGGTCGCGCATGTGCTCATGCGTGCGTTTAATTATGGTGTGTCATCTAAGGGCCGTCGAGGTCGCGGTTCGGACCGAGACCCCGACGGTCGTCGACTGTACATTTAGCTAATCGGTGGCTGGGAGCGGTGAAAACCGCCCCGGAACGCGGGTGTACCTTGTGTACGCGTTGTGTGCGTCTCGCAGTGCTCGGAGGCGAGGGCGAACGGGTGTGATTGTTGTTACACTAACTGTGGGTGTAGTGTTATCCGGCGGGACCCACGGCGGTGGGTCCATCGTATCTAAGTCCTCTTCGTCGACCGGGTCGATGAGAACATTTCACGGGCGACGCTTGTTTACGTTCACGTTAGTGTCCGGTTGGTATTTTGCTGCGCTTACCACCAGAGGGTTAGGATGATGCTGGGCTCTATCGAAGAACCGTTTTGTCAAATCTTTAAAATGTGCGCGAATCGTCGGGAGTCTGCAATCGCTGTGCAGGTCGACGTTGCGCTGATACCATTGCGCACCGGTTGCGCGGCGGATAAACTTATTTTGTACTATTTGCAGCTTGTACAAGCGAGTAGGGTGCGTATGGGCGAAGATAATGCATGCGTAGGACATAATAGGTCGTACGCAGGTCTTATATAATAATAATTTGTGCCTTAAGGGCATTTTACTTTTAGCGTTAGTTAAATTGTGTAGCCGGCCGGAGACGAACGCGGCTCTATTAGGAACGTTATTGATGTGCGTAGTAAATGACATACGCGAGTCGAAAGTGACTCCTAAGTATTTGACCTTTTTCTCCCAGGGGAGCGGTTGGCCATATAGGGATATTTGCCCCAACTTTCTGCATTGGCGAGGGCCATTATAAAGATGTGACGGGTAGGTACTTCGTGTGAAGTGAATCGCCACACTCTTTTCGGGATTTATTTCTATTCTCCATTTGCGGAACCAATCGCCGAGGCGGTCGGCGGCGCTTTGGAGTCGAGTGGTTAGTATTCTAAGGTTGCGGTCTGAATAAAAGAGCGCGGTGTCATCCGCGAAAAGCGCGAGATTGACGTGGGGGTCTTTGGGTATGTCGCTCGTGTAGAGCGTAAAGAGCAAAGGTGAGAGGCAGGAGCCTTGTGGTACGCCGGCCGTGAGGCGGCGGCTTGTGGAGAGGGTGCCCTCGACTCGATATCGAAAAGAGCGATTCAACAAAAAGGCCTGGATGGTGTGTACGAGCCTATCTGGCACTTTACAGCTTGTAAAGCAAGCCGTTGTGCCAGACTTTGTCGAATGCTTTTGCGACATCGAAGAAGAGAGCCCCTGTGCTGATGTGTTTGGGGTGGTTTATGCCTTTAAGGATGTGCTCCGTTAGGCGGTATAGCTGGTCGGGACAAGAGTGTCTAGCTCGAAAGCCGAATTGTTCCGTCGACAGAAGGCCGTTGTGGCTTGCTTCCAGTCGTCCGGAAAGGAGCAACTGGAGAGAAGGGTATTGAAAATGGTCGCCAGTAAACATATAAGCGGCCCAGGGAGAGCTTTGAGAATTTTATTACTTATATTATCTGGGCCCGGGGCGGATTTTGGTTTTAAATTTTTTAATAATATCTTGGACCTCTTCGGGGGTCACGACGGCGATGGCTCGATGTTCTCTAGGAGAGTGTCCCATGATACACGATCTTTGACTTCTAGCTGAAGGCGTCGAAGTAGGGTTCGGTTCGATTCCGATCGGTATCGGTCGAAGGCGCGTTTGGCTGCATTTTTCTGTCTAATTAGCAGTCTTAGGTCGGGCGGAAAGTTAAACCGTCAGTCGCCCGACAGTTCACCGTCCGTTCCGAGTCTGTGACTGCGGAAGTAATAGTTTCTCGGAGACTCGCTATCGCTCGATTTGCGTCATCGAACGTAGCTATCGTCTCGGGTAAGTCTACTAAGTCCTGGTGGTTCAAGGCCTTGAGTTTGACCTCAAGACGATGCCAGTCCACTACGGATTTGGTCGGAGGGACCGCGCCGGCGTTCTAGCCCAGTTTACACAGGACGGGCCTGTGGTCTGAGTCTAGTTCATGGATTGTCTCTATCGACTCGATGTCGAGCGAGACCTCCCTGAATAACATGATGTCTAGGACACTCGGTGACGCGTGTTGGTAGTTGTCCACCGTAGGATACCTAGTGGGAGTCGCGGGAGCGACTATGCTAAAGTTTAGGTTATTGGATAAGCTAAAGAGATGCTTTCCGTTGTTATTTGGGATGCTGTTGGTGTCCCATGAGCCGTGTTTGCAGTTTAGATCTTCTGCAATTATCACGGAAGGGCCTAAGTTAAGAAGCGTATCTAGGTCGCTTTGAAGTAAGGTTCTATTCCCCGAGAGGTAGGCTGAGACTAGTACAAGCGGCCTGTGGCCGGTGAGCGCTAACCTACACGCGGATGCCTCTATTTGACTTAGCTCTGGAATGTCGAGCGGGCAACAGTGCAAGGACCGTTTGTAATAAATTAATGTGCCTCCCAGACGGTTTGCTAACCGGTCGTGGCGGACAATACTGTAATTTGCGATTCTGGGATCGCGTACACCAGGTTTCAAGAATGTCTCTTGCACTAGGAAAATATCTACGATGTAGTCGCGAAGGAATTCCGCGATTTCGTCCCTTTGACCCTTTATGCCGTTTGCGTTGAAATAAGAAACAACCAGAGCCCGAGGTATTGTTCTACCTGCGGTTGTACTTCCCATTAAGGTGTTAAATGTCTAATTAACGACGCGGCGGAGCGTGGTTTTATTGCGCGGACTATTGTCTTTTACGGTTGGCTCGTAAAAGCCCAAAGGGCTTCCACAAGCGTTTTATGTTGGCTAATTGCCCTAAGACGCTCGTTGTCAGATGTGGCGGCCGCTATTTTAGCGGACAATACGGCGAGTTCCTGCCTATTGATCCTATCTAATAGGCTGCAGATGTTTGCGATTTGCGCGAATGGGTCGTCCTTGTTTTCCGCGAAAACTGACGGAGTTGGCTGCACCTGCGGCCGCGGCGCCGTTTGAGAGGCGGGCAGCTGTTGTGCGATCGGTCGTGAGACGTCCGGGATTACCGGCGTGGTTATCTGCGCGGCCACCTGGGGTTTCGCCCAGGCGTTAGTGACGGGTACGGGCGCGGGAACGTATTTTACGGGCGCGCATTTGGGCAACGTAGTTTTCGCGGGAGATTTTCTCGCGGGAGTTTTCGGGGCCTTAGCGCAGCCTCTATAACTAGCCGGGTGGCCGGTAGCGTGACAGTTTACGCAGTCCGGTGGATCTGCGCAATCTTTTGGCCTCGTGCACTCGGTTGTGCCGTGGTCACCGGTGCATTTGACGCACCTAGGGTGGGCCAAGCAATTATTGGCCGTGTGGCCAAAATGTTGACAGTTGTGGCACTGTGCCACAACACCTGATTTGCGCGGGGGCTCGATGACTAAGTCACTGAGCCCACAGACCCTCTTTAGGTTGAAGATGGCCTTACCTTCCGGGGTAGAGTCAAGTTCAACCATGACCATGTCCATAGGGACACGGGTACTAGGCTGCCTAAGACGTCGCACTGCATGTACGAGGTATCCCTGAGTGTGGATGTCGACTTTAGCCTTATCGACATCCAACTCTTTGGGGACGCCCTTTATTACTACCCGAAGTTTACGCTCTTCGGGCAACGAGTAGGTGTGAAAACCTACCTTATTTTCGCGTAAATACTTGGTTACGCGGCGGAAATCGTCTGTTGTGTCCAGGTATACGCGGATACCCATGTGTGTATTTTTGACCGGAGGTCGCGGATGTTGTGGCGGGTTTATTTGTAATACAGTTTATTATTCGTGAAGTAAGTCGCATAAAACTGTTAGGTGACATTTGCCGTTCATGATCGTTAAAAACAATCGCAGGATCTGATCTGAATATAAATTAAAGAATATCAAAACCTATTTAACTAAACAAGACAGATACGATACAGCTTAGTGATGTGCGAGTCAGGTTATTTGAAACTGTTAGGTGTTTAGTCGCTGATGAGTTGGAATCTCCTAGTTGGGCACTGAACTAAAAATATGATATTTTAACTTGTTCCTGGCTTGGACCAGAGTGGGTTAGGTTCCGATACAGCGGATTACTTACTTCGCTTCAAGTACTTTTTAAATTTAAGTGGTCAATATGTTCGATATCTTCTCTTTGAATACACTAATTTGTAATGAAAAAAAAAGCTAGAATTGTCTTTTTAGATATGAAGCCATAAAATTTAACAAATTCACAAAAAAAACCCCTAAACATTAAGTAAAGTTCTGATCATATTTACGCAAAGCCGCAAAATATTCTCTGACCTTGCGCGCAACTATTAACAAACTGTTAAACAAAAACAAAGAAAGTGAACTTAAACATGTCCTTCATAAAATTAAACAAACATTTCAACTCAACTCTGTGACGTTTTTTTCAACGTAAGGTTTTCAATTTATTAAGTTCGTTACGC